TTGTGTTAACAGTCTTTTTTAAATGTCAAGTGTCATAATTTAAAACGAATCTTATAAATTCATAGTTTAATTTATCTTCCTGTGAATACAAATTTTGAATTGCTATTTTTGATTACCATTTTATTGCTATTTTTTGTACATACAGATTAACAGTTAAGAACTCGTCGCATTTTTAATATAAATTCTAATATCGTGTCTTGTTTTAATTCCAGCTCGCAATCTATAAATTCCACGTTAGATGTCGATTTGCGAGTTGAAACCTCGCAAGTCATAAATTCGCTCGAAGGCTTCTACCTCGCGTTATTTACATCCTTCTGTTACTTTCCGCTAGTCTATCGCGCAAGGGCCCGAAAGTCCCGACTGTGGAGTCGGTTACATCATCGGACTCGCGTTCTCACGTGCTCAAACACTATCGAACGTATGCACTTCTTACGTATGCACGTACAAGTATCCGCGAGAGAGAAGAAGAAGAAAAAGAAAGAGAGAAAGAGAGAGAAGCGGCATTTGTCGACGACGACAATACGATGCAATTGATCACCAACGATCGCAGAACTTGTCTTCGTCGACCACGAGTGGATCCGTCAAGACCAACGTTTATGCTTAATAGTCGCAAAGTTCATCCCCTCCGGCGGACAAATATCGCAAAATGACCACATACACGTATAAATATAGTATATTCGTTGACATTGAATAATAATTAATTATTCTTTTGACGTATGTTTCTTTCTTTTTTTTCCTTCTTCTCTTCTGAACGTCATTCGCTACATATGTTGTTCATTAATGTCAACCGAAAAAACTTCAGATAAGTGACGCTAATCGATCGATCCTAGCGATTCAAATCGTCTTCCTCATGATCGAGTCTTTTTTTGCATCGGCTACAAACCGGACCGGATGAGACAGACCTCGTACTTTGGCTCGCGTGTGCAAAGGGGAACGCGGTAATCGCGTGAGAGACTGTTTTATTCACCAGCCGCGGAATCTCGGATCTCGGGCGACCTTTAAAACCGCGATGTGTCGCGTCAGCGAGGATAACCAGTACGGAAAGATACTGATCGATCGTTCGGTATCCGATGTGAAGAGCAATGAGCAAGGCGTCGAAGGTGATTTCAAGGAAGAACCAATGAAAAAAATAAAAAGCTATCTTTTCGGAACACGGTCATTAAATGATTGTTAATTGATCGTTAATTATCGATTATTATATCGAGCGATAAAATTACAAAATACCAGAATGCCTTCTTCCGCTGTTTCTCCTCTCAGCGTTCTTATATATTTTTATACTCTCTTACGTTTCTTATATTATTTTGTTATTTCATTTTTGTATTGTATTATATTTTCTTATGTTTCTTACCGTGAAAATATTTCTACACGATATCCCGTCAATATATCGAATCGAATCGCTCCGATCACGAATCTTACGACTAGGTTCAAGGTCGAGATTACGACAGAGCTTTATGAAACAACATTCGTGCGAATTCTTACGTCAAAATAAATTAAAGTTAGGGGTGATGAGTCTCGTTATTTTTAAAATCCTTTTATAAAGGTGGATCCAGGAAGAACATTATGAAGATAATGACATTTCGTCAGCGCACACGTGGCAGAAGGAGCAGTAAGAAGTAACTTTTTCTCAGAATTCATGTTCAATCGTAAATGCCTTTTTTCAGGCGGACACGACGACAGTCGGAGATTGAAAGCGGTATAATTTTGACGAGAGACGCGAGGAATACGTACGTCTTAACTGAAATTAAATTATCAAGCGACGATGGAAACGTGACGGTTGCACGCATTCCGTTGCTTCCATATCTGCAGCACCAATCGTGCATCTTTTCGCGGCGATCGAAAACTCAGCGAAAAATCATATTTTCTCCCCAGAAACGTCAGTCGCGTAAAGCTTGACGCTTCATATAACTATCCGATCTTATTTCACATTTACAATGCTGTATATTCTTTCGCAAACGGAAATCTCCGCATAAAATTAGATTTTTCCCGGCAGAAACGCCAGTCGTAATAAATCCTGATATTTTACTTATATAATATAAATAAACTTATAATTAACTGACGTTTTTCACATAACTACACTGCAAATTAGTTGAAGTTTTTTCTTACATACTTCTTACACGTGTCTTGCCGTTATATCACGTTATTTAACAGGAATACATGTGTAAACTTAATATTATTATAAACGTGTCAATTCAACGTGATCAAACGTTTTAAGTAACGTAAGCTAAAATAAGTAAAAATATGTAAAATTAGCTTCAGTCAAATGTGTCATTTTGAGACGCCTGCTCGTGTAAAAATAACACATTCGGACTTTACAGCGTAATCGCGACGCCTTGTTCCACATTCAGCGGCATCGTGCGTCATTTCGCGAATCGAGAACTCTGAAAAAAATAAAATTTTCTCTCCAGAAACGCGAATCGTGTAATCCCTGACATTTTGTTTAATTAACCGACCACGGGTATTTTCCACGCGCAATGAAGTCGGGCCCGATTAAGCAATTCTTCTCAGCGTGAAGTGGCTCACTCGATGAACGCGCCGTGCGCGGAGAATAAGAAATTCTCGGCGGCACGAAGCACGCTGCTCGTGCTGGAGAGACGCACCCCAGGTAGGACAAATTTTTAAAAGATCTCTCAAAGATGTCCGAAGGATGTCTAAAAAAGAAATAGAACGCCTTTTACAGATTTTTGCCTTTATCTCTCAGACATTCGTTCTGCTTCCCATCGACGAGATTGTCGCAAGAACGAACGCGCGATTCGCGCTAAGAAAAGAGACTCGCTCTCGCGCGAGTTTCGAAACCTTCTCCGGAAGTTACGATCGTTAATAAACCGCGCTCGGATAACGGAGAGAAAGAGAGAGAGGATTGCAGGGACTCGCCGAAATTACGGCTGCGCCGGGCGCCACGCTTCATTTCACTCGCGACGGATCCGGCGAATAAACTTTCGGGCCGCGTCGCGAGCTCGCAGGTGAAAGTCCGCGAGTGCATATACTCAGCTAGTCAGCCAGGGTGACAGCCGTGGAGTAGCACCACGGAAGGTGTCAACGACAATGCCGTCGTCGAGAGAGCCGACGACGATGCCGCGCCGAGAGAGAGAGAGAGAGAGCCGACGACATGCTAAATAAACCGCAATGATTCAGTGTGGTCGAGCGTGCGCACGCGATGACACATCCATTGAATCGAATTAAGAGCAACGGACAGACTACAAGCGTGAGCCGTGACATTAGCCGCGATGATCGAGTTAATCGCAGCCTCCTGGGCGCCTAAAGCATCGCGCATGCCACGTCCCGAGTATCGAGACTTCGATGCTGCTTTGACACTCTTAAGGTAGTTGGTCAAATCATTTCTTCAGAAATCCTTGGAAATTTTAGCATATATTCTGATGAAAATACTATCTCTACAAAATCTACAAAGTTAAAAGACGATTGGTAGGCAAGTCGATCGGTTTATAAGGATTATGTGAATATTTTTGCGCTAAAACATTAATATTTCACGTAAGTTAATGCGATAAGCGATGGAAGAATCGTAAATATACTTCATTTTAAGTTCACATTATATGAACAAAATATTTATATATTACATAAATATGTATTACGAAAACACAAACATATTTTACATATATTACAAAAAGTTATCTTAATTATTCTTCTTAGAGTATTTTTTTTTTTTACTGTTTGCTTCATATTTAAGGTCAAAGCGACAAACACATTTAAGAAGAGAATGTGCGTGAGTCGATTAATAAACATTTCCATTTATCCATACAACGAATGTGTGTAGGTTTTTTCCCTTCACAAGTTCAGAATAGATTCCTCTATGGATTGAATTGACATTTTATTTCTTACTATATATATATAAGGCGAAAAATACAAATCTCATAAAAATCTCATAAAAATCGTAGGAAATGTAATCGGTTGATTATCAGAGATTATTCCTTCGTTTGGATGTCTCTTCACGTTTCGATTTCATGATCATCGTTCGAATTCACGTGCGTCATCACGTGGCGTCCGTCCGATCGATTTGCAACACCGACGATCATCAGAAACATCGCGATGATTTAACCGCAAAATACACAACTTCAATATGCACATAATATCGCGAAATGCTTCCGGCTACAAACGCAAATAAAACGCGTATTGAACGTACGTATGTGTACGTGCTTGGCTTTCGCGTTTCGAGTTGGTTTTGACGATTATATGATCGTGTTATGTGCGCGAGCGCATTTCGCACGTGTGCAATTCGCAAATTAAACGCACAGTCGACGAATTAAACGTTGCGGCATTTTTTTTCCAACAACAAGTTTCGCGTCTCGTATCCAATGGGAAAATGTATCTACCGAGGACCGCTAAGTAACCAATTCTCTCACATGGAATGCATTGCGAAATTTATCGGAAGAATAGTGTTGCAATCTTTATGGTAATTGGTAATTTATTTGCTTAGGAATCTTTAAAGAATTTCCGGCATATTAATCGAAAGTAGACATCTTTTTGAAGATAAAACGGTTAAATAAACTTAAAGATCTACAATCAATATATAAAATTACGAGAAATACGGGGCATCCGACCGTTTACGATCGTTTCTCCAGAAGCGTGCATTCGTGAGCGTCTATCGATACGTGTGATACATTCACAAATACACACGGGCAGTCCCGGCCAAAAGTATTACGCGTCGAAGCGCGAGAAATGATTATTTCTTTATGACGTTTTTAAACGTTACGTTCAATTTCGATCGATATTCTCTTGCTATAGTGTCAAAATGATGCTATGCATCATAAATAGTATTTATAAATTTATAAATTTAGCATAGATTTATCGAGCTTCTTCGCGTTATATTAACCATTATCTTCCCAGCAGTATTTATCGTCACGGAAATCCGCTACTACTTTAATCTGCCGCGCGCGCGCGCGCGCGCGACTGTACTTCTGTAACACAAATACACTCGAATACCTCGCGGTTCCTTGACAGCGTAAATCCGCCGTATTCTTTGTAAAATAGGACAAATGAGTACTTACACCATCGCCTGAGGAAGCCGCCCTGCAGTTTGGCGCAGATCCCGCGATGCACCCTCATGCTGAGCGAATCACCTTCACCGTGCAATCACCCCGAAATCACAGCACACCCGACGTCGCTGAAATTGCAGCAAGCTCGAACGCTTCCTCTTGTACCTCCTCTCCTCCTGTGCGGGTGTCCTTCTTTCAGGATACACCTCTGGTGATGATTAAGTCGTGCACAAACACACTCTTCTCACCCAAAAGACGTCGTCCTTCTCGTGTCGTTCCTCGTCGTGGTCCTTCAACCGTCGCGCGTTCGTCCTCTTCGTCCTCTCGCTTCGTTGCTTCGTTTTCTCGCGACGCTCGGAAGAGGCTGCGCCTCGAGGTTGTCCCGGACAGTTGGACCAACCACACACACACACACAGCTGGAGAAAGTCAATCCTCCTTTCGGAGTATGCTAAGTGTGCCGGATCGCGCGCGATGTCGCCGTGCGCTTATTATTATACACCCAGTAGAGATCCCGATCCGGAAGACGAGTTCCTCCTCTTTTACACGTCGTCGTCGTCGACGCCGTCGTCGTTACTTGTTGCTTCGAAGAACGGCCCGATGCTTTGTGAAGCAATCGCGATCACCAACCTTCCTCCACCGGGGCGAGCTGAGGTGACTCCGCCGAGGATATGTCCTCCACCAGCACGTTCGCGATCGACCGGTCGATCGATCGATCTCGCTCACGACGGTACCAGCCACGATCGCACGACCCTCGTCGATCCTCGAGTCCGTTCGCACGCGACGAATGCACGCGAGTGCACACGGCGACTGCCTCCTCGACTGCTGCGTGCTCGGGCCGCTGGTGGCCGCGACAGTGATCGTGGGAACGACCGGCGGTGATGATGTACTTGGGCGAGAAAGAGGCATACGATCAGGAGGAGGGAGCGACGGAGGGATATGGAGGATAGGAGGAACGAAGGAGGATAGGAGGAACGAAGGAGGATGGCTGAAGACGGAGAGAGAGAGAGAGATGAGAAGAGAGAGAAAAAAAAATATATATATATATATAAAGAGAGGGGGGGGGGGGAGATCAAGAGGATTGAATTAGGAAAAGGAGTAGTGGCGAACGAAGGTAGGGAAAAGGGGGAAGAGAGAAAGAGGGTGATAGAGAGGAGGAGAGGAAGAAAGAGAAGGGGAGAGAGAGAGAGAGAGAGAGGAGGAGAGGAGAGAATCGAAGCGAAATCAAGCGGAACCGACGCGCGCGTTTCGACGATACGGGTGTGTGGGTGTACGCGGTATGCGCGCGGAATCGCAGTGGCAGAGAAAGATGGACGAGCGGTGGTGCGATCGGCGCGAGATCGGCCAAGACACTGCGAGCAGCCGTGAAGCGTCGCGCCGCTCAGGTGAACGATTTATTATTGCCCCCACTTGCCGCTCCACTTTGCCCCCTTCGGTGACTGTCGGTGACGACTGACGGCTACGTATCAGCACCATTGCCGAGTATTGCTGCGTTGCTGATCCATTCGTCGCTCCTCTCGCTTAGCTCATCCTGCTCATCCGGCGCAGGTGCAGGAATGCCTCATCTCCGGTTTTTGCGTCACTTTTACGTTTATTGGAAATTTCTTCTTGATATCGTCTCTCGCTCTTCCTTCTTTCTTCCTCCTTCTCTTTCTTTGTTTCTTTTTTTTATTGTTTCTATTACAAGCCATCGATTGGTGCTTTGCAACTTGCACTGGCGCGGCGCGAGTGAAAAGCACATGTAAAGTCCGCGAATGAAGGATCTCACGTGGGAAGATTCAAATCGAGCGACTCACAAGGCGACCACGCGATCGCAGAGCGATCGGCAAAAGTGTTCGATGTTTTTGGTGTTCGATGTTCAGGCGGGTGGATGAGAATTGTCGCTGTTTCGTATTTCCCGAAGTTACGGCCGGTTCTCGCAGAGATGTCGAGAAAAGATCGGAGCCCCCCTGAAGAGTCTAGGTACGTCCCTGGGCGCGCGAGGTGAGCCTCTCGCTTCCTCTTTCACCTGGGTTTTAACGCAGGTGCCAACACCTGCGCCTGCGCCGATACCACCACTTCGAATACTCCGCTGTCATCTCCTCTCGCTTTCTCCCGCGTGCGCCTTATCCGCGTGTGCCAGGTCGTCCTTGCAACCTCGCGATAGCGGGGCCCCGTGGATCTTTCGCGCTTCCGCGCTTCTCCCCGTTATCCGGCGACCCGCCTCCTCGTGCATCCGACATGTGCAGCGGCTTTCGGGAAATAATAACAGCAATTCGTTAGTATCGCGCAGGTGGAACGGTGTGATTGTCCTGGAAACGCGCTGCGCGCTCTTCCCGCATGATTCCCCACCTCCTGCGGCTTCACTTCTCTCATTCATCGTGTAACACACACACACATACATATATGTAGAAAGTTTTTATCGTACATAAATCCTTAATTTATAGATTTAGCTTTATGTATCTTCTATAATATTACAATTATAAAATAAATTAATTACAAAGAGAGAAAGAGAGAGAGAAAGAGAGAGAGAGAGGAGTGCAGCAGCCGCTGCTTCAGTCGCGAATCATCCGGTCGACTTTCGGTCTGCCACAATTTTCATTTTTTAGCGAAAACTTATGCTAAAGAGTAACCTCATTTTATGAGCCTCGATTTTTTTTTTTTTAATTAACCTCGTAAGATGACTACATTTCGATGGCATAATAAATGCGAGCTTAACATATATATCATTAAAATATATATGTGTTGTGATATTTTGCATGAATTCTTTCAACCCCTCGGCAGTTGCCATTACGTGCGTGTGACTTCAATTAAAAAATACCGAACTCTGTCGAGCAGTCACACGAAATTTTTTCTATCGCATGCAGTAAGTGGAGCTGAAGCAACAGTTTCTGTTTACAAGCGCGTTTGTTATGTGATTTAGCATTAGTTGATTTTCCATTATATTTGTTTCAAGTTATCTTTTCGAACATTTTCAAATAACAAATGAGCGATAAGCAACCGAAGCAAGGAATATTTGACAATGCTATTTTATAATGTAAGTTTCGAATTTTTTAAATCACTTTCGATCGATGTGCCAATCTCAGTCCTACGTCACACTTTCGATCGATGTGCCAATCTCTGTCCTACGTCACAGAACCATGTAAAAAATGTTAAAGTCAGGTTATTTTGTGAGTAAATGACACAAACTCTCTTCTTTCACGATTCCTTCATCATTATCTTTTATATTAGTATTAAAAATCTCGGTGGGAAACCTGAAAGTTCAGAAAAGGTTTCAAAGGAGAGGCACAATGAAAAAAAATTAAGCGCCACGTATCTCCGGCGTGTCAAAAACTAGTCCCACTTTAGCGACGTGCGGCGGCGGCGCGCCGTTGCAGACACAATTTTTCGTGCCTCGCGCGGGACTTTCACCCAGTCGATCAGCCTTCGATTACTCACGCATCGAAGTCTCCCCGAAAGATGTTCGAATTTCTGGCCGGAGATTCTCGCGCAAGCCGCGACCAAAATGGACGAACCACGCGCGATAGAGAGAAGACTTACCGATGGGCGACACAGGCAGGATATAACCGGACTTTACAGTTAGCGGGTCTCGAAAAAAAGAGGTCCGCCGCCAAAATTAACCTGATTCCTGTCTCTAGCTCGGCCACGGCAAGATCGACAATCGGCCGCTTAGAAACGTGGTCGAGCGATCGGGGACACCGATGTGGGTCAACTCGCGGAAAACTACGAGAGTTTTTACGAGCCTTCCTTCCCTCCCCCCCCCCTTCCCACCTCCCGCGTAATGCGCTCTTCCTCGCATTATCGCATCTGGAGTCGCTCCCGTTTTCGTTTCGATATCGACGATAATAATTGTCGCTTAGAGACGGTAATAATCGCTACTGGATAAGGAACCGTTACCGTCTGACTGGGATTGCTCGGCGTGCGATGTCTCGTTGCGCGTCTCGAGATCATTGAGACGAATCCATGCGGGAAGGAAGCGTTGGATGTTCAAGTGAATAATCAAACGTTCCTCGGTAAATTTTTACCGGATCAAATAATATTCACTCGATCTAAGGTGAAATGTTTTCCAGGCGAATCAGACGAGTAAAATTTACTCGATTCAAGTAAAAATGTATTAAAGTATTGGAGCGATCGTTGACTCGAATGGCACTTATTTTCTGCATGGGTAAAAGAGAAAATCACGATAACATTGTAACGACGTTGTCGAGGGATGGCTGTGAAAAATTACACGACAAGAACATTATAAAAACTCACTTCTCGATCATCTCCTCGGCATCGTCATTTTCGGTTCCGAAGTAGAAACGCGCGTCTCGCATGAACTTTTCCACGCTCGAATTCGTCCTCGCTACGCGGAAAATCCGCGGATTGTTAGAAATGCACTCGACTCTACGTGGTTTCGAGCTTGTCACTCACCGTTGTCTTCCCGGGCATCGGAGTGTGAAGTGTCCTCGGCATTATGTACAATTCGTATAATTCATATAATTAAATCCGCTGAACGATCGCGCACATGCGGCATTCGCGCGTCTTTGAAACGTCCGAAGTTTCAAGAAGCAGACTTACGTTCTCGCGTGTCATAAGAGGCAACCGCTGTCAGCGTGATCGAAATCTACGCTGAGAGAAAAAATATCTCGAAAAAAAAAAATATTTATTTGATGAATACATTAATAACATTTTCACCTAAATCTGAATTCTCCTATTTAAATAAACTAATAATCGCTATCAGGAAAGGCTACAGTTTTAAGAAAAAATGCGTTCATTTAGCCAAATTAGCCGAATTAGTATTTCGCAGGATATTCGACTGCCAAAATTCCCAAAGAAAAAAGAGAATCGAAAAGTGATAGAAAAGAAATTAATACGAATTGGAAATCACAGTGTCGTGTAATCTTTACGGTTACGTAAGAATGTCTTGGTATTTTTTAAATTCCTGCGATGTACTTCATGCTTGATACGCGCGACTATCTATTGATTTTGTCATCAATACGGTTCGGTATGTTATGCTCACGAGTGATTGAGAAGGAGACTTCGAAAAAAAAATACAATTCTCGAATGTTGAAATCATGTTTTCCACATCTCACGCTGTTCCAGCCGTGTCCTGGCTCATAATCAAGAGCGTTTCTTCTTATCGCCTGAAGCGTGTCAGGTCTTAATTGCAGACCACGTACGATGCCCTTGTTTTTCGCTACGATGGGGTTCGAGCGGCAACCTTGACCTTTTAATTGGACGATACTTCAACATTTTCAATGTTGCATTACACAAACATCTCTTTCTGTCCCGACGTTTTGATAAACTAGCAGGACAGGCTAATATTATTCGCGTATGTATGGATTCGCAGATTAAAAAACTAATAGTTGTATTTTTCCTTCTCTCTCTCTCTCTCTCTCTCCCGTTCGCCACTTCTTCCACGCGTCGCACTTCATGTGCGTTACGCAACGCACTCTGTGGACAGCTTGATTGTAATCTCTATTTATTAAGGAGAAAAAAAAATAAAAAACAAGAACGAAGATCGCGATGTTGCGCAAATTGTTTTTACACGGCCGTGAGCGACCGCGTAAACACTTCCGCGGGACTTTCGGACAGACCAACCTATTCAAGTTACCTGTCGTTAGTCGGCAGCAATAAAAGCAGCACGACTAACGCGACTAACATGATTCGAAAGTACTCTCATTCTTTCTTACGATTTGCCAGGATCCGTCGTATTGCCTTGTCATTTATCTTATGTACAGGAGAAAGAAGGAGAGGGGGGGGGGGAGAGAAAAAGAGAGAGAGAGAGAGAGAGAGCTTGATCGCATATGCCACTCGAACTGAAACGACCTGTATGGATTATCTATCGTTACATACCGTAATATTGAATTTTAAACAGTTGTCTATTTTAAAAGTAGTATCTTAGAAACCTCTATTTTGAAGTCGCTTAACCGTTAAGTACGAGCCGTATAATTAAATAGGCGTAATAAAAGGCGTTTCGAGATTTTCACTTTTTCATAAGGCCAGACTTTTTAGAAGAAAAAAAAGAGAAGCAGATCCAAGGTGAACCTCGTGTTCAGATTAACATAAAATATACAAAATAAGATGAGATATACAAAACAAGAAAAAATGAAATTGAATTTTTTCCCCGTGACATCTCCCTATGTCCAGTCTATTTTATTATTTCCTTTTTCTTCTCTCATTGAATAATATTAATCTATTTGTCTTATCATATTGTAGCGAGAATGATTTAAAAGAATGAAAATTTGAAGGATCATTCTACGTGCATCCGTAAACTGACAAGAAGAGAGGGAGAGAGAAAGAAAAAGAAATAATAACGAGCGTGTCTGAAAGCACACTTTTGCGCGAAACAAGAAAATCATGTCCCGTCGCAACTGACACCTGAAGATCCGAAGGGGATAATACACCTCCCCCCCCTTCCCCCTATTGGTGAACGTTACAATCAGTCGTGCTATAATTTACAGGACGCGCAACTAAGTTAACAACGGTGATCTTTCGCAAACACGCGGCCTCCACCTTTCCCGGGCTATGCGTTACAGCATGATTGTAAGGAATATTACGTTCAAACATCGCTGAGGTGGAATAATTAATTGCCGCTAATTACTGTTCAACCTCTAACCGGCATGTTTCTAACCGTAATTGTACGATCCATGTCGTTAAGAGATACGCAGACATTCATAATCACGGCTATTACTACGCGATGCGTTTCGAGAGCCTTTTTATTACGAGCGCGCGTATAAAACGCGCGGCTCACGAGACAAACGCGATCGACCGACATCAAATATGATATTTTTAATAGAATCTATATATAACATTTCTTCATATAAGCAAATTTCATCTGCTTAATGCTGTATAATCTCATTTCAATATTTGCATACGTTGAAAAGAAGAATTATCTCGGGACAAAATTATCCTTCGTTTCTGTGTAATAATGCAAATATTATCATCCGTGACGATTCGATCGATCGGTCCGTCAGGAATGTCCACCAGGATCGTATCGTGACGACGACGGCCGCGTGTCGCATCGCGCGGAACATCGCGAAACTTTTCTTCCGCTCCCGGTCATCAAGACGGTATTAGAGCGTTATTCCATTTACTCTTATTTACAGAAGCTCCGTGCATCGTGCACCGAAAAGCGCGAGGCAGCGGGTAGGCAAAGCTTCAGTGCGTGTAATTGCCTCCTCCAACTCTTGAATCACATGAATGACCGAACTGCGCCAAGATCAGAAGCCGGCGAAAGCGACTATACGAACAGCTGCACACACCGAGCGCGTTTCTATTTTTCTCTCAACAACGCGGAGAACATAGTAGTAATCACTGGCAAAAGTACTAACGATTAATCGCTGGTTGCAACTTCGCTGATTTTTCGGACGAATTATTTAATTAATCAATTAATCACCGCGATTACAACGAACGATATTTTCGACGGCGACAGCACAGAGGTGAATGACACGTTTGTTTATATGATCGCGTCCCTACGTAGAGCAGTTACACGACGCCGCTATCGGCCAGCTTTCATCGTTGACGTAAGCTACCGGGGTGCTTACTCCGAGGAGGAAAAAAAACTCTCACCTCGTCGGCACGAATTTTTGATCCGGTTTTCAATGAACGTCGCGGGACAACAATTGCGAGACAAATTAATGGACGATCGAAATAACTCGAGTACTATTATCATCACCCGCCTTTCTAGGTTAAGAGACGGAAAAACAGTCAGGAGATTGGGAGGAGAAAATGTTTGGAAAATTAATCGAGTCAAAATTTCGAGCTTATTATAAGTACATTTCAACGTTGGTGAAATCGGGCGTTAGAAAGTGAAATAAATGTGCAAAAACGTAATTTTGTTAGGTAAGACTAGCAAGTTTACGAGGATCCTTCTTGATACATTACATTGAAAAAAAGTGCGACTTTAATTACCTAGCGATACGGCTACCTTAAATATTCATGTTGCATCGATGAAACTGAATATTTCCTTGATCGATCCCGATCGATGATCGGAATAAATACGCGTATTGAGAGTGCGCGCGCGTTCCGTTGTTAAATACGATTACGCCAGGTTGCTCCAAGTATACGAGATTACTCCGTGATTAACGACTTAATGATCGCGGAAAAGAACGACTTAACGACGTCGTATAATCGTAGAAAATGCGCGTCCAATCGATTATTCAGACCGATCGAGGGTGGCGTATATATGTTGTGTAAGTTCGCGAACTGAGCAAAACGAGTGGAAGGGAGGGGGGGGGGGNCGCGTAGGAAAGAAGTACATTATTATTTTAATTAATCGCGCACAAATAAGTACAGATAACTTAGTTCGACAAGAACGAATATTATGTTGCTTCAGATATTATGCTCTCGATAAGAACGAAGTACGAAATTATTAAAAGTATTGCGTTAGCTTTGCGCCGACCAATTACTCACTGCATTTCCTCCTCGCTCCTGGATCAATCCTCGCGAGCATCATGGAACAGGTGCCTCTCCGCATCCCAGCTCCGCCCCGCTGCGGATTATCGTTAATATACGTTCTAATCAGACTATAGAGAGAAAAAGAAAGAGAGAGCGTTGATACTACCTATCGCACAGATGTCTAAAATACGGTATTGACTGCACCCTTGGCATCCCCATCAACGGAAGCAACTGACGTTGCTTTAAATATCAGTCGGTCAAAAGTTCGCTTCAATTTTCGACAGATGGCGTCACGTATATGCGCCACAGACGACAATATCGATAATAGTATGCTGCCGAAACGACACTGGCGGAGGATCATAAACGGCATGCCTCAGTTGACGAATAATTGCAGATTCCACTTCCTTAAAGAGGGTCTAAAATGAAAATTTAAGGCGTAAGATTTGAGAAATCATAATTGATTTTTCTTCTATAATTCGACTGTGATAATTAAGAATTTTACTTCTGGTGTCGCAAGTATCATTCAAAAAACTACCGATTATCTTGGATCATATCACGCCGACATATATATATATATATGTGTGTTGCAATCTTCGGTTTTCACCGGCGAAAGGAATAGAAAGCCGGCGGCATTTTAACTCCTCGTCGTGCTTGACAGGAGGACACGGTAATTAGATGAACTACAATTTCCTCCGATCGCGCGCGGCGGATGTCCGTCTCGTTGTCGTCCGTCATGACGATCGGAGAAGTCGCCGAATCGCGCACGCAAAGAGAAATTTCGAAGGTGCTACATCCCGAGTCGAAATTTTGGCCCTGTCGAAGTAGCCTTCTACTCATTTCAGAGTTGGGTAATAACTAGTTACTCAATTAAAAGTTACGTTAAATTTCAATAAATTTTAACTTAAAATAATAATTTATCACTAGCCATTTTATCATAGGTAGTAATACTTTTCTGTAAGGGTTATACATAAATTCGTACATCTAGCTTTACATATATATATATATATATATATATATATAAAGCTAACTATATACCTTTTATAAAATTACAATTTTTTAATGTTATTATTATCGAGGAATGTTTCTTTGTAAGACGATAGTTCCTCGCGGAATAAAGTCGCGGAATACATGACAATGATCGTCAAAGTGTTAAGAACGTCGAAGTGGCATCAAAATTTCGATTCGGAATGGTGAGGAGATTGCAAGTGACCGAGTCGTCTCCGAAAACGGCTGTTTCTTATCTTCTCACCGATTTATGACCTTTCGGTGTACATCACAAGGATCTTGCGAAGCGACTGGTCGCCGAGGCCTCGTCTCGCTTGTCTCGGCGACGAAACACGGTGCGGACGAAATGGATCGGCTCCATGGAGGTCGACCGGTGTCTTACGCGTGTTCTGCCAGTTTCTTCCAGACGGCTCCCAAGTAGATTTCTACGACGCGGAGCGCGGAGAGTTCAAACCAAGAGATGAAACAAAAAAATGTAAGTTGTTTATTATTATACGTATCGCTACAAAGACGACGCGGCGATTAAAAGAAGAAGAAGGAAAAGTTGTCGATACAATAAATCAGGAATCTGAATCACGCTCAATCAAGGCAGATTCATATCTTCGAATAGCTGGTAAGTCATTTGCATTGCATCAATTGCTGTTATTTGCGTGCGTCGCACAAAACAAACACGAGAACACAGCGAAGAATCTGAATTACAAATCGTCATTCCATCCGCGACTTTTATTTATCGTGTTTTTTTTTTCGCTGACAAAAATACGCAATAATTAGAAGAAAATATATTCCTGATTGTGGGAATAAAAAACTTCTTCTGATTTACCGCAAGCGCAATAAAAAAGGATAATTATATTATTAAAACAAGAAAAAAAGAGAGAGAGGAAGAAGTAAAAAGAATTATAAATAAGAGAAAGATATTCGAATATAAAAAAAATTGTTATCTCGGAATTAATTATAGCGATTAATTTGTCTCGCGGAGTGAAGGTCTCGAAGATGCACGCCTCGTAATTTTCCCCCATAGTTTGTCAATTTCGCATTTTTGCATTATACTTGGCGTGCGATGGGATTGCACATTTCTCTCTCTCTTTTTTTCTCGGGAACGGCGTTCAGAGAACGCATCGCGCACTGCGACATCGCATTGCCGCGCCGCAAAATGTTACAACATTCTAATTGAGAAAGCTCGGAATAGCAGAAGCATAATCGTCCTCATTGCGCGCACGCATTAACATAATACTCGCAAGAATGGTATCAAGTGGCCAATATTAAATAAAATGACGTCAATGCGATTCTCGTACGATATTAGAGCGAAAGAGCGAGTGAATGTATATACTCGAATAGCGCACAAATGTCTAAAAGATGATTAAAGGATAACGTGGAAAAAAGGTCCTTGGTAGCGCAATTCATTGGCGATACATTGGTCCAATATTGGTTATATCGGGGGTACGTTGGACGAATGTTGCCCAATATTAGTCCAGACAACACAAATGTCCAAAACCAGGACATCTTTTAGACATCTTTAAGTTGTCTTTAAGATAGCGTAATATAAGGCGTTTTTAAATAATTTTTAAGACGTCTAAAGGACATCTTACTTATCCCGATCCTGGACATTGTGCTGTCTGGGAAGTCGGCCGGACAACCAAACCTGTAAAAGCAGATTTGATGTAATATTTGCTAGCGAAACCTGATAATAGATTAATTGGTTATCACGCTCTGCTGAGAGTGACCATTCTCGTTGTCTTCTAGTTTTACGTGCTATCTGGATCGTTATTATCATATTATGTATATCTGTTTATGTGTTCATTCTTTATTGCAACGAAGGTACAATATCTGCGTACGCGCATCGTATGGTTTGCGTACGCACTTTATTTACAACAAGCGTATACAAGGCATACACAAATTTCTTTTTAACACAAGACTATGCATGGCTGCTGTAAACGGGAACGCCTCATTATCATTCGTCTCCGTTTGCTCCTAGAAATACGTTTACGATTACTATACAGAAATTGAAAGTTGATTCGCATGGATTAAATCTTGTCTATCTGTCTATCTGTCGATCTCGCCGAACACGATGTCCAAGGTGCCGATAATGGCGACCACGTCGGCAAGGAAGTGCTTAACCCCTATGTGGTGCAGAGCTGAGAGATGCGCGAAGCCCGGGGCCTTGATTTTGCATCTGTACGGCTTGCTGCTGCCGTCGCTCACGAGGTAAACGCCGAACTCGCCCTTCGGCGCCTCGATAGAGGTGTACGTAGCGCCCGGTGGCACCTGGAAACCTTGCGTGTACAGCTTGAAGTGATGGATCAGAGCCTCCATGCTGTTCTTCATCTCCTCCCGCCGTGGCGGCACTATCTTGGCGTCATCGCAGCGCACCTCGCCCTCGGGCATCTGGTTCAGGCATTGGTGAATGATGCGCAGGGACTGGCGCATCTCTTCGACACGGCAGAGGTACCTGCAAGAGACAATCCGACGATGAAGACCTCGCGACTGTAGTCTCACCGACGAGACAGCTGCAGTAATAGTCGTAGTTAACAACAGCATTTCGGAAGGGGAGAGACAGCGGATATGTCAAATCAGCTTTTTGAAACTATTTCACCCGGAAGGAAAAACGTCACCTGGTGCGATTTAATTGATTGAATGAATTTTTCCTTTATTCCCGTCATTTTAGATATTAAAGGTGGTAACAGTTATCACCTCATTCCGCATAATAATTTTCGTCTTTAGTTCGGTTCACCCGGACGACTCACCTGTCGTAGCAGTCGCCGTTCACGCCGACCGGCACGTCGAACTCGACCAGATCGTAAGCGTCGTAAGGCGCGACTTTTCTCAAATCCCACTTGATCCCGGAGCCGCGCAACATCACCCCACTGAATCCCCAATTCAGCGCGTCCTGCGCCGACACGACGCCGATGTTGATGGTGCGTTGCTGCCAGATCCGGTTCTCCGTCAACAAGTCTTCCACCTCGTCCAGCCGCTCTGAGTACTTGGAGGCCCAGTTGTAAATGTCATTCATCAGACCCAGCGGCAAATCCAGAGAGACACCGCCCGGCCTTATGTAGGCCGCGTGCATGCGGGCACCGCTCACGCGCTCGTAAAACTCCATCAGCTTCTCGCGTTCCTCGAAGAGCCAGAAGAAAGGCGTCATCGCTCCGACATCCAAAGCGTGCGTGCCGACGCCCATGATGTGATTCAGGATCCTCGTGATCTCCCCAAAGAGAACTGCAAAGGCACACGAATAAGACTCCATGGAAACAACTGCATCAATGATTCAGTCAGATTCTATTGTACAGCCCTGCCCATATCGTTAGACGCACCTTAGTTTCTTACTTAATTCATTGACTTCCGAGGACCAGCTTTATAATACGGCTCATCTATCGATCGAATTACGTTGAAGAACTATTATTCTATGAAAGGTACTCTTCGTACAATGTCATTTCACTTGGCTTTATTTGTGACTTGAAACTTCAAATGCCTTTCTCACTAACAGAAAGATCAAGATTTTTGTGTGAGAAATATTAATATTGTTTGCAAAGATTATGGGTAAAACAAGTGACTCGACATCTTTCTTCTCCTCCTAACCTGTATTCTATTAAAAAATCAAAGTGCATCTAATAATAATACAGCTAGGGACTGTATATCCAACATCATAAATCATAAACCATACGCGAACTTGTAAAACTGCACCTAAAGATGTAAGGGAGTAAACTTGATTAACCATAGGAGATCCTGGACGACCTCTAACTCAGGAAAAAGATAATCCTCACCTCGAATGTACTTAGCGCGTATCGGCACATCGATGTTGAGTAGCTTTTCTATAGCCAGGGAAAAGCATTGCTCATTGCACATCATGGAAACGTAGTCCAGACGGTCGAAGTAGGGCAGAGCCTGCATGTAGGTCTTATACTCGATCAGCTTTTCCGTGCCACGGTGCAAAAGACCTATGTGGGGATCAGCACTGATCACTATCTCACCCTCCAGCTCCAAGATCAGCCTGAGTACGCCGTGAGCGGCTGGATGTTGCGGGCCGAAGTTGAGCTTGATGTTCTGTATGACTTGCTTCGGAGCAGGCAGCGGGACAAGCTCCGACCGCTTGTAGTATGGTGTCCACGATATTTCCTCCGGCGAGTAATACACCGGTTTTTCGAACTGCTTGAGATATTCGGCGTCTGGGTTCCATTGCCTGACGCCGCGACGCCGTCTGCAAGATTGACACAAGGTTGTCAACGCGAAACGTATTAATGGACGAGTCCGATAGGGGTTACGACGAGGTTATGTAATAACGTGCAAAATTACGGCGAAGCTGCGACCCGTTGAACGCGAGTAATTACTTACACGTCGACGACCGCAGGCGCATTATTCGGCGACAATAATCTGTTAGCGCCGAAAAATCCTGCGTTTTTACGCAGGACCGACTTCAACACTCTGGCCGCCATGATGCTCACATCACGTCGGAGGCGCTCGGTCGATGACTGCAGCAAAACACGGAACGGAACTTTTTGTTCTTCTCGATCTAGTTTTCTGCACCGGTGCGACACAAGTACACCGAAGTGTTCTTTTTTAACAGAAATGATGTCGGTGCAAAGATTACGGTATTCATAGCGGGATCTTATATTTAAGCGTCCTAAGATTATCTTCAGATACTGTACGGCTCATTTCGTTGGCTACGAAACATATGAAGATGAACTTAACACGGTCACATATTTTACATATGTGTGTGTGGGTATGTTAAAAGTGAAAGAAATAAATTCTACGCGATGTATTCTCCCCTTAAACATTATTTTTATTTATAGATATAGTATTTGTAAAACTATGTGTAACTACCAAGTGACTACAATAAAAAAAAAATATCATCTATTATTACATCAAATTAGTTTTAAACTGTTGCCGTTTCCATGTAAAATCAGGCATAAGCGTTTCTTCGACGAATATTACGCGGTTCATGCCATCAACTAGTAATATGGAATGTGTCCTTGTACCATATTCTTTTCCGATAGAAACAAAAATTGAACTAAGTTCTTTGTATCTTGTTGGAGATCTCTCTTGCAACTCAGGATCTGGCAGATACCTGAAACATACGGTTTGAATATCGTATTTGCGAGCACTTTATATACAGTGTGCCAGCATAAATTTGACTTAAAATAGCACTTAAATTAGTCTTCGGAATAAAGATACAAAGATGAAAATCTTTTCCATTTTTTACTTACAATTTTTGCTGGAACATAAATGGAATTTTCAATTTTTTTCAGGCAATTTCGTTTTTTTTTTTTTTTAATAGAGTCGTACTATACTTTTATACTGATATTTTACGAGGTAAAGAAAAACAAGATAAATATTCATATTATTGAAATAATCTCCAATTACCTTAACATATGTTATCGAACTATTTTATTACATATTTAAACTTGGATTTACCTTTTTTTTGATTTTAAAAAATTAACAAGCTCTTCAATCAGATTATTCTGATTCGTGATATCCGCATTCTTTACGATACGTTTAAATTCTTCTTTCCCCGCCTCCACTTTCTTATAAGGACGATCTAATCCACTATTTCCAATACCTATAATATCACTGTTACACATTATAGGCCCCGTAGATCCTATACAACTGTTTAGATAATGTACATTGGCGTTGCTGAAATATATAATATCACATGTATATTATAAGAATGTTATTGCTACATTACATTGAAGGAGAAAAAGAAAAACAAGAGAGAGAAGGGAGGAGCAGTTGCGAACATACAAGGTATTCATCATAATGGTTGCCACGATTTTTAAGTCATTTCCAACAATTTGACAAATAGAAGGTATAAATAAAAAAATTAATGGGTTTTAACAGGCAGTAACTTTCGATTTAAAAATTTAAATAATACTCAACTTTTAAATCATATATCAAGCACATCTTTATATTTTTTACTATAAGAATAATTTTCTGTATACTTATATAGACATATTTTGGTATATTGTCCACATTGTGACTAGTATAATTATATTAACCCAGATAGCCAAACCTGGGCAAAGAGATTTCGAGCAAAGCCTGCTACAGATTTTTGGTGACAGAGAGACAACATCCCTTGCAAAAAAAGTATTATTGGCTGGTCAGTAATAAATTATTATATCTCAGCCCTATTGAGTGTGTGAATAAAATTGACAGTGTTAAAAAAACTATGTTACAAATGTTGGCTATTTGAATTACTAAGATGAATGCCCTATTATATATTTATACATATATATATATATTAAGCCTTTATCTTATTATTCTATTTAATACAATATTTTCCCAAGATTATGACTGTTTAGTATGAGTTTATCATGATTATCAAATATTTACGTACTATAAATTTAACAAAATCAAACAATACGGATTATATGGCTGTCCATTAACATTTTCTCTGTGTAATTTGTCCAAGTATAATTCCATGGAATCATTGGAAGTAATGAAATTTGTTATCAAAGGTCCACGACCCTTTTTTGACGCATCAATTGCACATCTGTTGTTAATGAAATTTAAAGTGACAGCAGCTTTTCCTTTCGTCGACAGAGCTAACCAAGTTCCACCTTCCTTACCAGGTTCCATGTCAATACCTAATATACCGTAATATTTTTGTTTAATTTAAATATCACACCGTTTCTATATTGCACAATCCATAATTAGATAAGAGTTAAAGAACATTCGGTTTCACATAACTGTCATTAATATTTTTGTCATACCTCCCAGACAATCCGGATACTGATCCCAGTAATGAGCTGATAATGTAGGTCGTTTGTACATTTCATCTCGATTTGACGCAACTATTAATCGATAGGAATTAGCATCTGCATCCGAATTACGGTAAATAAATAAAATGCACATAACTGATTTCTCAATATTCACAACTGCTACGGACACTCCAAAGGAAAACCTCTTTGTAAAGCTCAAAATCAGTATCTACATAGGGTGTTTTTTTGTAATGCTGATAACATTATCAAACAATTAGTTGATAAATTAAGATAACAGGATTTGTTCTTTCCACTTATCTTCACTTAGGCTGGTTCACTTTGCGGCCAATGAAATGAGTCGTAGAACATCTGAAGATAAATTTAAAACGGTCTTAAATATAAGATCTGACTATGAATACCGGTCTTAGAACGAGACGGATACATGTTCGGACGAACTAGAAGCAAAGACGAGGAGAAAATCGAGTGGGGAAAAATGCGCAAGCAATACAAACATGCCAAATGCCACGTAGTTTGTCTAACCAAATGATATATAAGTCGCCTTCGGGAATCCACACTGACTGTGCGCATCATTAGACATCAGTTGTTCTGAAACTCACCCAGGCTTCATTCAGAAACATCACCTTTCAGTATGCTTTCGTCACTTCAGTCACCGAAGTTACAAAAGCATGCAAAAGAGCATACCAAATTGAATTATGTAACAAACTGAGATGAGCACCGCCCTTGTTTCTGCTGGATAACCTCGTGCCGAGAGAGACCATATCCAAATAGTATCCCTGTCTTTGTCTAACTGTGTCCGTCTCTGTCTTATCTTGGCCTATGTAGACTATATAACGTTAGTAAGACAGAGAGCGAGATACTACTTAGACACTGCCTTTGTCTAGCAGACCTACTCGTGCCCGTACTAGGCTACAAATTGAAATTTAAGTCAATTTCAGCGAATCCTGCTCTGATTGGCCAAATTTCAGTTCAATCTCTATTTTGTATTTCTTCCATCTAGATAAGGATAAAGATGATCTATTTATTCATCTGGATGCTTATTTAAATAATTTAATCCAGATGCCGGCAAACACCGCTCGTTGCGAGTTCCTCGCGCTCACTGACGCGGGCGGGAACCTCGAATTTCCCCACGGGCGAGCGACTGCCAAGAGTTTGACGCAAGTCACTGTATCGAGGCTGCTATTTCGAGGATAACGGTGGTGTGTGGATCATTGTTGCTCCCGTCGGCTACAACATTCTGCACGTCGTCGTCGCGCAATTGCGCGCACGCAGGCCGACAGTTCTGTTTTGATTCACCTTTATTTTTACTGTACATTAAACGTATACATCGTCATATATATACAAAGGTACAAAAGTTAATCACCTTGCTGATTACTGGAAGAAATCTCCCACAGATATTCGTCCTTCGATCCACGTTTAGGAAGAAATACACTCCAAAAATATCGAGCCGAATCACTGAAATGATCCGATGTGTCGCATTTGTGCATTCGCGCGATAAGAGCGCGCCGTCGAGAGGCTCGAGATCGAATATCCGTTCCCGCGTTCTCAGCAATACACCGGTAGTGTAATCCACCTGCATTCTGTTTGCGGACGATCGAAATCAAACAACAAAAAGTTGCAACCTACGCCTTGTATATATAATTTGACAGCTGTCAGATCACCTACGCATGATCGTCAATTCATAGGTTCTCTCCGTCATAATTTTTATATGTTCCGAAATATGAGAAACAAAAACTGTTGCAACTGTTCTATGACCGAGTATACGGCGTTCGTTAACAAATACGTAAAAAGTTTAAAGTATTCTCTTTAAAACGCCTATATCATATTTTCGAATTAAATAATTTTTTGCTCGGAAAACTCAACTGACGAAGTTTGAAATTGAGTGGTCGCCATTTTTCGTTTAACTCGAAATATCTTGACGAAAATTAACGACAACATTAATATAGCTAACGTGATTAGAAACTAGAGACTTCAAGCTTTAAAATGCTTCTTGAACGATGTCGATAGCATCATTATTGCAAAAGTTACAGCCTGTTTAATTTCGCCTATGTTATATTAGAGTGAAAAGTACGTCTAACCAGCCTTTGAGTCATACTACTCGAAAAATAGAAGCACGCCTGACTCCATCGTTTAGTCATATTACGACCTCAGTTTCTCCGTTAAGTATAGTGGCGACTCATAGCGGAGATCCTGGAACTAAGTTTCAGAAATAACGGGTTTTTCGTGCGAAAGTTANATTATTAGACCCGTTATTTCTGAAATTTAGTTCCAGGATCTCCGCTATGAGTCGCCACTATATTTAACGAGAAACTGAGGTCGTGATATGACTAAACGATGGAGTTAGACGTGCTTCTATTTCTCGAGTAATATGACTCAAGGGCTAGTCAGAAGTACTTTCCATTGTAATAAAACATAGGCGAGATTCAACAGGCTGTAACTTTCGCAATAATTTTGCATGTTAAATACGCGTAAGTATCTGACGAGTTCCAAAAACAACCCCAAGAACAGTTGGTTTGCTGCATATAAAAGGCTTACTGCAAAATTATATATCAAAGAAACTCAAGAGGAGGGGATAGCGTGATAATAAAATACTTTTATTACATCAATCCGATGGTGTGATTGTTCTTGCCTTAAGCACTTGAAGCTTTAGAAAGTGCTGCTTGAACGATGTCGATAGCATCATTATTGCAAAAGTTACAGCCTGTTTAATTTCGCCTATGTTATATTAGAGTGAAAAGTACGTCTACTTTTTGTAACTTACTTGCTGTAACTTTCGCACGAAAAACCCGTTATTTCTGAAACTTAGTTCCAGGATCTCCGCTATGAGTCGCCACTATACTTAACGGAGAAACTGAGGTCGTAATATGACTAAACGATGGAGTCAGGCGTGCTTCTATTTTTCGAGTAGTATGACTCAAAGGCTGGTTAGACGTACTTTTCACTCTAATATAACATAGGCGAAATTAAACAGGCTGTAACTTTTGCAATAATGATGCTATCGACATCGTTCAAGAAGCANCTTAAGGCAAGAACAATCACACCATCGGATTGATGTAATAAAAGTATTTTATTATCACGCTATCCCCTCCTCTTGAGTTTCTTTGATATATAATTTTGCAGTAAGCCTTTTATATGCAGCAAACCAACTGTTCTTGGGGTTGTTTTTGGAACTCGTCAGATACTTACGCGTATTTAACATGCAAAAATGCGATATAGTTCATAAACATAATTCTAATTTTTCAGTCTTAATTTTCTTGTATTAAAGCGTGTGTAACTAATATATTGCTCTATTATTATTAATATATTGCTCTCTTATCTTTACACCTACACCTTGTATATGTAATTTGACAGCTGTCAGATTACCTGAGCATGATCGTCAGATTCATAGGTTCGCTTCGTCATAATTTTTATGTTCCGAAATATGAGAAACAAAAACTGTTGCAACCGTTCTGTGACCGAGTGTACATTTAGCGACTAGATGAGAGTAATAATGAGTGAAGTGTGCGCGCGCACCGTTTCTCTCTCCCGGTGAACAGCGTCGTTTAAGCCTAAGAATATCACGTTGCTCGCCTCGTGTTACACACGTCGATGCAGAAGTAGAATACTAACGTAAATAGAAAGTGGGAGGATGGCGCCTCAACAGCCTCGTTTTATTGTACTCGTCGCACTGACGTGAACCCGCGCGAGCGCGCGCGCTGACGAGGGATCGCGGACGAATCGTGCACGGAGAGAATGTCACAGCTGTTTTTTTATGTAAATTTTCTTCTACCAATTTTCCTACGTTTTCTAATAGCGCGTGAATACCCCGATGGAAATATTAGGTTCATAAGAAAGTTATGTCGTTTTTCTGTTGCTCCAATTGAAATGTTCATTATTCATTATCGTTGCTCATTGTGCGATTTAGACAATTTTGGTATTAGTCGAAAGCTAGTAGTTCCACATTTTTATTTTTGATATTATAGGTGTTTTTTAATCATTAAATTTTGAGAAATAGGGGTATATGATGGATCAAGAAAAACTTCACTTTAGACACTCTATGCTTTATGAGTTCCAACATGGTCATAATGCGACGGAAGCTCATAAAAATTTGTGTTTCGTCTTTGGATCATCTAAAGTTAAACTGCGTACGGTCCAAAGATGGTTTGAAAAATTCAGGTCAGGTGACATGAAGCTTCAAGAAGAACCTTGCACTGGAAGACCAAAGGATGACGACGTTCTGAGGGCTTTAGTGGGTAATAAACCACTATTGACTACGAGGGAGATCGGGAATAAGTTAAGCGTTAGCCACATAACAATGAATTTTATGAACATTGAAAACCACTTGAACAAGCTTGACTTTGTCTACAAATGGTGTCGTTGGATTCCCCGTGAATTAAGCGAAAAAATATGGCAGATTAAATTTCTATTGCTTCTTCTTTGCTTACTCGACAACAATATGAACCATTCTTGGATCACCTGATTACTGGTGACGAAAAGTGGATTGTGTATGACAATGTAGTGAGGAAAAGAACCAAGGTGAGGAAAAGAACCAAGAAGCCAGGCAGTTCGCCTCCTATCCTTGCGAAGGTCAATTTGCATCAAAAGAAGCTAATGCTTGCATTTGGTGGGATTATCGATGTCCTATCCACTGGGAACTGTTGCAACCAGATCAAACTGCCACAGCAGACCTATATTGTGATCAGCTAACCCGACTGGATACAAAAATACGTGAACTTCGTCCAGCATTGTATAACGGAAAAGGTGTTGTCTTCCAACATGACACTGCCAGGCCTTGCGTGGCTTTAAGGACGAAGGAGGAGCTCCAGACTCTTGGTTATGAAGTTTTATCACATCCTCCATACTCACCTGACCTGGCACCATCTGACTACCACTTGTTCCTCTCGATGCAAAATTTTCTTAAAAGAAAAAAATTTCGAAATTTTCAGAATGTTCAGAGAGCAGTGGTAGATTTCCTGACTTCAAAGGATAGGATCTTTTATACATCCGGCATAAATGACCTTGTTGACAGATGAAGGAAGGTCATAGAAATCAGTGGTCAATATTTCATTAATTAATCTCACTTATGAGCTTAAATATAAGAAATTGAAATTTCCTAAAAAAAAACGACATAACTTTCTTACCAACCTAATATTTTGCCGAAACACTCTTTCAATCGACACCGTTTCATCAATATACGCGTTCTTCAATTTAATTTCGTAAATTTCACGATATCTGATATTTCGAATATTTTTGTTCTATATTCCGAACGGTACAAAATGTCCTGGAATCGTCCTGGATGTGCTCAGGACGTCCCAAGACACTTCTCAGGGCATCCTGAACATATTTTGGCTGATTTTGGGACATCTTATGCTATATGGAATATCAATTAGTGTAGTTTCTACTATAAAAGTCACGGTAATTTCTACTTTTTTTTCTTTCTCCCGCTATAGTAACTTCTACTGTAAAATTCTCTCCTCGTACACACACACACACACACACACACACCTGCCGATCCGCTCGCCGATTTGCGAATCCGCTAATAGAAGTCGTAGAGAAGATAGCGGTGCAACGACTGCGGCAGCTGGAGCTTCCGCACGATCTTCGGCAACTTTGTGCCGCAGAGCCTGCGGACGATCAGTCTCGCCTGATGGGTCAACGGCAACGGGGTCCTGGCCGCCTCCATCACCAGGGCCTTCTGCGCGTCCGTCAGGCTGCTGGAACGCCGGATCATGCAGGGGTCGAAACTCTCGGCCGCTTCCAGCAGCGCCCGCAGCAGCCGCGGCTTGTCCGCCATGTTCTGCAGGGAATTGAGGATGCCGTGGGGATCGCGGAACTGCGTCTTGATCACCACCCGGGCGCCATACTTGAGCAGCAACGCCACCACCTCCACCGACGGGTTCTCGTTCGAGGCGACGTACTCGGCGAGGACCGGGCGCAACGCCGGTCCGTCGTCGCTCCGTATCACCAGATTCGGATCGGCGCCGCGCTCCAGCAGCATGCACAGGATCTCCAGCCGGTTCGGGATGTTGTCCGCGCAGGCCACGTGCAGGGGCGAGCCGATGATGGGCGAAGTGGCGTTCACGTCCGCACCTGTGTATCGGCAAAAATCGAATCAGATTGGCGCGGATCCACTCGGATCTCGCGCGATTAAAGGACTTCTCTATCCAGTTTAACCCGTTCTTCCCTCACGCGAGACCGCTTGCACGAAACATACCGGACACCCTGTATATATATACGTATAGTTTTTGTCATTGAATATATATTTATTTTCCTGTTTATATTATTTGTTCAATATGTCCACCTTTCGTTTGCAAACATATTACTTCTCGTTGTATAGAAGACTTCATCAATTGTCTCATTCTCTAGGTATAATGATGAAATTCCCAATTAGGCGCGTAATCTCAGAATATTCACGCATCATGTTTTTTATTCTGTGGTCCGGGAACGATACTCCAGAACAGCGGGCATAACGTGCAAATATTCAGAAGTAATGCTTCTAATTGGGAATTTCCGAGTCTTGTCTTTCCCGAGCAGCGTTTCGGCAACGTTGGGCAACAGTCAGCCAACCAACGTGTGCCGCTCGGACTGTTAGAACAGTTAATAAAGCAAAATAGCAATATAGTTAAGAATATACCTGAATATGTTCCTTTCGACTCCTACTGCCACGGTAACGTTGCAATAAGAAACAGGAAATTAATTCCGATCGGTGTGACGTGATATATAAAACTTATAACGTATAATATCGATTCTTCGAGGCTATACCGGTATTACTTATCAATTTTCTCAAAATTACGTGATTGGGGCCTCGAAAAATCGAGAAAACTCACAAAGACTCCACATAGACTCGGTATCTCGAAAAACAAAAAACATTTTACCGCCTGGAATATTTTTCGAGTTGCGATCACAAGCGCAATCGCAACCTGGAAATCGCGTCGACCGAGAACCGACAGAAGCGTAAAGGACATCCTGTTCGCGTCGTTAACCAATACTGACGAAAAAAGCTCTTGGCTGGCACGACACGATCCAGAGTGCGGAGGCAGAGATCTATCTATCCGTCTGTCTGTCTGTTTGCGATCCGAAAACCGCATAGCACACGAAAGGGTCGACACGGCGATCGTAAAGCGTATTCGGCACGCGACGACCTTCGAATGCCGAACACAATTCGGCCGTATGCCAGTATCGCAAACAAATCGTATCGCTCACCCGCTTCGAGCAGCATCTCGACGATCGACGGGTCACCCTTGAGTATGGCCAAGTCCAGGGCCGTCGGCTTCTGGTAGTCCGGTCCCGGGTTCAGCCTGGCGCCCTGTTTCAGCAGCAGATTGATCACCGCCGGGTCGCCGCCGAGGATGGCATAGTGCAACACCGTGCGGTAATCGTGCCTGGCGTCCGCCAACGAGTTCACATCGGCGCCGTAATTCAACAGCAGAAGCACCGACGCTATACCCTGTTTATCATGCGCAGCATCGGTTAGTTTCCCTCCGCGAGAATGCGGTAAGCAATGAGACGGGCGATGAGAGAAAGCGTTTGAACGTCAAGTGCGAAGAATCTGAGATAACACGATTCTTCTGGCACCTAAAGTCATTACTGATTTCAAACACCGATTATCAATTCGATTTAAAATTACCGATTTCGAATCGTAATCGATCGAAAAGACGCTTGAAGGATTAAACGAACTTTTCGACTATATTTATCGCGAATGACAAATTTTTGAGATCCGGTGGATCAACTTGGGGAAATAGAGAGTATAAGAATATATAAAGAAATAACAAAACGTTAACTTAAGATTAGCGCGTTCCTTAAGATTAATTTTTGCTAAAATTCGTTAATGTTTAAATATCGTAGATAAACTAAACAGAATTAGGTACCTGTGGCAATCGGGCGGCCTTCATAAGAGGAGTTAAGCCGGCGCGATCCCTCGTGTTCGGCTGGGCGCCGAAGGCCAACAGCAGTTCCATGCACTCCAAATCGAGAGGCGACACCAGATTGATCTCGGAGCCGAAGAAGTATCTCTTGTTCGGATTGGCACCAGCCTCGAGCAGCGTTCTCGCGACCTCGACGTGACGGTTACGCAGGGCTAAACGCAACGGCTCGTCGCACAGCATGGTTCTACGTCAGAAGGAACTACACGTTAGTCCGTCGATCAAGCCTAAAATCGCTCGAAAAGAACTTTGGTGACCCAAAGTCAAACCGACAAGATCGGTAAATAGATCTTTTCAAACCCCGCAACTTTCATCTGAAACAGCACCTATCAAACTTATATACTTTTCGAGATATCTCGGAGTGCCGGTATTTTTTTCTCACCCCACAACTTGCGTCGTTTCACGGAGGGAGATTGAGAAGGGACAAGTGGCTCACCTGGGGAACAGCTCGCTCGTGTCCTGACGGTGGTCCACCTTGGCGCCATACTTGAGCAACAGTTTCACCAGGTCCAGGTAGCCGTGTTCGGCGGCGAGATGCAGGGCCGAGTAACCGCATTCGTCGGTGGCGTCGATGTCGGCGCCGCGCACCAGGAGAAGCTGCGCCGCCTCGGTGTAACGCTGCCACACGGCGTAGTGCAGGGGCCTGAGACCCTGGGTGACCGGCTCGTTCGGCTTGGCGCCGCATGCGAGGAGTATGCGGATCTCGTCGAGCGGTTGCAGCCGTATTATCGAGTCGGCCAGCTCCCGTTGTAACGGGTTGGCGATGCACTCGGTCGGCATCTACATGTGGTGCAACGCAGAGAGAGAGAGAGAGAGATGCAAATAAGAAGAAGTGTGAGAGAGGGGGAGGGAGATGAAGAGAGAGTTGCATAATACGCGAGTAACGTAACGTGTCTCACACGTGCTACATTGGGCGGAAACTACTGGTGGAAGATTTATCGGCGCAGAGGATTTATGACGAGAGACGATTCGCCGATAAGTTCTCAAGCTTGTTTCCGGCGATGACCGTCATGTGACGAACTATTCGAACTAAATCTGTCACTTGTTCTTTATTTGTACTAACGGGGATTATGTAAGATTGTTGAGAGCTCTCTAAAACAGACTTCCGGAAAGAACATTGCGAGCGCCAATTGCCGAGCTGGAGATTTTTCATTTTATCGATGTCACTACATTAATATCAAAATTCACGAGTAATTTACAGTTATTTATATCAAATTCATAATATTAATAATGATATTGATATTATGTATAGATAAAAAGAATATTAATTTATTATTTTTAATTAAAAATTAATTGTTACTTTAATTTAACTTATACTTTAATTTAAATTAACTTATACTTTAATTTAAATTAAATGATACTTTCAATTTAATTAAAAATTAATTAATACTTAATTTCCGTAGTTCTGTGTATTTACCGGTAGAATATAATATCTGGCAAATTTGGCGCTTGGAATCTTCCCCGGCTGGATTCATTCTTTTGATTACTCGAGGATTTGGTTACACGTAACACACGAACGTCGAGCATTCAGTTCTTCTTTACTCGTTTCGAACAAGAGGAAACTTTTGCGACGAGAGAACCACGTACACGGCATGCTAACATGCATCTACGTGGGTACGCACTTTAATATCAAATCTGATACGTCTTGCGTAATGAGCGCGGAAAACCAACAAATCTGCAATACAAGAAGAAAGCGATATTAATTGCTAGCTGACGATTTCAAAAGATCGATCTAAACTCGCTTCTCTCGCAGTTGCGAGATTTTTTACTTCGTCGTGTTCTCACGAAGAATCGAAACTCGTCTTTTAGCCGAATTTCAAATTAAACTTCTCGCGCTGTATCAACAGCCACGCGGACTTAAGCTTAATTAAAGAAACTCTGCGTCTTTTTTGTATTACGTATCGTCGCGACGTCATAGACGTCTCCATTGATTACTGGAGATAAATTTAGGCCCTATGTTAAATCTTTCATTTTACAACACAGTACGAGCTAAGATAATAAAACAGATTAATTCTAACGATATAATTTAGTCTTACTTTGACAAACGATGATGTCTTAAGTTGGCGTCAAAAAATAGTTTATTTTCAATACTTATATGAATTTAACAACCGAAATATTGAAAGCACTTATAACTTCTAGGTACTTTAACTCCTACTGTAGAATCAAAGGTTTAACACAAGGCCAAAATTTCGACTCGAGTAAGACTGCGATTTCCGCGCTTTTTCGCCCTTTTCGCCGAAACTTTCCTCCGATATGCGGGTAATCCCGTCCGTTCGCAATTCGTCAGTCGCTTCGTACGATTTGGCTGACGATAGGTGAGTAATGCAATCACTGCTCTCTCTCTCTCTCTTTTCCTCGCGGGGGGAACCTCGCTAACGCGCGTCACAAACCTAAAAACTCTGCCAAGAAAACGGCGCAATTCTGGCGATGATGCCGAAAGTCTCGTGGCTCGTCGATCGAGAATCACGCAGTCTGCGTTTTCGAGGTCTGCGAAGTCTGCTTTGAGCGGCACGAAACGCGCTCTCGAAGAGCACGTATCGCACCCCTCGAGCTCTACCCCTCGGCTCTACATCGCACACCGGAGGAGGACCCAACGCATCCTCGCGAAAGAAAAGATCAGACCAAATTCGTTTCGGTCGTGAAAATCACGAGAGATCTATCGACTTCCCCCGTGAGCAGTCCGAACGCGTCGACTTCCTAGCGCATTTCAAGTCAATCTCAAGTCAAATCTTCCTGATTTTGGCGCTCGCAGCTAAATTTAATTAAGTAAATTTTCCGCCTCTATTTATACCAGAGAGAAGTAGAACTGTGACGTTAAGAGCGAGTCGCCGTGCAGACTCGGTGCAAGCTCGGTTGGACGTGGTTCCCAATTCGCCGAAGTTACTCGAGTTTCCGTCGTAATCGACATTCTCCGAAAGTCTATTTTGATATCCGTTCGATCGAAATGCGTCACGTTATCTCGGAAAGAAAATTCGTCGCGTCGAAGTCTATATCGCTCCGCTTGGTACTCGCGCGATAATTTTGTCAATGATCGAACGGGAACAAGAGCAATGATCGCCATCCGATGACCGTTCGATGTATATTCTTGGCCCTCTCGCGAGATCGATCCGTCCGACCGCGGCGGAGAACGGCGTAGAAGAGTCGATATTCACTGCCAATTTTCGCCGCCAAATGTCCCCCGCTATCGTAAACATTCGGTCCGAATTGATGCAAGATCGCGATAACATCACGCAATACCGCACAGCCGATACTATCGCGTATCCCGGGTTACTTTGACACCTGTCAGGTGTTGATGATCCGAGCTTCTTCGTCGCAGAATCGCGAACTGTGTCTCAAATGCAGCCTCAAAAGTGGGCGATACCCATCGATAATACCAACGCTACATGTTATTCGTTTCTTATCACTTTTATCGGTTGTCAAATTGTTAATGGAAGAGAAAATAATGCTTCTACGAAAAGAAAAAAAACTATAATCATTTCCATACTCTCTACACAGAAGACACGAATTTCATTCGCAAGGAAAGATAAATTCATCACGAACCATTTCCATCAATTTTCTGGTGAAAGCGTAATTTCTCGGCAATATACTTGAACGGAAAAACGCCCTCCATGTAGCGCAGGCCTCATTTCTCGTGGAGGTAACAGCTCCTTTAACCAACCAAAATCTACCCTGCAACTTCTAACGACAGTGTCATTGTTGCTACGTTGTCGTTGCGTAGGTATGACACATCCCGCGGGAAGCTGAACAACGACAACGCAACGATGAAATACACCGTCGCTAAAAATCCCACAGGCCCGAAAATCTCGTAAAATTCGCCGACCTTTCGCGCCTCTCACTTTCGCGGTCAATCAGATGCGCCTCGGCGAGATCTGTCACGAACTTATCATCACGACTCACCACAAGCGGCTCACCACGAGAGGGGCCGATCGCGGCGTCCATCGATCGCGGATCATCGTCGTGAGACGCGCGAAACGGGCGAACCGATCGTCGTCATGATCGAACCATGCGCCATCCGCGATGTTGTGCGGCACGCGCGCGCAATCCGTACTTATTGTTTACTCACGTCGAAAACGGTGCGATGCTCCAACATGAAGGAACGATGTCACAAACTGCCTTCTCCGTTGAACGTTCGGTCCTATTTAAAGCTTCGATGAACGCGCGATTCGCGCTGTCCGAAAATAACACAAAGGGACGCGGCCGGCGCGGGAGCTGCGCGTCGAGTTGCCCGCTCTCTCTCTCTCTCTCTTTCCCTCCCGTCCCCTCTCACTCTCTCTTTCTTCCTCTTCTCGCTGCTACGCAATTTTTATTTCAGCCTACACGTAGATAGATAGACACATAGAAACGTATCGCTCACGTGTTCCTTTCATCCCGCGCGCTTTCTCACATGTCGCGCCGCGACGTGCCACGGACCCTCCGGAGGGAAGATCTACGATCCTGCCGTACGAGAAGCGCACCCCGCCGATACTTATCATGCGATAGTCTTCATTTCCCCAAACAGCATAATATCCAAAATCTGAACATAAAATAGTCTTTATATCCCGGGAATAGTCACCTTATTTTTTCTTCTTTTTTTTTCTTTTAAACGATCAATATTTTTATCCGTAAATATAAGATATAATGTAAATATTGCTTAATGTTTACTGGATATGGGTACATATAACCTCTCTCTTTCTCTCTCTCCCTCCCTCTCGTTCTCTTATTCTCCGTCTTCAGTCACGTTTTTCACGCGCGTTTGTTTTGAAAATTGTTTACGATCTGTATGGCGTGTATAACGACCGGGTCACAATCTGAACGCGCACTTGGCGGCATTGTTGATGCATTGTTGCGACGATATATAAGAAATCCCGACTGCTAATATTCGACTGGCTCGCGATCGCCTGTGCGTGTATTTGCGAAAAATTTGTTTGAAACGAAAGATAATTATCTTACAAAGAAATTATTTGTTTCAGTTTACATATATTTCTTGTAGCCAAATAATATTTTATTCGGTTGAAAGATATTATTTCAAATAATAGCGCTCTTTCTATCAAATAATAGAGTTTTCTTGAGTGAGACGATAAAACTTTTACTCAAATAAATAGAAATGAATCTAAAAAAAACATTTTTCTCCGAGCGTAGAAAACGCGTTTACGAGAGCAATATTGTACGTCAAATGACAACAGGTAGGAACGGGCAAAAATTATGTTAGGCAAGTGCGTAGCGATGAAACGGCGAATCCGAGCGTTTTGATATTCACACGTGTACCAGGTGCGACGACAACGTTGACGACAACGTTGTCACGATCAACACACGCGCGCGCGTCGTACGCGTCGATCACCGAGTCCCACCAACAACTCGGAATCTCGCTTTCTATTAATAATTACAATGCGTATTAGCGTGGATCGGAGCACGTAGTGCGACTCGACCGTTACGTTTTCGCGTGACAAAAAGCGCACAAAGAAATCTCGCGGGTGTTCCTCGCGTCGAACGGTCGAGGACCGCCGCCGCCGACCACCGGGCTGCTGCTCCCGTTGTCCACATCCACTACGTCTTAACGGAAAGTTCACTGATCTTCCGATCCGAAATTAAACCGATTTCCCAGAATCTCTCGGCTTTGTTACGCCACTTTTCTTACTTGTTGTTACCTTCGAACTACCCGCCGAACAACGGACTTTCGAAAGTCCTCTCGGGGACTGCAGTTGCAGCCGTGCTTCCTCTGAAAAACTCATTTTCTCCTCTGCAAGTGAAAAAATATATACAGAAAATCGAGCAACCTTTAGCCCGAAGCTTTATAAGATACCAGTGCCAGCATACATACACACACACACACACACAGTCACTACGTAGAATATTACTTTTGCATACGCAAATCGCGTTCTCGTAGAGGAAGCGCGCAGTAACTCGAAATAAGAGAAGAACAGCCGAGTTTCCTTCAATTGTCGAACTCGGGCCTGCGGCCGGTTTACACTTTCCCATGATTACCGCCATCCTCATTTCTCTCGTTTCATAATGTTTAGACTCCTCTCGAAGACGTAAGATGCTCAATCTCGGGGATATTGAAATCGTACAGAGTTAGTGACTTAGTTGCCCAACGCGCTGCTCAATATTTATTACCATTCTGAGATCGCGCGTCTTAAGTCTCCGAGAAGAGTTTAAATGCTATGAAAGGAAAGGAAACGAAAGGGAGATAGCATTCGGCGGTAACCATGGAAAAGTGCAGACCTGGTCTAACTTATCAATTTATTAATAGTTTTCTTTTCTATAATTTATAATTATGACAATTGTGTGTCTTGTCGCTCGCTTCTACCGGAGTTCGTTAACTATTATCTCGGGCAACAAGAAAACAAGAAACCGAGAAATAAAAGGCAGAAATAGGGAGGTAAGATTTAAAAAACACGTTGTAAACCAAGCTTAACGAATTCCGGTAGAGGCAAGCGACACACAATTGTCGGTAAAACAGTGCGTCAAGAAGCAGAGACAAAAACCCAGATAGCACAGATCTCCTAGCGACGTATCCACAGGATATCCATAGGATGTTCGTAAGATATCGTGTGCTGTTTGGGAAGTAAACCAATCATAAATACCATTTTTTGCGAATTTACCTTTTTATTTGAACGTATAACGTGAGAATTCTTGACATGTGTTTTCTCGCTTCTGACGCTTCATCATCAAACAAGAACAGTCGCAGCGAAAGACCGGGAATCTTAGAAATGATAGGCAAGTGTTACCCGCTCTATTTGCTGACATACAGATAGAAATTATGAACTTTTCGATTATTGTTGAACGACAAATTGTAGGACGGAAAAATGAGCGACAATTCTTCATCATTACCCATCGATTAATTTAATCAGAGTTTGATGAAGTTTCATCCCAAATTCCGTAAACTTAGACTCATAGATCCGTAGACTCGTCGATATTTGACTCTAAAGATTTCAGGAGATCCGCGAATTTTCGAATATAACTCGAATTCGAAGCGTTCTGATGATCCACCGTGCGAGTAATCGGATATCCGGATAACGTTGTATCCAAAGGAATTTCTAAAACACACGCATACACACATACACACAGATGGCGGGTATTCTCACACAGCGTGTCCGAGAATCAAACCTGTTCCGAAATGAGCGATTTACTTTAATCGCATGCGATCATAGGGATCCTCTTCTAAATATAAGCGTGCATTTCGTTGAAAATGCGATGCGAAGGACACGGTGGTGCAATCGTGCAAGGCGAACCGGTACCGGCGCGACACACAGCCGGTAGTGCGATTGAGTGGCGTATAAATGAAAAGTTTCATTCTCGCGCGCGCGCGAGACCTTGAAGAGGTGCGAAAGCAAGGTCGGCGACCGACGAGATTCGACGAGATGCGTGCGATAAATGAACTATCCGAAGACTCTCCTATCTCTTTCTCTCTCTCCCGTTACGAGACAGAGAGAGAAAGAGAGAGGGAGAGACAGAGAGAAAGAGAGAGAGAAAGAGATAGAGACGCGGTCGTCGTCGTGGTTGTCGCCCGGTAGTTTTCCCGACGCGAGAACAAAGACGAGGATTCCGTCGTTTTCTCAGACACGCCGCAACCAAACCACTGCAGAAACAACAATAACAATAATAAAGAGCCACTCTCCCAGGCACATTTTCAGCAGTACTTTTATTAGGAAATACTTTGCACTTATTAAATGCCTCTTATATTCATAATTAATTTTAATTATAATAATTATTGTTATAGCGTTGTGTTCTCTATCTCGCTACGTAGAAGCATGCTTTTTTTTCTTCTAACACATGTTACACGATCTTAAAATTATAAGCATTTTTTTTATTCCTTAAAATACAGCTTACTCGTAAATCAAACAATACTTGAAGTGTCACAAAGCCGGCAAATAATGCTCGCTTGAATTTCGAGTTTTGCGAATCGGCCCTCTCGCGAGGGGATCCTCTCCAGAAAGTCACTTAATGAAATTCGGTTCAGCGGTGTAAATCGATGAGAAACGTCGAAAGTTTGTGCGCGTCCGCACTGGGATAATGATTCTCCGACCGTGGGACTTTCTTCTCCTCCCTCCCTCCCTCTCTTTCTCTTTCATCCCATATCGTGCATAATTTTCATTTAAATGATTACATCTAGGATTTTTTCTCTCCCTTTCGCCTTTGTGAAAGAGTATTTAACTCTCTCTCTCTCTCTCTCTCTTTATCTCTCACTTGCGGAGCGAGAATGCGCGAATTACTCGTGTTAATCATTAAAATAAAATAATGATAATATTCCCCGACGAGACACGCGAACTGTCGTCGTCTGAGGAATCAAACGCCGATTTAATATACTCCTCCTCCGGGCACACGCTTTTCTCTCTTTCTCTCTCTCTCTTTCTCTCTCTTTCTCTCTCTTTTCTCACGTATTCATTTTCTTATTTCTTCTCTTTTCTCTTTTTTTTCTTTTTTTCTTCCTCCTTTTCTCCATGCTCTCTCTCTCTCTCTCTCTCTCTCTCGGAAGTCAAGATTACTTTCAAGAATACCGCGACCGTCGAGACGTCGTTGTCGCCCGTTGCATCGAGGATTCCTCCTATTCTCGATGCAACGCCGATCCACGTCCACGCTCTCATCAAAAATCTCATTCAAGTTATACACTTAACATTGTCGCTATTATAGTTTTCTATATTCTCTCTCTCTCTCTCTCTCTCTCTCTCTCTCTCTCTCTCTCTTATATCATTCTCTCTATTTCCAGCCACACGTCGTGCCTATTATGTAACGAACTCTTAATCAATTAATTAAGATGTTTCATATCTCTCTCACACACACATACATACACACGCACACATTACCTTACGCGAATTACAAAAGCTGGTTTGTCGCGAGCAAACCGAACGGCACGGTTATTCTGCGAAATTGTATTACAGTCACGACGAGTTCGACCTGCTCCATCCCTCGTCCATTGTATGTCTCTTTTTGTCATGTGTATGTGTATATGTGTAAGCATGTATCCACGTGTATGATGGGTGCGCGCATTCGCATACGTGTATCTTCTCGCACGTACACGCGTCTTTACGCGCATTACACTGAATCCGCGCGCTTCGGCCCGCGGTATTCGAAATGCTGTCACGACGGCACACCTCCAGGGGGGGGGGGGGGGGGGAAAAANAGTCGTCGAGAAACATCGCGCATTACTCGCCAAATCCACCATCTGACACGTACAATGACGCGCGCGCGCGACGTCGCCAATATCGGCGCGCGTATATTTGGGACAATTGCCGCAAACTAACTCCGAGAGCTGATGAGAGAAGTTAACTCTTCCCGACTTCCCACGCAAGAACGGATTTCAGTTCGAAGGAAAAAGCGAGACAAGAAAACAGCGGGAAAAGGGTGCGAAGTAAAAAAGTAAACCGACGTACCGGTCGGCATCACGTACGCTGTACTATTCCCCGAATTGAACCTTTTACTGTTACATAATTTTTAGCCTTTCACGCGTGCGTGGACGTGTAAGGTCGAAACTATCGTAATTAGAGTGATTGCAACTCTACTATTACAGCTATAGTTGCCTCTACGATTTTCCATTTGGGAAACGGCATGACGTACACCGATATCGTCGAGCGTAGGTCGAGCGATAACTGACTGTTTCAATAACTCGATAACGTCGTCTCACGACGTTTCTTCGGGACTAGCCGACGAGGACGACGCGCTATGCCGTCTATGCCTCTCAACGTAGCGTCCCGGATACACACGGGTTCTTAAGAATAACGTAACGTACAATTTGTATAATAGATAATAGGTGTGACTACTTGAGAAGACGCACGACGATCGTAGCGACGATCATCGATCGGCTCTTCGGCGCTTCAAGCGTGTTCCTGACAGCCGAGCATCGTGAAAGTACGAGCGAGTCTCGCGAGAATCATCAATCGAGAGGCGGGAAAAAAAAACGGAAAGCGCCGAAGCGTCGGCGGCGATTCAGTGTAACATGTCGCATACTGCAGATATCATATGAAGCCCTATGATCGTTATTAGAGTGTTATTACTCTTACGGGATCTACGGTTAGAAAATTGAACTCTTATCTTCAAGTCAGTAATCCATCGCTACAACTCAATTACGAAAACATCGAAGCACTTAATTTCCATTTTCTCGGCGATCCGGTAAATAGGCAAGCAACTCTCTGTGTCTCTCTGTGTGTGTGTGTGTGTGTATTAACAATTTACGATTCCAAGAAGATGATTAAACGTATCGGATATGCTCAGTAAGAGCCTCCGGGATACATTTCCCGACGTAACACGAAGTCGAGCGCGAGGCACAGATCAATATTTTGCGAGGAAAGAAAGCTACGCATATAATATTGCAATAAACACATTACAATATATATAAATATTGATTCATATATATATATATATTTTTTTTTTCAGCGGAAGATTTCAACACCACAATCATAATCGATATTTTTGGATAATCGATATACAACAATTTCCTAACGTGCTCTCAGATTCACGTTCACTCATGCATGCAACGTGTTACCTCGAGAAGCTCATCAACATGCAGCCATACATAATCCGAATAATAATAATAATAAAAATAAAACTTAAGCTAAAAAGTGAGACACATAAAAATACAACTTATACAAATATATATATATANCTCCACCGTAATCGCGCTGATACGCGCAAACAGATCTCACCTCTGTGTGTGTGTGTGTGTGTGTGTGTGTATGTGTGTTGGACTTTTAATTGCATTGCCTATTTAATGCATATTAGATATTTATCTCGGTAACTGTAAAAAAGACTTAAAAATAAATGATACGAGGTTCAAAATCGACTCTACGAAGTTTCAGGAGTTCTATCTACAAATAATAATACCATCATAAAAACGGAGAGACCAAAAAGCAAATATATATAGTATCGTGTAATTAAATATAATATAAACTGCCTCAAAGTGGCTACCTATATATTTACTGCTACAATAGTGGCTATGATAATAATAGTCATTAAGTATCGTTCACACTTCTTTGATTGTGGTTTAGTTACATACTTTAAGACATTATGATACATGTGAGTATGACACGGACTTCCACTAAAAATATTTGTTAGATACGCTGAGCATTACTGACTTAAGCACTGTACTAAATTCACGTAAAATGTTATTATGTTATTATTAGAAAACTAATTATTTCTCATTGGTTTGAAATACTGGTTTAATAGATCCGTATAAAACCTTTGTCAACTGGAACTCTTAGAACAATGATTTACACGATACCGATTCTCTCTGGAAAGAATGCTATATACGAGTAAGTCATTACCTCAACTGTCTGGACATTGCAACAGGCAACAATTGTAAGTCATGTTATTTTTTTTCTTTTTCCTTTTCCCTTTTCTCCTTTTAGTTTCATATTAACATCACAATATCCAATATGTGACTAATTATTTCTCTTCTTTTTCTTCCGATATCTCGATATATCTTGTAAACGTAAGAAGACAACTGATTAACATATATCAGTATATGATCGCACGTAGAAAATGATTATAATGAGAATAAATACAAGTTATACAATAAGATCTGTGACATATGTTGGATTATTAAATGGTTCAACTTGAATTCCTGAAAACGTGTTTATCAGTCGGATGGCAGCAGTCTTACTGCAAGTAATAGAAGCTCTAGCAAGCTCTCTAAAGTTAGATTAGTTCCACTTTTCCCTTTACACACGTATCTTGTATATTGTCTAATATAAATAAATTAATGATCCGGTATGAGGCCAGAGAAAAGGCAGTTACATTCTAAGTGATAGTAAACTTTACTTTATCCTCTATGTGTTATTGTTCATGTCCATCATTTTTTTTTTTATTATTTTTGTATCTGGCACTCTTTCCTATTTTTAGGCTGCTTCTCAGTTATTGTAATTTACTTTGCTGGATTATTGCGTTGCATGGAAAAATATGGCTTTATCCAAATGCTATTTAACAAAGGCAATACACCGTTTACAATTACATTATATGCGCCACAGTTGTTGTCATATAATTAAACCTCTTTGAAAAGGCAGAACCAGTATTCGTAAAAATAACGAGAAGAGCTGGTCTTGTGATTTTTACGGACACCGGTAATTCTTATCATCAATTACAAATGCGGTCATTTGTACACTAGCATGTAAAAAGCATTACACTACATACGTCATGATCGTTCATCTCTTGTGATGCTCAACAAAGCTAAATGGTAAACTTTGAATAAATACCGGTCCTCTTACACTGTATAAGTTATCAAGGTATATAGAATAAAGGCAGAAAGAAGAAACTTTCCTCGACAAAGTGCCTACAAAAATATTTGTATAATAGATTGAGGATTGCTGTGTCTAAGACATTGTCTGGTTATATGTTAGCCACGTGTTACCAGTCTTAAACATAGTGACTAATTGTTTGTGTACAAGTTCCGTTGTCTTTCTACAATTTGTATACATTTTGATCTTTAAGCGTCACTCTCCTGGTGCGGCAGGATATTTAAAGTATCGCCGTATAATTTCTCATTTCATTTGAAAACTTACACTTAAATTACAAAAAGGAAAGAGATAAATATATGTGTATGCGTCATAACGGTGTGTGTTACAGATGTCACAGACAACTTAATGAGAGAGTAAGATGCGCTTCACTGAATCATATAAATATATATGATGTAATAAAAAATAACTTACGCTACGGAGATGTGTCTACTCGTCAAAACATTCTGAGGTCATTAAAAAAATATCGGTTATATATATATGACATAGTCAATAATCTTCTTCTTCTTCTTCTTCATCTTCATCATCATCATCATCATCATCATCACCACCACCATCATCATCATCTTCTTCTTCCTTCTCCTCCTCCTCCTCCTCTTCCTTTTTCTCTTTTTAAATTATATTCTGTATAGTATAATCTTATTTCGAGCGATATATTGATGCAAGATCCGAAAAAAAGAAGTCTCACGCTATCCATGCATACAGGCTACACCGGTCACTAAGTAGAAGAACGGAACACGGCTGAAAATTAACCATACGCGTAGCGTTCGTCCACAGCAAAAAGGAATTGTATTCATTTCTCTCAACACATATATATATATATATATATATATATATATATATATATGTGTGTGTGTGTGTGTGTGTGTGTGTATATGTATGTATATATATGTGTGTGTGTGTGCGTGTATACACACACACGCGCGCATACATACATACATACAGACCCTGTAGCAGAACAATAAATATTTGCAACTTTCTACCGGTCACACATGCAGTTTTGCAGTTTACACACAGCTTCGCTTCGCCTCTTTTGACGGCGAGATCTGACGGACCAGAAATTACAAATATTTACCGACCTTGCTCTATAGAAATCGTATTCTCCGCGAATATTTTATTATCATCATCATCATCGTCGTCGTTGTCGTCATCGTCAACTGCGCTTACCTACAAAAATCCTGCGTATAAAAGTCTCAAATGATAAAATTTGAAACGCAATACGTTAAATGCTCGATCTAACGTTTTGATCATCAACGATTTTGTCTCTTTTTCTTCCCTCCTTTTACAAGTCTCCCCCTCCGTCTCTCCTCTTATAAGTACATTTCACAACGTAAGCACTTATAAGTATGGATGTGAGTTGAATATATATGACGGATGGAATATATATATACTCTCGTCGTCGTCGTCGCGCGAAATGCCTCTGAATTTAATTGCAGAGCACATGTTTTGCGCACAGCACCGCGTGGAAACGTCAAACGGGGTTGTGACAAGCTGTATATATATATATATATTTACGTTGTATATATACATATATATATATATATATATATATATACATATATATATATATACAATCGGCACGCCTCGCGCGATACAGCACAGTAGCGTGTGGTGTGTTTTGTACTTAAAAAAACTGGTTCCTTCAGTCTTCCTAAGGACACTGAGAGTTCAACATAAATACGTTGCAATGACGTACGTTTTACGGGGGCGCAGCGCACGGTATGCAGCACGTCGTCGGCTTTATAACTTAATGCTGTGTTCGAACCTTGACATATGGTATCTTATATGTACACGGAGCGGGAGCTGTTCGAGACACAAATCATATCTATATCGCGTGAAACCTACACTCTGTCCGTCTTACTGAGTAAATGCAGAAGTACGTTGTATGTATACATTGTTAACGTAACCATAGTAGTAGTCTTGTCAATCGGCGCGCAAATCATGTCGGTCGCGCCGGATGAAAATGAAGGATGAGTATAAGGAAAAAAAAAATATAAGGAGAGAAAAAAAACGAGCGAACTTTGTGCGGGGGCACAAAACGAAAAGATAAACGAAAAAGAAGGAAAAACGGAAAAAGTTCAACGGTGACGCGGTCTGGAACAGCTCTCTGGGGAGGGGTGCTGCGATAAAAAATTTGTTCGATTCAACTGAAATCTAAAAAACTCACTACTCTTCTTTGTACAGCACTACGGTAGGCTGGAATTTAGGCTCTCCGGCAAACGATAATTCATCATATGGTATGGCGGACTAGCTGGGCTACCCGGCTGGCTATTCATGCCGAGGTTGCTCGAGCCGCGGCCGCGTTTTCGCCTTTGCAAGATGCCCTTCCTGACCATGTAGAATCGAATTGTGCTGATCGGTATATTGTACTTTTCTGAGGCTACTTGGAACGTCATGCCGCGTGCTACCATGTCCGAAGCTTGCTTAAGTTCCTCTTCCGAGCGTCTTTGTCGTCTTTGATAACCTGTGTGCATGAGGAGAATGAGAGATGCGACCGGATTATCAACGAACGGTGGTTGAACTATCGAGGACGGAGAAAAGTTATTCACCTTCGACCGGAGAGAACGGGCTGGTGGGGTTGCAATTATTACTGGATACCATACTAATGGAATATGGCTTGACGTCCTGCTGCTGAGCAAACTGCTCGTCAGGCTCCATCTTCACCATCCCCGGACTCTCGGTGAGGGTCGCCTCGCACGCGCTCAGAGCCTTCTCCAGATGTTGCAGCGCCTCGCTGTGCTCCATGTTCACGAAATTGGATGACGAATTGGAATTGTGCGGCACCGGCGTGACGGTGTGCGACGAACTGTTTCCCAAACTAGTCGTCGCCATCGCCGAACATGGTAGGAAGTTGGAATTGTTACCGCTGGTGGCCGAGGTGTCCTCGGTCTTGAAATTGGAAGTGTCATGCATAGGCGGTGACGGAGTGACGGGCGCGTTGGAGTCATTTTGCGTGTTGCTGTCGCTCGAATTGTTGTCACACTGACTGGACAGGCCACGTATCTGTGTCGAGAAAGATAGAATCTCATGAGATGTACGTCCGGTACTTGCGTCTGTGAAACCACAATCGTACGAAACACATAGCTGCCGCTCTCGCATTAAAGTCTCACTTGCTGGTTGCGTTCAGAAAACACAACGATTGTGCAACGGTTGAGCAATTCGTCTGCATAATAGGCCGTAATTTCGGGATCTAACGGTAATCACTTATCACTTGTATCCTCTGAACGCAACCTGTGTCTCACGTGTGCACTGAGGTTAGATCAACGGACGGAAAAATCTAACAGAAGCTCAACCGGAATCGAAGATATCACCAGATAGATAATACAGACAGATCGATACACGTACTTGCAAGACGTCCGCCGCTTGCATCAGTTTCGCCAATTGTTGCTGCTCTACGTACACCTCTCCGCGATACATGAACTCAACTAGAGCTTGAAGTTCCCACATCCTCATGTCTCTCAGGAAGATGATAGGATGGGTGCACGGTATCTCCAACAGCAAACGCTCCAGATAATCGCTACAGGCAGACAGCACAACCCTGTGACATTTGATTGAACCTCCGTCGCAGGCCAGTGTTACGTCCACAAACTGCTCGGAGCTCAGCAACTTTGGGAAGGCGCTGTGCATGTTGGACTGGTGGGAATTCCAAGAGACACAGAACTGCTGGCGGTCGCCGCCCGGGTAATTAACCGGGTTAGGCAAGTTACTCCCAGATTCCATGATTGCGGCTCAACAGTACACGAATTTCCTATACACAAAGATATCTTGTTGAGATCCAGAACACGTTGTGACAATTATTAAGTGAGGAATTTCTCTCTGAATATCGCACAATTGTAAGAATCAGTATGAGCGATACGTTTCATAGAACCCAATGTGTAACAATATAATAACGTGTGTAGTCAGAAAACGCCAAAGGTTGTCAAAAGTATGTCCCTATAACTTTATTGTGTTTCTTCAGACACCTTTCAAGCATTTATATCACTTGAATAAGTGATAATAATAATAAACGGGACGGTAAAGCATATTCACGAGATACCGCGAACAAAGGACGAAGTACCAAGAAAAAATGAATGAAAATATAAAATGTTCCCAACAAAGACGTCACTTTGTCAACTTGGGCGCTCGGAGGAGAGACGACGCGGCGTCCGTCGCTGCGGAGAATCTCTTTCTCGCGAGCTATTTTCGGACGCGTTAATTAATAAAACAAATAACAGATTCGACGTTACGATATACCTGAATCGCAGGAGCCTCTCGGCCTTTTTGAGAATACAGCAAAACACGGACGAAAAACACGGACGATCTCGCGCTCTCGGCTCTATCGGGAAAGAAAGGAGAGAAAAAAAAAAGAGGAAAAAGTAACCAACCGTATTATTTGCCGAAGCGGCAACACTAAGCCCGCCGCGTGCGAAACGACCGACGTCGGAACAAAGACAAAGAGAGCCCGTCGCGGCGGGCCCGGTTGCTGACTCGAATTTCGAACAGGACATTCCCCATAACCCGTAAAAGCGTATCATTCATGAGCGCCTGAAATACCATGGTCGCGCGAGAACGGGCGATTATTATCGCCACGTTGGGGCTAGGTTAACGAGAAACATGACGGTTGAGTTAAAAAAAATGTACAATATGGCTGTCTGGCATAGGTCTAGTAACAACAATATTCGTGCGTGCCCGTGTATTCGTACACACGCGCGCGCGCACGTACACATACACACACGCACGCACAGCACCTCCACACAAACGAGTACGCGACGGAACACACTCTTACCCAACTATACACGTATATACAGACAGCACATATATATAATTATACACGACTGTATACATATATATATTATGTGTAATGCGTATATATGTATATATATATATAATACTATCCGTTATACGCGAAGCGTGCGAAATGCGTGCGCGATTAATTGAAACGTTACACCGGGCATCGCGATTCCGGCACGGTCTTACGAGCCGGCCGAAAAATCGCTTAAACTTGGCGGAGCGCGTGCGACAAAAAGTCGCGTACAGCCGGATGCAGTCACGCACATATACACGCGCGCGCGCGTATGTACGCACGCACGCATTCACGGTGGAGGTGGAGTAACGCGCTACGAGCGTTCGCTACCCGCTGTCGAGGATGACGACGACGAAGACGGACGACAAGGACGACGTCGTGACGCTCGTGTGTGCCCGCAATCACGTGTCGGTTTCGAACACTGGCCGACAGGTTAAGCGTCGCTCACGAGACCGTTTGGAGAGAGGCGGCCGCCGGTTTTCAGCGAGACACACGACGACGATTCTCGCCTCTCGTACGTTACCGTTCATTCGTCACGGTAATGAAAGCGGAATCTTTGCGGGGGAGAGAGAGAGAGAGACGTCGTCGTCTCGACGCCTCTGTCGCCGCCGCCGCCGTCGTAGCACGTTGCCGCATCAGCTCTCCCGTCTCTCGCAGGAATGTCTCGAGGTTCCCATTAGTTTCACCATTTTGTTCGTTCGTTCGTACATGCGTGCGTGTACGTACGTAGGCTCGCTCTCGCTCGCTCTCGTTCGTTTGTTCACTCGCCCGCCCGCCCGCTCTCGTTCGCTCTCTCTTTCGCGTTCTCTTCGCGCGGCTTTCTCACGGGACGACGCCGAGCGTCGCGCCGACGACTTCGTAGGCCGAAACTACGTAGGAAACAGCAATGCGAATCTCTCTCTCTCACACACATACACACACACACACGTACGTACGCGCGCGTTTAGAGCGCGCCCGGCAATTCGGCTGATGTCTGTTCACTCACGGAGTCCGCAAGTACGTCCAGAGACGCGAGTCCACTCTCCGAATTTCGCGTCGCTCGCAGGAAGAATCCCTTAAGAAAACATTCAGCCGCCGAGATTTTCGCTACCTAGGGGAGCTGCGGCCGGAAGGGTGGGGGTTACACACGGAGAGACAGAGCAAGAAAGAGCGTGCGAAAGAGCGAGCGAGGGGGGCGAGCGAGCACGAGAAAGAGACGGACGGAAACGAGAAGAAAGAGGGAGATGGCGGTACCGTCTGCGTCTCTCTGAGTGTGTACACATGCATACGTGTGCGTGCTTGCGCATGTGTGCGTGCGTGCGCGTGGAACACTAGCGCAGCTCTCGCGTGTATTCCGCGAACTGCTATATAGACGCTAGAGATTCCGGACGGGAGAGAGCCCGGGAAGCCGAGAGCGCGAGAGAGAGAGAATTTAGAGCGGCGTGAACACGGCGGTGAGCGTCACGGGAGCAGCCGGTCGTCGGTTGATCGATACTTACTTATTCGCTCACTCGTCGGAACCGCTGCCGAGCGTCGAACAGGGACGAGCGCGCGCCTCGCTCGCACACGGCTCACACACTCTATTGCTAAACTATCGCTAGAAGAGAACTAGCGTCGCGACGACGCGGGCATGCCTCTAGCGCGCATCCGATGCTGCGCAGCAAACTTGCGCCGTTCCTTCAAAGCCGTCAGCGGCGACGGCGGCGATTCTTAGACGCGAGCGATTCTGGCTTTTTTTACACCCCGTGGCGGACACGCGCGTCGATCGATCGCGCGCGCCGCGCGCGTGCCGCGCGATAAACCGTTGAACCGATTTCGTGCGCCGGCCGCTCGATACGCGCGGCCTCGACCGGTGTATCGAGATCGTTAGCCGCGCGATCTTGCGCGGCACCTTCTCTCATGAAAACCACTCGAAGGATGCGCGTCCCGGACGCCTGTTCTTTTTTGGTTATATCCTCCGCGTCTGTTTCTCCCCCCTCTCCTACATCACTGCCGCTATTCGCTCGCTCGCTCTGTCAGCAACACGCTCGCGCTTTACGGAGGAGATACGTAAACTCATCGCGTTTCGAGAACGAGAGAAATAAGAAATGCAAAGGTAACAAAATTGAAGTGCAGGTAAGATTAGATTTGTCGAGCGATTTGTGATCGTTAGGAGAATATTCGACGAAGGGTATGTAGTGTGGGTGATATAGGGTGCGTTTCTCCTATTTTAGAGGCGAAGTACATCGAATAATGAGAATCCCGCCATTTTGACCGACATGTTACAAACAAACGGAGAGCTTGATAATAAAGTCGTTCGATTGGATATACCTTGAATAAACCTTACTAACTCGTTTCTTCCAAATGAAACTTTCGTAGTAGCGTTGAGAGAAATACACATAGTTGCAGTCGCTTACGACGATCGAATTCTATTGACACACCGATCAAACTTGATCGTCACTCAACCAGCTAATGCTCGTTTCACACGCCGTGAGGAAGTGCCGGAAATATAATGTCACGCGCTGCAACGTCGATGAGACACGCATGTATTTCGTTTTGAAAAATGTATCTGAAAATTCCGTAAAAGATTGATCGGATTTGCAAGAGATATTTACAGATTATTCTTCTAGATTTAAGAGAATAATCTAAACAGATCGGAAATCTTGTAACAGTTGTAAAAAAGAAAATATTCTACCGAATGTGGCCAATGGCTGCAACGACATAGCTATTGAGAGGCCGATTTTTGTAATATGTATGTGTTCGGCAGATCTAAAAATATACACCAATCACAAGTAATCATTAGTCAACGTCTATAATTTTCAAAGTTTCGGAAGGGAACCGTTTTTCCTTCAATTTTTTCCCAAAACTTTGAAACTATAAGTCAACGCTTGTGCGAGCATTGAGTGATAATCGCCTTTGATGGAGATATCCTTTTAGATAGACGATAAATTTAAAAGAATAATCCAATAAGAAAGCTCGCTCGACCGTTGTGTTTTCCGAACGCAGCCAACTATCACGCGGATTCTACATCATGTGTTAAATGATACTTTCGCTTCCCAAATATACCGACAGATGACACGTTGTTCGATTCTCTTTTGATTTTACCACGCACGTTGCTATCGTGTCTACACTGGCATCCGTTACATATACAATAGTGTGTTTATGTTGTGACATATAATTTTCACGTTATTCATAGAAATCGACAATATATAAATTACTGAAATTCAATTCGGTCAACAGTCAGATAAAGGCTGCGACTCTCTTATCTCGGTAAGTTTCGCGCGTTTCTTGTATCCGGCGGGAAAATAGCCACATTCGGTACATTTACTTTTTATAACTTATTGTTTTCTGTGCCAAGATCGGATTATTCTCTTTATATCTAAAGGAACGATTCAATTTCAGCACAGAAAATTTTCGAAAAGTTGCGGAAAAATAAACTTTTTTAATTCTGCCGAACACAGCCAACGCATCTTCGCTAAACAAATTCTACTGTTATAAAACTTATTGAGGTAAAAATGTTGCGGCCTTTCATCGTGCAATTGAACGTTACAGAGGAGAAGAGAAGAATACTCGATAGGAAATCAGATCGGCGAGTTGACGTTCAATCATGTCCAAGATAACAGGTTATGATACGCACGACGACGGGCCGGGATTTGTGGGTATTCGATTTTGCCAGGAATGCAACAATATGTTGTATCCAAAAGAGGATAAAGAGAACAAAGTGCTGATGTACGCGGTAAATAACTCCTTATTAGCCATTACTTTCTCTCTCTCTCTCTCTCTCTTTCTCTCTCTCTCTCTCTCTCTCTCTCTCTCTCTCTCTCTCTGTTTCCCAAAGAAGCTAGAAAATGAACTAGAAATTCTGACTTGCAATGCGACAAATTGTCACGTTTCAGTGCAGAAATTGCGATTTCAAGCAACTGGCCGACAGCAACTGCATCTATGTGAACAAGATCATGCACGAGATAGAGTAAGTTGGCAGAATAATGAATTGAGAAACGAATCAACATCCAACAAACATCACCGAAAACAACTGCAATGGTTCACTAAAATTCGTACAATACGTGCGGGAAGAAGACGGAAGCGTATCATTTTGTGCACGGATACGCTTGTCTTACAAAATGACGCGCTTCTTCTCGACCGGGTTTTTGTTTATTTTACGCTTGCTGCAAAACTCAAGTTGTGAGAGAATAACTCACAGCTCGCAGGAGTCGTGTATGCGCTAGTCGTACCAAAAGACGTGCTCACCATTAATTTACTCAAAAGTTCTCTCTCTCTCTCTTTCTCTCTTTTTTTCATTCTCTTTCATTCTCTCTTTTTTTTTTTTTTTTTAGTGAACTGACACACATCGTGGCTGATGTAATATCGGATCCTACATTGCCGAGAACCGAGGAACATCCATGCCCAAAGTGCAATCACAGAGAGGCTGTATTTTTCCAGGCACAAACTAGGAGGGCTGAGGAGGAAATGCGATTGTATTATGTGTGCACGAATCAGCATTGCTCTCACAGATGGACGGAGTAGAAGATACAACCTTTTCGTATATTCCTTCTTTTACGTCGTGTGACTTAATCGCCGGTGATGTCGCGTTAGAGTTTGTAAGCAAGACATATATATGTGTATATATATAAGAAATGATAGATTTGTATATGTTATAATTGTAACAAAGTACGATAGTAAAAATCGAAAGATTTGTGCGGATAATAGCGGCTGATAGATTACCGTGAGTCTCAATGAGTCTGCTCGCAATCTCTACTCCCCCTCTCTCTCCCCCTCCGAGCATTTATCCCGCGATCGAGTATGAATGCGGCAGATTTTACGAGTCACAACTCCCCCGACCCCTCACGGTTACGAATTATGTCCTGTGGCGTATCTTCCCAGCTCCTGGCTGTTCTATCGCGACGGTTCTGCGAGAATGTGAAATTTCGGGGAACATCTCAAGATGCGTGTTTTAGGAACTTTCGTTGGAGGTAAATATATATATATATCTATGTTAGATCTGTAATATTGCCAATTGTGTCACGTTCGTGCTCATTGCACGAACGAATTCGCGGTAGAGAGCGGTAGAGAGACGGTGCGGAGCAACACCGGGAACTACTCCCAGCTGTTTTTCCGGGTCACCCTCCAGCCATACTGGATTCAATCGCTCGCTCAAGTCGCCTCGGTTGGCCTCACGTACCACGTGATCGCTTTATTTCATATATATCTACTATAATGTATCAAAGGGGGGGAGGGGGAAAGGCATTATAGACACTTGATATATCGGTGTCGTAAATCAAGCGCGCGTAAAATGTGTTATTTACAATTCGAAACGGTTATGGATCAATAACGTGACTGTGATAAAAAGAAAAAGAGAGAAAATAGATAGGGAACGAAATTATAAACAGACGCTAGATACATCAAAATCGTAAGTTGTGTACACATAAAATGCGTTATTTGCTATTCGGAACGATTATGTATTACGTCACTGTGATAAACAAGAAAAAGGGCATTGAGAGAGACAGAGAGAGGTTCGTCTCATAAATATCAGTGCAGGGGCGAGCGATCAGCTCACACTTCGCGCAAGTTCGCGGCCGTCGTATTATCTTCGATCTCTTGACAGAACCATGAGGAAGCGCATAGTACTTTTAATATTCGGATTACTGACGCTGGAACATGCGATCTGCCTCGATACACGCACACCGCATGTCGGTAAGAATTATTTGACCTGACGATTTCAAGATCTGCCGCTGTCTACCGTTCAATAATTAGCCGTTAACTCGTTCGACATCTTGCAGAATGCACAGACTTTGTGCATCGTCAATGTCGGTTATAAAGTCTCTTGATTTTTCTTTAAGCCGTTGTAGGAGGTGGCATTGGCGGTGCTTCCGCCTCGCACTTCCTCACGGAGCTGACGAAGGGGAATCTGGCGATCGACCTGTACGAGGCGAAGCGTATCGGTGGCCGACTGGCAACCGTAAAGATCGGTGACAATGAACACGAAGCCGGCGGTTCGATCCTACACCCCATGAACATGTACATGCAGAGATTCGTCAAACTTCTGGGTAAGTATGAATCGCAGTGACCGAATACAGTCTGTCCCCCGAATGTTTATGTGAGAGACGCTGTAAGAGCGAGCTTTCGGTTGCACTTAGGCTTGGAGCACAATCTCCCTACACAGGATACACAGATGTTCGGTATATGGGACAAAGACAGGTTTGTGTATAAGAGCGACAGCTGGACCATTGTGTCACTGATAAAGTTAGTGTACAGATACGGCTTCCAAGTATTCAAACTTAACAGGTATTTAAAAATTATGCAACGAGCCATCACAGCTCGAGGAAGAGGTAAGAGTGTGTTACGTTTTCTTCGAACAGAGACATACGTGATATAATAGGACACTTTGAGAAGATATACGAGTTACAAGACGCTGGGAAGTCGTTCGAGAACATCACCGCATTGATGTCAGCTATAAACGAAGAATTTTTAAACTGTTTGCAAACGTCATTGAAAGATCGTCTCCTACATATGGGCTACTCGAGAAGACTGATCGACGAGCTGGCCGAGGCCGTCGTTGTTGTGAATTACGGCCAAGACATCGACGTACAAAGTTTCACCGGTCTCGTGTCTCTGGCTGGAACGGGCGCCGATCTGTGGTCGGTCAAAGGCGGGAACAAAAGGGTAAGTTGCTGCGTAAGACTAAAGTGCTATGTCATTTATCCTGATTATTCGTGAAACGTGTACAAGGTGGCATTTTAGGTACCGGAGGGTCTGATCCATGGAAACAAAAACATAAATGTCATGTCGGGCCGTGTCAGGAAAATTCGTTACATCGCGGAGAGCAGTGATAACGCGCGGCAGTACGAGCTGACTTACACGAGTAAAGGTAAAGTTCTTACGATCGGTGAGAGATCCAAATTGAAATTCAAGTAAAACCTGGTAAACGTTTGAGACATGGTAATTATTGTTAGGCGCCGGGGAAATAAGTTCATGCGGATTCTCAGGTCAGAGTCGAAGCGCTCTGAACTTTTTTGAAAAGGCAGTTTTATTCGACGAGGCAGCCACCACTTAATAACCCTTTTTTCCACGTCTGCGCACACTTCTTTTTTTTTTTCAACGAAATCGCACGAACTTTTCCCGGTGTCTGATAAAAATCGTACAATTGTGCGTACGCTGTGCTCATCCAGACAACACGTATCTGACGACGGCCAAATACGACATTGTGATCATCGCCGCACCGCTCACGAGCGATCAAGAATTCCCAATAGAATTCGCGGACTTCCCGAAAGACTTGGAGTTCCCGGGTAGCTATCAGACGACGCACGCGACCTTCGTCAAGGCGGACGTCAAGCCGAAGTACTTCGGCCTACGTCAGAGCTTGGACTTTATTTTAAGTTGTAATCCCAACAAGACGATAATCAGTTCGCTTGGGAAGGTGGATTCCGTTGACGGGTCGGACGAAGTCGGCTCGCCAATTTGGAAGATCTTCAGCAGAAAACCACTGGAGACCGGTCTTGTGCACGGAATATTCTCGAATGTATGTGACGTATCTGCAAAAACAGTATTGTTTCAGGTAGGAAGCAAGAACATGTCGATATTAATCTTTCCTTCCTCGTGTCAAGGTCATCGAGAAGACGACAGTTGTCTGGAAAGCATATCCCCATTACTTGTCCAACACTACCACTCGCCACAGCTTTAAGTTGCACGATGCATTGTACCATATCAATGCGATTGAATGGGTCGCCAGTGCGATGGAGATGAGCGCGATAGGCGGAAGAAATGTTGCCATTCTAGCCTACGACGATTTTCTGCGGAAAAACAGCCTTGTGTCGCATAGAGAGACCCCTAAGGACGGTCCTAAAACACCGTTCGAAGAATTATATCACTGCAGATAAAAATATTATTTTTATCATGTATATAATGTATATATGCATATACGTACATATAACTAAAAAATATATAGCTATGAGAAATATTATGTTCGTGTAACTTTTAGCCCGGATCTACGATATATGTGGTAAGCCAGTAGCCCTATTTTGCTTTAAGTAATAAAATGTGATAACAAGGCTATCTCAGGCTTTAGTTATCGCGACTCATTTGGATTTGCTAACAACATCGATTAACGCAACGAGGCTAAAACGTATGTTATCGGGTGCACTCGACAAATATACGACCGAATTAGCCGTTCTACTCGGGTAGAAAAAAAATGCACACGTACCACTTGTGATCTTGCAATTAGATATACAAGCATTACTATTTACATAGAGGACATTTACATGCCGTCCTACAGAGAGACAGGTGGAATTCCTTTCCATCTTCTAAGTAACAAGGGAGATCGCACCGACGCGCAATGTCACTTCGAACGGAGCGCGGCGGGGCGATCGCTCGCTCGCTTCGACGATAATCTCGCTGTTTTTCCAACGGAGCGGCGTTATTATCTATGGTATAATGCGCGCCGGTCAGTCCCGCGACACACCGCCGCGGTTCGAGGTAGATATGCCGCGACGACGTTACGTCGGCTGACAGGCGCGAGGCGGGGACGCAACGACGATGATTTCGCTGTCGCTTATCGTCATGTGCGAACGGATAATTGCGACCGCGATTAGTCGCCCGGCTGGGAGGCGAACTTAACCTCTAACGCGTGGCAAACGAAAGGGAAGGCTCGCTCGGCGGCTCGGGAGAGAGTGAGAGATAGCGGCGCGAGTAAAAATGTGATTACTTCACCGACAGGCTGTACGTAATGACGTCGTGACAGGCTCGTGCTTCCACGAGCGAGAGAGAGAGCGCGATGGATAATTACTCCGTGCGCATCAGCTACCCGCCAACCGCCGGCCGTGACCCGGAGGACGCGCAGCCGACGAAGCCGCAGTACGCGGAACACGCGAAGCGAACGCGCGAGGATGTGATCGTACTGACGAGCGACACTAAGGGCGGCCTGCTCAACCCCCGGGCCCTGCTCTTTCTTACACTGTGGTACGTCTTCAGCGGGTGCACCCTGTTCCTAAACAAATACATACTGTCTTACATGGAGGGTAATCCTACTATCTTAGGTAAGCCAGCGCTATCTTGGAGGATTTACCTTCAAGCTTTACGAATAATTTCACCGCTTTAAATGCATCAAGTAGAGTGTTATCCACGCGGTGAAAAGAAATCATAATATATATGTAAATAAAGAAATATATATGAATTACTTGAGGAGGATATTTGTTGTGAAACAGGCGCTTGCCAGATGTTAATGACCGCGATCTGCGGGTTGATACAAATGTACTTTCCCTGCGGCATGTACAAGGCGAGCTCAAGATTAATGAGACCCCCCGGATTCTACAAACACATGACACTGGTGGGATGCACGAGATTTGCAACGGTAGTCCTAGGTTTAGTGTCGTTAAATTATGTAGCCGTAAGTTTCACAGAAACCATAAAGAGTAGCGCACCACTTTTCACCGTCCTCATCAGCAGGTATTTATTAGGTAAGACGCGTTCTTGCGTTAAGTAAGCGTTTTTGTGTTCAGTACAAAAAAGATTTGGCTCTGTAATCGTAGATAGTTAATCACACAATTGTAGTAACTGGTAATACTTGAGGTTGTATTTTTCTTTACAGGGGAACATACAGGATTGTATGTAAATTTATCATTGATACCTGTAATGGGTGGACTGGCCCTGTGTTCCATCAATGAAATCAGTTTTGATCTCAGAGGTTTCATCGCCGCTATGGCGACGAACCTGACTGAATGTTTGCAAAACGTCTACTCGAAAATGTTGATCAGTGGTGACAACTTTAAATACACGTGAGTAACGACATCCAACGCGTGGCGTAAAATTACGTCGTAGACTACTGTAAAAAGCAAGAAGCGAGAACGTCCCTGTTACCTTTCAGACCGGCGGAGTTGCAGTTTTATACCAGTTTAGCGTCAATTGTGGTACAAATACCGGTGTCGATACTGTTGGTGGATTTACCAACGCTGGAACATTCCCTGAGTTTTAAGTTATTCGCGGCATTCCTTCTCAACGGGGTGTTCTTCCACTTTCAGAGTATCACCGCTTACGTACTTATGGACTATATCAGTCCGGTGACGCACAGGTACGCCGTCTCTTCTTCCTTCGCGCGTATAAATTAACACTTTGCAGTCCGCACTCCGTATCAAATTGTCTCTCTGAGCAAACTAAGAGCCTACCATTCACAGCCGCACTTTTTCGACCGTAAATAAATACCGATATAATAGGACTTGTGAAAATTCAAGCACACTGGTTTTTTCAATCGTCAAGTTCATGCTTTTACCATAATGAACGTAATAAATTGAAACTTTTGCATTTGTACTCATTTGTTTCGGACAGTCAAAGATGGTAGTTTTTTTTCTAACCGAGAAAAGTGCAAGCATGCTAATCTGTTGAAGCCACAAATATCGCTTTTTGAGATTTCCATATAAAATATATGGCAGACTATTTTGAGTATTGCCTATATTACAATTGACTGTAAGAAATTCTGTATATCTTCTGACGATGCAATTAATGTAATCGTCTGATGAAAGATCTTCAATTATGTCGTCCATAATTATATTCGTCACTTGATAACACTTGACTGTAACCCTTTCCATTGTTTCGATTTTTTTGACGTTACCAAGTACGTTTCATTTTTGCTTCCCTCCACATATTTACTCTCAATTATACATATGTATATATCGTTAATATTGATGTTCTCATATCGCGACATCGCTGTATCATCGGCGAACTATTCGGCAACGTCATCGAATTTCGCGTGACGATATTAGATAATCGGCGGACCGCAGTGTTAAAAAAAAAAAGCATGTCACTTCCATGACTGCCGTATACGATGTGTCTGCATATTCCAGCGTTGCGAATACCGCAAAGAGAGCTTTCCTGATATGGCTCTCAGTCTTGTTGTTCAACAACCCAGTGACGGGATTATCGGCACTCGGCACCTCGGCGGTGATAGCGGGCGTGTTGTTGTACAATCGGGCGCAGGAATACGACAGGATAAGCAGAACGAAGTTACGACACTCGTCGAAGATCAATCTGCAGTAGGACAATTGTTTCGAAATAGGACCAGGAGAAATCCTACGTCCGTAGCCTCGGAGAGGAAGAGCCGACGCCCGAAATGTGTAATCTCCCTCGATTACGTCTCTCATGTCATTATAATGCGTGTGTGTTCTTTCATCAATATTTCGTATTCATTCAAGATTCAGAAATATTTGATATTCATTAAGATTCACAGTGACGTCGATCGCTCTCTCAAGTCGAATTTCCGAGTTCGACTAAACGTGCGCGGATGTTTCAGCCGTCCGACTCTTCTCTTCGAGGCACCGCATACGAGCAGAAGGAGAAACGTGTCGCAACACCAAATGTATTGCGTATTGCATTGGTAGTACAAACCGCCCGGTTTTTATACGGCAGTATTTCATTCAGCGCGGAACGGTAAAGTATTAGCGAAAGACGCGAGAATTGACTGAAAGTGTAACCGGTGAAAATTGTCTGTATTGTTGATTGAATGTCGATTGTGTTAACTTCCGCTCGCGATCTCCGACCTGAAGCACTCGGTTCTTCATCTCTCGCAGTCTGTGCAATGTATTAGTAACCAAATGGCACTTTCGAGGCTAATTCATCGGCGCTTTAGAAACCGGATTCGTTGCTATTTCGGGACTCTGACAGTTCGCGGGAAAACCGGAATAAAAACCGAGAGATTAAGACAAGTGATTACATGTGTCAAAAAGTATCTATTGCTGTACATTATACAGGTAATACTTACTGTTCCTAATGTGAATCCGAGAATTATGGAATGTAAAAATGTTTTATAAAAATAAAGTCTCTTTGTACCTATTAATACTTTTGTGTCTGTATCAAAGGCGGTCCTCATTGCGTCGCTCGCGCATTTATATCGCCGTATAAAAGTGTGCAACAATGCTGAAGTTTGAGTCGAATTATCCATTAAAGTAATACATATTAATTAAGATGTATAGAGTTGGACGCTCTGTCACACATCTGGAATATTTCCGTTATTCTTAGAGATATGAAAATATTTTAAGTACGAAAATTATATATGTACGATATCAAGAGAGCCATAATACATTAGTAATAATTTTGTGGATGAAAGCACTTCGGAGATTTCAAGGTCACCTCCGTCTTTTAAATAACATGCTATACTTTTTTTCGTTTTTAATGCAATAGTGGATGCTCAAACGATTTCAAAGACTTATAGTACAAAATCGTTCGTTCGGCATTAAATAAAGGAGTAAAGCAATGATTCTTACGTTATAAGAAGTGTTGTCGAAGTGATGTCCGTCTATATCGATACAACATTGAAATCATCCAATTCCTGAAGCACTTCTTATTACTTCCGGACTGATCACAACACATGCTACAATAATTAAAGAAACATATATTTGACAATTATAAGGATATAAATATTTAACAAAATATATTTCTTTTAAGAATCATTCTCTTAGGTGTATATTATGATCCTCTTGATAACATACACAAGTTTCATAATAAAAATATTTTCACATTTCTAAAAATATTCGCGGAAATATTCCAGATGGACAAAGTCATTGCCCCATCCTGTGTATCGTTATTATTTATGCTACTAATTGAAATAATTTCATATTAAATTCATTAGCAAGTATCTAGTGCTTGTTGGAGATCGGCTATGAGATCCTGTTCCGTTTCAATTCCAACCGAGAGTCGAATCATCTTATCGGTAATGCCCAACGTGTTTCGCATTTCTAAGGGTACGGATGCGTGCGTCATGATAAACCTATATGAGAAAGAAAGAACTCGTGTGTAATAATAAGCATCGTGAAACTCTCAACACTACCTTGCTTTCAATATGGTTTGAACATTTTTTCTCGATGCTGTTCGAAACACACAGTCGACAAACAAATGTTCACATATTGAGATCAAGTATACGAAACTTAACAAATAGGCTTCTGTGCGGTAAAATGTTAATGCGCAATATTAATATGAATTGTGTATGCTTACGGTATTTCAACCAGTGACTCGTAACCGCCTAATGACTCGGCTAAGGAGAATATTTTCAGTGCCTTTAAGAACTTCGTTGGGTCACTTTTCAGATAAAAAGTAACCATCCCACTGTGACCGGTTGATTGCTTGAGCGCGAGTTCGTGCTGCGGGTGTGACGGTAGGTCTGCGACATAAAGATTTGTCTTATCATTGACACGTTGACAACGCAATCGTTAATTAGTAGCGACGCAACAAACGAATCTTAGTAGATCAGGATTTAGACTCGTTACTATTTTAAAAACGCGAGATGAGAGGCAAGCGACAATCAATACGTACAAGGATGGAGCACTTTCTCCACTTTAGGGTGAGTCTGCAGAAATTTCGCCACGGCTAGGCCGTTCTTCATGTGCTCCTTCATTCGGATTTCGAGCGTTTTTAAACTTCGATTGACCATGCTGCAGTCGTAGGGAGACGGCACAATTCCCATTGCTGGATTCAAAGAATGTATTGTATTGTGAAATATCGGACGTAGTTCGGAGAAATTTACGTAGACTCACCATTTTGCAAGTATCGCATTCTTTCCGCGAGATCGTCCCGCCGTGTGATCGCGGCGCCCATTATAACGTCCGAATGACCGTTCATGTATTTTGTCAAGGAATATACAACTACGTCAACACCGAGATCCAGTGGTTTCTGTTTGCAAAGTAAAGTACATCCGTTATCGTATCCGTTATAATTAATATACATAGCGATATCTTTCTTAGGATTATAGGATTATGTTTTGTACTTACTTGGAAGTAACATGTCAAGAATGTGTTATCGACAATTATTACGATGTCCGATCGGCGAGACTTAACACCGTCAACGACGGCTTTAATATCTATAACTTTTAGCAAGGGATTCGTAGGCGTTTCAATCCATATCATCTGTAATTGAAGTAACTTACAATGTAAAAACAAAACGGAGTTGGTGCGAGTGGCCCTTGAAGCAACATTGTTAAAGATTTTAAAAATTAATTGTAAATAACTTAAAATGCGATAACTTGCTTTTATTTTTAATCTTACCTTGGTATTCGGTTTTATAGCGTCGATAGCATTTTGCGGATTGGTCATGTCTACAAATGTGACACCCACGTTTTGTTTAATCAAGCAGTTCTGGAAGTAACGGTTGGTACCACCGTAAATATCATCTCCAGAGACAAGATGATCTCCTGAGCCCATTAAGCTTGTCACTGCTGTTGTTGCTCCTAAACCAGAGGAATAAGTGACAGCATGTTTGCCACTTTCCAGAGTAGCCAGACATGTTTCTAACGTATTACGTGTAGGATTGCCGCTTCTACCATATTCGTAGCCCTGTAAATTCGAAAATAACTCTTAGAATTTCATTGTGCAAGTTTTCTCCGAGGAAGTTCTAAGATTACGAAACTTAATTTCAAGTTATATCCAAGAAAATTTTATGTATGATCTTTTTTTTCCCCGGGCAAATGGAAAGAATGACTGTTGTCAATCAAGAACTGGACTATAAGTGGAGTTAATAACTAAATTGCTGCAAGACTTTCCTAATCATTTAACTTACTCTATGCTGACCAGGAGCATCTTGTTTAAAAGTAGTAGACATCACCAGAGGAGGTACCAGTGCGCAATGACTCCATTGTTCCGGATCTTGTCCAGCGTGAATAGCCTTGGTGGAAAAGCCCTTGTACGCACACATGACCTGTTCGAAAAAATGAACGATGCTGTGCTTTGCTTTACCGCAATTAATAATTCAATGGTTTTTCGCAGCCTTATTTCAAATATTACAAACGAGAAAACGAGCAACATATGGTAACTTGAAATCAAATCATAATATGCGGCGTTAATCATTTCTGCAATGCAACGTGAAGAAGGAAAAGATAAAGTAATCTTTAACGACAAGAAGTTCGCGAAATTATTTCGAGTTTCGATCGAGAAATGATAGACTAAAAAAAAAAACATTTCATTAATAATAATGTAAACACAACAGTAAAATAAAAAAAACGACATTTTTTCCCTGGAACCAAATCACTCGTCCACCACGTTTTTACGTTTTTTCCGAATTGACGTCTAATGTCGGCAATTAAAATACGAAGTTGTTTCGGTCACTTCGTTTTCGGCTTTTTTTGTTTGCTGCTGTTTCTATTTTCCCGCGCATCTTCGTTAGATTTACAGTGCAGAGAGTGCAACGGACGAAGGTGCAGGTGTCCCTTTTTTTGGCAGAATACTGACTTACGATTTGAAGCGACCTTGACCGATGATGAACTAACGGAGAGGAGAAGAGTCTTCTCGAAAGCTTCGCCGATGATACGCTCAGGCAGCACCTATGTCGATCTCGCTGGGCGGCGCCGACCGAACTGTCTCAACGGTACCTGCGAGTACAATTTATAAGCGCACGTCAAGTGACGTCGATGGACACGCGCATGGCTTTGCGATAAATGAAGGAGGGTGCGCGGAGCGACGTGTAACGTGCGTTAAGCGCACTTATGTAACGTTGTATCGATATATATCGCAACATGTGTCGCGCGCGCGTATCGACGATACGCGGGCTATCGTGATTTTTAAATAATTTCTCGCGTGATCCGCTCGTTCTATCGCTTGTTTGTCTTCGCGGCGAAGCCAATACGATATCGATAAAATAGAAGAAGGAAGATATAAAAATTCTTAAAGAATTCTTCTTCGTTCCCCCGAGTGTCAATTATTTTGATTATCGGTCTATTAATTATACTTGTTTGACACTCGAATGCTGATTGTGCACAAAAACTGGATCGTATATTTCCTTTTGACGAAGCGAATTTTGTCGAATTTTTGCGAGGTATCTTATTTATGAACATCAACGAGCGATAAAATCGCCCAGAAAAGCCGTGACAGTGGTGTATCCTCGTTAATTTTGCGACTGGCTTATTTGGATCTGGCTTAATATCTTACTCGGCAAATTGACATTTTTCTATCTTATCAGTTTTCATTTAATACCATCGTCTTATCGCTCGATTAATGCAACAGCTGGTTGCAAAATACACACTTCAGAGTGTTTTGCATCCTCAAGTCACAGTGGAAACATGAAAAATGCAGGAGTTCGTTTCTAAAAGTTAGGCTTAGAAATCATTTGATCGGCTGAGAAGTAACTTTTATCGGACGACACTTATGCGAGTTTTTTTTTTTGTACTAATTTACTTCAGTATTTGTCGGTACTTTGAAATGGTTTCTAAATGTGAGTAGAAGAATTGTGGATTGTAATGTTCGATAAAAATAAAGCATCTATACGAAAGGTGTTCACATATGTAAATATGATGCAGAACATACACTATTATTATTATTCGTGCTGCTATTTAAGCGACTCAGATTCATTAACAAACATTCAGTGCTTGCTGGAGGTCGGCTATGAGATCCTGCTCCATTTCGAGGCCGACGGATACTCGAATCAACTTCTCGGTGATACCTAATGCGTATCGCGTTTTCAGAGGTATGGAGCCGTGCGACAAGTTGAAACTGTATGAATATAAAAACACCTGTCAGTACATAATACATTGTAAGATTCTCAATATGCAATATTAAACGATTATTTATTCTTACGGTATTTCAACTAATGACTGAGGACCGCCCAGTGACCCGGCTAGAGTGAAGATCTTCAGTGCATTCACGAACTTCGTAGGATCGCCCTTCAGATAGAAAGAAACCATTCCGCTGTGACCGGTCGATTGTTTAAGCGCGACTTCGTGTTGCGGATGCGACGGAAGATCTGCAACACAAGGACATGTCTTATCACCGGCTCGTTGCGGCTCGATGATGCAAACGATAATCGGTAACGTTGCAATGGACGAATAGTTATACGAAGGGCATTTGATAAGTCAGTCAGACTTTGTTAAACACCCTACCGCATATCGTTGTCATCTTAAGGACGATCATCTTATATCATCAAGATAAAGCGAGGAATAATCAACACGTACACGGATGGAGCACTTTCTCCACTTTAGGATGGGCCTGCAGAAATTTCGCCACGGTAAGGCCGTTCCTCATGTGCTCCTTCATTCTGATCTCGAGCGTTTTTAAGCCTCGATTCACCATACTGCAGTCGTAGGGGGACGGCACTATTCCCATTGCTAGACTCAAAGAACGCAGATGTAAGATACCGAATGTAATTTGAGGAAATTTGCGCAGACTCACCATTTTGCAAGTATCGCATTCTTTCCCCGAGATCGTCCCGCCGTGTAATCCCGGCGCCCATTATTATGTCCGAATAACCGTTCATGTATTTTGACAAGGAATACATAACTATGTCAACTCCGAGATCCAGTGGTTTCTATTTTCAGAATAAAGCACATCTGTCTATTATCACATGTTAATACATATATTTCCAATAAACGTCGGAAGATCGACAACCGAAACCGAATTCATATTGATATTTCTATCGATATCATGTGATCACTTACTTGATAGTAACACGTCAAAAATGTATTGTCGATAATTATTATAACGTCTGATCGACGAGATTTTACACCGTCAACGATGGCCTTGATATCTACGACTTTCAGCGCGGGATTCGTAGGCGATTCAAACCATATCATCTGTAATCGAAGTAATTTAAGCAATATAAAAACAAAATATAATGACATGATAAAATGATGACAATAGTATATGACAAAATAAACAAATAACATGAAAGAATGTGTTACTCAAAGAATTTAATGAGATCTTGTTAAGGATTTTCAAATGTTCCTAAAAATAATTCGAAATCATATTTTTCTTATTTTTATTCTGACCTTAGTATTTGGTTTCAGAGCGTCGATAACATTTTGTGGATTGGTCATATCTACAGACGTAACGTCTATATTGTTTTGTTTTGGTAAGCAATCTTGCAAATAACGGTTGGTTCCACCGTAAAGCTCATGTCCAAAGATGAGGTGGTCCCCTGAATTCATTAAACTTGTCAATGCTGTCACCGCTCCTAAACCAGAGGAATAAGTGACCGCATGTTTGCCACCTTCCAGAGCAGCTAGGCATGTTTCTAACACGTCACGCGTAGGATTGCCAGTTCTACCGTACTCGTAGCCCTATAAAATAAAAAATAACTTGTAAAATTTTATTGTGCAAGTTCTTCCCGAGGAAAAGATCTAAGATTATTTTTAAGTTATACACAAGACTTTATAAAAACATAATTTATGAATATTTTCTAGTAAAAATTACCTCAAAACTTATGATTATTTTACTTAAAAAAACGCGCATTTGATTCGATTTAATTCTAATTCTAATTTTATTAATAACTATAGAAATGAATGTAGAATTGTGTTCGCTATTTATCATTAACGTTGATTGACTGAGTATGAAATCAATCAATCACCGAGTTTAGGTGGAGTTAAAAATAAATTCTAATTTATATCTTACACTATTCTGATCGGGACTATCCTGTTTAAAGGTGGTGGACATTACAAGAGGAGGTACCAATGAGCAATGACTCCATTGTTTCGGATCTTGACCAGCGTGAATAGCTCTGGTAGAAAAGCCTTTGTACGCACTCATGATCTATTAAATGAAAAATTGAAACAATGTTGTGGTTTACTGCGATCAGTAACTCAACATTTTCGTGCACGCTTACTTCAAATGAACATCGCATTATGAACAAAAGAATGAACAACGTGTGATAACTCGCGAAATCGAATTGCAATTCGCAGCATATTTTTGCGATGCAACATGTACGAGGCAGGAAATTGTATCGTATAAATTAATCTTCAATCCATTTCGTTCTTCTGCTCCTATATAGAAATAGCAAATTTACTTATCTTCAAACATTTTTTCATCTATTTAAAATTTTTCATCTATGATAAAAGTAGATTCTGCCCTGATCTTATTGAAATATGATAGCTTGGACTTCTGGCTTCCAGAAAAATTATACCAGATGGCAATGTCTCTATGACCTTAAAATGACTTTGGAATGACCAAAGTCAAGATGACTAAAAAACTTAAACGGGCACTTTTTTATTACAGATTTCGATAATTGACGTTGCAAACCCTTTTTAAAACATGAAAAGCTGCTAGTTTTTTTAGATAAATTGCTTACTTACGGTTCGTGATTAATTAAAATAGCAGGGAAGAAGAGTCTTCTGGAGAGCCTCACCGACGCTATTTAGCTTTGATTTGTGTGTCGATTTCGCTCGGCGACATCAGCTGAAGTGGCACGGCTGCATTGGCGATAATTTATAAGTACGAGATCTCAACCAATATTAATAAACACTGATAGAGCGCGGCTTGCGATAAGTGAAAAAGGGAGAGCATAAAACGACAACACGTGTAACTTACTAAATATAGCGCATTCTGCAACAACGTTACATCATGACATATCAGGAGTCGCGCGTGTTAATGGGACTAGGTTTATCGCAACTTTTTTTTTCTTTGCGAATCTTTGCGTATTCGCTCGTCCCATCATTTTTCTATTTCCTCAGTAGAACGACAAAATTGAAAAAAAAAAGCTAAGATTCCTACTCAGATAGGACATGATAATAACATGAAGAAAATGATGATGACGTAAAAATAACGTTGAAACAATGGAAAAATGATCGAGAAATGAATTTTATAATCATTTTCTCGTTATCTCGACGTCATATTCTGTTCTACTTGGGTAAAAATAAATTTTTTATTAATTTTTAAAATTTTTATTTCTTATTTTCTTTTATTTATTACTTTGGCACTAAATGCTTCGATCATTGTTGATCCACTAATTATCGATTTGTTGATTATGTCGAACTAAATCACATATTTCGTCTTGACATAACGAATGTTACGAAATATGTTATGGAACGTGAGCAAGCGATAAAATTACAGTCGAAGTCGCGACTATATTGTATCCTCGTGAGTTGCATGACTTAATTATTTGCAACGCCTTAGTATCTTCAGCTGAGTTGACTCTCTTATTTTATCGGTCTTATTTCATATCATCGTCTCAATTATTGTAACTACAGATTGCAAAGATTACTTCTGAGATTTATATTCTAAAGCTTTAATTGAGGCACAAAAAGCGTGAATCTCTTTCCCAAGCTTGATTCATAATCTCGATGTTAGTATTTGGAAATTCTCATTTCGTTACATCGTAATATAAAATATTTAGCGACTCATCGAATCGACGTTGATTTCTATATTTGGACTATCCGAACCTCTAATTTGAGCGGACTTAAATTTCTATTAACCGAAGATCTCCAGAGCACCGCTTTCAAATGGGAATATACACTTCACTTCGGACACATCAAGTGCCACTGAACATTTATACATTCGATTTTCAAATTTAAATTAGGCTCACTGAAGGCCGTCTCCAATCAATGTATCGCGACTATCTCATTGGCTAATTTATCCCGATCATAGCGGACGCAAGCCAATAGCAGGCCTGCCCGTCCGAACTGTATTTCTGCACTCTGTTACTCCCGTCTCTGCCGGTCGCGATCAAAATGCGCGGCTGTCTCATTTCGCGCGCAGAGATAGTGCAGGTAGAGCGAACAGCTGGCGTAGCGATGCGTTTTCACCGTAATCGAATCGATATTCGCCTGATTATTCCAGATTATTCGCTCGCCTATCAAATATCGGAATCGCATCCGCGCGGATAATCTCGACAACGCGGTGTCGGAGGCGGTGAAGCTGCGCCCGGTGAAGATTTAAAATCCGTGAATATCTCGGGGGTGCGACGAGATACATGGGAGAATAGTGAGAACGACCCGTCTTTCGTACTCTTCGACAGCCGGCGGAGTCGCCTCCCGGGGAGGAAATCTCGGAGAGAAAGTAAAAAGAAGGAGGATTGAATCTCAGCTCTGAGAATGAGAGACAACACGGAGATCATCGTCGCGTTGCTGATGTCATTGATCGTAGAGCCGACTCACGGCCTTTCCTTACCCCCGTACGCGGGCCCAAACGGGGCCTCGTTCTCGGCTAACGCCACTGTGCGGGATACGTCTTACAACGCGTTCGGTCGCAAAGACCCCTGTATCAGTTTGTGCGAGAGGGCAACCCCCGCTTTCGCCAATGTACGTGTGTCCGCTTCCCCCAACTGAAGCTGAATTCTGCACTGTACATTCATATTTGTTGAACACAATTTCGTACATGATCTTTCATCGTATTCTAATCTTGCGTTATGTTTTAATTTCACCGTATTCCGTCCCGTTCTAATTTTATATTTATGTCTGTATAATTATTCGTTTCAGAGCATATATGTGAAATCGTGTTGTCAGCGGGGCTGCAGATTCTTCAATCTGGTCGACTTACGCTACGGGTTGGAGCCGAACAGTTTGAACGGCACCAGGGATGCCTGTGAGGCCTGTATGTTTCTTTATAAGTTTGTCGATTTTCAGAAATATCTTTGTATTCCTTGTATAAAATCTCTTTTGTTATTCTCTCTTTTCCTGCCAATAACATTATTCACAAATCTCAATGTCACGTGTTATAATATTTAACTGTGACTTTGTACCACTTATAGCATGTACGGAAGCTTACACGGAGCTACAGGATCGCTACGCTTGCGGCACTGGTTGCGATTTCATGGCCAAGCAACGAGTGTCTGACCTGCTGGCTCTATTTTCCATCGCCATATGCATGGAGGATGGAATAGACTCGAATCTCTTACTAATGTCACCCGATATCCCGGATAACGATATACTGACCGACCCTGGATTACGGAAAGAGCTGCTACCCAGGTGGTGGGACTCGGATGGCTTCAAGTTGCCACAGACGCATGTTAAGACTGTACCGATGGATGCTGGGGTGAGCATTAAACGTGTTTCCTTTAACATTTAGACTGCTCAGCTGGTTTCGAGCGTGAAGCCCGTGAGATTCAAAGTCGCAATGCGCGTATACACACAGTCAAAATACAAAACCAAACCATGTGTTCAACGAAAAGACTTTGGTATCTACTACTTCTATTTTTCTGTATGTATTCTGTATCCTTTATATTATCTAAATACAAATTCTTAATATACTGATTTAGTAAATTCAGATATAGTCATCCAGTATCGCTCATAGAATGGCTCAAAAAATTACTCCTATTTCAGTTATTGTTAAACCATTACCCATACACGAGTGGCGTGGCAGTCTAAGTGTTAATCACATGTTGATGGTGAGGCGATACGTAACATAAAAATTGTTCTGATAAATACGAAACATGAAGGCACACATCAGAAATATGAATGTTACAATTCAATTAATGGAACCGTAGACCGTTGACGACGCTTTGTCATCCGACTATTCCGGCGAAACCGAGCTAGCAGTAGCCATGTCCGAATCCGACTGTCTTCACTGCGCCTCGGAGCACTTCAGAATAGTACCTTACTTCGCTTACTCCTTAGTGGGGCTCACTATGATTGCGATGCTCTTATTGTGGGTGTGCATGTTGATAGGGTACTTGAAGTGCGTGAAGGGAAACACTCCGATCAAAAAGTCGAGCTCATCGACGGTCACGTTGTACAAGGTCACGGTGTACAAGAAGTCGTTGTACAGCAAGGAGACGCCATCCAAATACATTCTGTCGCCCGATGTCGACCGTAAGTTTTAACCGAAACGAAACTATATTTCGATATTCGATGTTTAAATCGCGACGTTGTTTCGCTCAGGATTCAACGAGACGCGATTGATAAGATCGCGTCCTGGAAGTCTCAGCGTAACGCAACAGTGTAATGATTTATATATATATATAAGAAAGACACGTTACTGTGAATATTACTTAAGTTCACATAGCAATCACACGCTGAAAAAATCGCATTGCGTTTCACAGTAATGTCATAGGGAAAATCAAACTGTTCTGATTTCTTTTTTTCCTTTCTTCGTACAAAGTAGCGAACGCCAATTTATTCAACGATCGTATGATCATTGACAAAATATAAATATAATGTTAACGTGTATGTTATATGTTAATATTACATGTGCTGTATTAACGTACAACATGAAGTGATAAATATAAGAGGATAAGACAAAAACTAATATTCAGCAATACGAAGTTTCCGAACTTTGACGAGATGTTTGCAGATATCGAGCTTTTAGAGGAATTTACGTTAACATATTATATTTCAGACTGATCTATTATAATTTCCCATGTGTGTATATATATCTCGAGGAAGAGATATTGATGACTTTTAAAATATATCGATCTCCCGATCGCGCGGAATCACTTTTCGCCTCGTTTACGATGTCCGCAAGAGACATGATTTGTACACGTGTATTTAAATTACACATACATACCGAGATGTAATTTTGCCGTACAACGAAAGTTCAAACTCGTGAACAGAAACAGAAACGCGAGAACCTTTTCGACGACAATATAGGTATACATAATCAAAATGTCGCTCGGTTTTCATTATTCTTATCGTTTCTCGACGAACCATCCGAGGGTCGAAAGGACGATAGTACAACACACAAAGTTGCGGAGATAGTCGAAGGGTTTATACACGTCGTGATATATTAGTCAAATTTCAAATCTGCTATGTGAGAATGTTATATAAGAAAAAAAAAATATTTTGTATTGTATTATACCAATATATTCGTACGCATATCGTCTGTCTCTGTCTCGCGAAGGACCGTTCGCGAAATTCCAGCGAGAAGCTTTCCAGTTTTGCATTTGATTACTGCTTGATTAACAAGCTATTAGTGAATTAGGTATAATTGCGTTCACGGTTTCCTTGTTTCCGGCGTGTTGCTTTGCCGCTTGAAATTTACATAGCGACCCTGTATCTCGAATTTACACGCATTATATGCGAGAGTCACGGTAGCGGCTTTTTTCTTTTTCTCTCTTTCCCTCCCTTTGTCTCTTTCGCAGAGATTGCGATATATACAGAATATGTAATTACATTGGACATATATTTTATATATACACGCATTTCGAATCTTTTCGAGATTTTGATAAAACGTCATATCGTATCTTAGAACTTGTTTATAGCGTGTAAAACGATATATTATCAAGTGTATATATATATATATACCCACATACATTATATATGTATGTATGTATGTATGTATGTATGTATGTATGTATGTATGTATGTATGTATGTTGGTCAAATGTAACGAAAACTAATGAGAGTCTGAATTGCACAAGTGCTAACGAGTTACGTATTGATAGACAAATCCGAAATTCATAGGCATATATCGAACATTTCAGACTGATTTCGGATTTCGGTTGTCGATGGAGGCGCTCTAAGTGCGGGATCTCTACAATAGGTGTTGTGAAAAAATAAAAGCGTCCTTTTGGCTTTTGGGGTCCATCATACTTTTAAAGAGCAAATGGGCACAGGGATTACTGTTATTCGTGTATTGACAGTCTCTCTCTACATACCTACAAAAGTTGATCCAAATCGAAGAGTTCATCTATCGTAGAGCCGGACTAATACGCACGACTTTGGCTTTCATTGGCTTCCTTTATGATTCCATTTAACCGTGTATTTAAAAACGACTATCCTCTTTATTATTTATATATACACACATATACAATGTATGTCGACAATGCATTTCTGCATTTTTAATGACGAGCGATACGCGATCGAAATGTCTCCGTTCGAAGAGATACATACATCGTTACGATATTTTATTGTTTAATATTTATATTTATATATTATATAATTATATTTATATATTATTTGTGATATTTGTTGCAATATTTATTGTAAAATGTTAAGTTATCCCTCCTATGAGTTTCACTCACATATATGTTTACTTCGTTCACTCTCATACGGAAAGAACAAAGTGAGAACTACGATAATTAAACTATTTTTACTAATTAAGTTATCGTTACGTTTTTGTCTTTTTCTCGTAAAATCGTCGACATGTGTAAGAACGATTGAAATCTCTTTACATAGCCGCCTTTGGTTTCGTAATATCGCGATCGAGCAGTCTCGAAACTTTGTTGAGCTAAATCTAGTGGAAGGATTTTGCATGTGATCTAAGGAATATATTGTATATGTATCGTACAAAAGTAAACATTCAAGTTCCTGTTCTTGCAAAACATATATTATATATTCGTAAATTTTATCGATATTCCCGAGCGTAGAAAGAAACAAAGACTTTGCGTATTTCTCCCTCCGACTTGCAATCTGTTGAAAGTAATAAACACTATAGTAGAAGTAGCGTACACGTGTACATTCTTCAGAGAAACCTACAATTAAGAGGATGTTATTGTATTATTGCAGCATGTAAATATCAAAATATTTATTGCATAGAAAAGTACATTGTAAAACCAAAGTACCATGTTCCTCGTAGTAGAGTATCTTATAATTATCTACGACTAAACATGTGGTGTTTATGTGTATGTGTGTATGCGTGTGTGCGCGCGCGTGTGTGTTACCTCTGTATGTAAAACTGAATAATAAAATTCAATTCAATCTGTTGTAATACAAAGGTATATAAATGATTTTTCCTAAATAATCATTTCCTTCATTCAACATGCATTTCTTATTCTCTTTCTCTCTCTCTCTCTCTCTCTTTCTCGCGAGCAGTCTAGAATTCTCAATATGGACCTAAGTGTTAACGTTAACAAGTAACAGTCCGATGAAAAATATTTGCATTTTCTTAGAAAATACCGCACACGTTTAAAGCGGGCGGAATAGCGTATACAGGGATCAAGATCACGTATATTTTCGCATAATTCCCAACGATATCTGCAGCATCGAACCTTTTTACGAGTGCTCGGCGACCACTGCTTAAACTGTGACCGAGGCTTTCCAAGTGCCACAACGCCGACACGAACGTACCTTGGAGTGTACGACAGTTCGTTACACTTTTATAATGTGATAAATACTGTACCTTTTTCTCATGTATTTACACTATTTACACTTGACATCATCACAACATTACATAATATAATCAACTTTCACAAACTTACTGAGTACTTTTTACAAGTACTTCAAGATACAATGGCGTTTGAATAGAACTGAAATTTGATGTGCGTGAGAATATTTTTTTACATATATATGTTTCTTTCCTCCTGTATATACATTGATGCGTATATAGATACTGTATCATAACGAAATACCCTACACACAAGGTACAAGAAAGAGAGCGTGCTGCAAATAATATTGTCGCCGTTGCGAGTATACACGCATTATCCGATCCCTGCGCGTGTGTACCTCCGTCCGCAGATCGATCGCGTTTCGCACAAGAGACGATTGTTGAAATAATATAAAAATAAATCATATCTTGTATTTACACGGATCGAATGACGCTAATCGAGGAAATCAGGTCAACTCTCTCAATCTTAATCAATACGAAGGCTCGCAATTTGTATACAATACAAACTGCGCGACTGGGAAATAACACCGGGAGGAGACCGGCGCTTTTGATCACACATGCAAGATATATATATATACACACATATATATATATATATGTATATATATCGCGTCCTTGTATTATAACCAATAGAGTTTGGGGTCGTCTCTGCGCACTTGGAGCTTCAGGACGTGTCGGTAAATCTTTAATGCGGGCCCCAAGAGCAAGTCAAGCCCAGTCAGTACGTCCGACCGTCTCAGCAAAAGTAGCGAATGACCGTCGATTTCCTGGAACACGCGGGAGTAACGCATCAAGAAAGAATAAAGTATAGTTCTGAACATCGTAGCCTCGAAAATACAAGTGATTCCAAATATCGATGTCTAGCGAAGACTGATCGGACTCTTACCTGATGCCTGAAAACTTCGGCCTCTTTGGGGAACAGCCTGGCGAAGTATTGATACACTTGTTCGGAAGACCAGTCGGAAGCGTCCGGGATATTTGGATCGATCTTGTCTCTAGGTGCATCGTCCTCCATGTGATCGGAACCTCTGGCGGGGGAAACTTGCGGACTGAGTACCGGTGGTAAGACAGGCGTGTTGGACGGCGTATTCGGTCTGCTCGTGTTGATCGAGTTGGCGTTCTGACTGACGATGTTCGCTTTGTACTGCTTCTGCAAGCAATCATTACAGTACCACTTGGAGCTTGATTTCGGCGTTGTGACGCGCGGTGTGTGGCAGTAGTAATGATAGGCTTCGTCACAGCTGAAGCAAGTCACCAGGGGACCCTGAAAGTAAGAAGAAAAGAAAAAAACAAAAGTGAGAATTGAGAGAGAACAAAGGAAAAAGAGAGAGAGAGAGAGAGAGAAGGGAAACAAAGTGAAGATTAATCGATCGAGGAGATGCCCAAGTCGAACTTAAATGTTTGTACCAAAGACTTCTGTATATTACTAAACCGTTACTAAACTCCCCTTATATATTGTATCAAAAATTGGACACCGAAAAGTATGTAGTGCATATAACTTGTTAAGTAGGAAAGAAGAGAATTGGTGATAGATAAATCATGGACAATCGATTCTATTACCGTTATTTGAGGAAAACACGGTCAGTCATGCTCGTGCCGGTCATTGCTTACTTTTCTGACAAATTTGATAAGAATAGTTTCAAATGTAATATCACAGTTCTTCGCTCTAAGAACATTATGCTGCCGAAATTATTGTTACTTTCTATTTCATTTGAAACTATTATTTTAGCCTTTAAAGAAATTAGAGTTGTGATTCGTTGCGATCAAATTTTCTTAAAAAGGCTCCAATCGCGTACGGAAAAGTGCTTTTTTTCTTAAAAGTGAGAAAAAAATGACATGTTTCTAAGTGAGGAAAAGTGAGTCGCTCTTGTGCCCGCGCTCGGAATGCCGCAGTGGTCCGATGAAAGAACTTGTTTCTCAGAAGCAGTTAAGCTCTCATTGGACCACCGGCTGCTTTCAAAACGGTATCGAAAAGAATGTCCAAATAGTTATGAAATCGAGTAGACACAACAACAGCCTTAACATTTACGACGTCTAGTTTCAGTCGAATTTCGGTAACCTTACGTATTATGTCACACAAATGTCACCTTGTCTGAATAATATTTCACATTGTTGCTGTTTTTCGAACAATCAACAGTCATAACGTGCGAGTGTGTGACTATTATTGACGAATTGGGTCACGCTAAAAGTGATTTTTACCAAAGGCCGATTAATCTAATTGACGATTTAAACTGCTGTCAGTTTATTTTATCAGTACTACTTGCTCTGTCTCGTGCTAGCGCAGATAGACATTTAAATAACAACTGCAGAACTGGAAAACGATTCTTATCATTATTCATCGATTAGTTTAATCTGAGAGTTTGGCGAGTCACCCTAAAATCTATGCGTGCACAGGCGCGATGATGTTCGATCGAAGGAACAGCCAAGCGTATGCATGGAATTTCGTGTATACGGTCAGTCGCAAAGAGGTTGCGGTACTTTTTTTTTCCTTTGATAAGTTTTGTAAGACGCATTTCACTTCACCCAACAGGGAAACGTATCTCCTGAGGATTACTAAAAAAAATTTATCGGACACGGGATGCGTTCCGAAATTAAAAAAAAAAAGTCGCAATCTTTTTGTGACTGACTACGTGTGTACAAGTAGAAAACGAGAGATCTCGATTGACAACTTACAGCATCAGAAGTCTCGCAACACACGGTACAACTTTTGCAGCGTTCACACTGCCAGTTGCTATTGGCCTTCTGCAGCATCTCCTCCGGACTGTAAATGCAACTTGGGTGCGCTGCAAATATATATAATGTAAAGCACACAGACATCTTGATTAAAAAGAAAAAAACAAGAAATCTCAAAGAATTACCTCGCACTGTGCAGTCTCTACAGGCCACCAACGCTTCCTGCTTCTCCTTGGCACAGAGACTACACTGTCTGCAGGGCCCATCCTTGATAAGCACCTTGGCGATATCCTGGGAGTCCTGGGTCAGCGTGTTCTTATTGTGACTACCCGGTTGCCTGCCTCGTTTACGTTTCACCAGATTGTTGTCCGAGGGATCGAAGACCTTCTTCGCTCTCTGGAATACAGAAACGAGAATACCGTTAAACTCAGAGCCAGCAGTTTTTTCGAACACAGGACATCGACGAGCCGGTAATGAATCCTTACTTTTCTGCGCGCGCTGCGGAATCCGCTCGCGTTCACGTTGCACGGCGTCGGCGACGTGTTGGTCGAGCTTCTGCCGGCCTCCTCGTCCTCGCGGTCGTCGCTGGACCGTCGATCGGCCTCGTCCCGCTTCTCCTTGAGCGCCTCCAGCTCCTCCTTGTTGTCCCTGGGATCGTCCTCGAACTTCATGTCCATCGGGTCCTCCGTCCTCGCAAACAGACGCTGCTTGCGTTCAGCCTTGGTGGGCCTTTTGAGGTTAGGCGTCGTCTGGGCGACCTCGTTGCACTTGGGCGACTGTTCGGCCAGCAGGGAGACCGGCGGAGGGACCGGGACGCGCTCCTGGTTGTCGTCGCACTCCATCGGCTCGTCGCTCTTGACGATCTCCGCGGTCTTCTTCGGCGGGTCCTCCGGCTGGTCCATCTTCGCTGGGCTGGTTTGCCGCGAGAGTCGCGGCGTATTCGAGTCACCGGAGTCGGTCGCGGGGTTGTCGGTGTCGTCGAACTCGTAGAGGAGCTCCGCCGCGGCGGCGGCCAGGGTCTTCGCCGCAGCAGCTGCCGTGGTCGCGACCGTCGACAGGCCGACAGACAGCGTGGCGGTGGTAGTTGCAGCCGCGCACGCCGTCGTCGTCGTCGTCGCTGCCTCCGCCATCATCGGCTTTTTCCTCCGTCTGACAACCGCGCTGCCGTTGCTGCTTCTGCTGCTGCTGCGGCTGCTGCTGCTACAGCTGCCGGGTGTTTTGACCGGCGCGGCAACAACAGCGGCGTTCCCCTTGCCGAGGCGGCGAGTCGCCGACGAGTTGCCGTTCTGCTGGGAGCGGGACGCGGCGGCGGGAGTGACGTCGTCCGTGGTTGACGAGGTCGCGGAGTCGCGTCGCGGCGCGTCGTCGGGCGTCGTCGGCACATCGGACGTCGCCACCAGCGTGTAATTGCCGTTGGACAGGCGCGTTAGGTTGCCGCACGAGACCTCCTTGTTGAGGAATTCCTCGACCATGCGCCGGGAGGTAGGGCTCGACTTGCCGTCGAGGAGCTGCTCGATCAGCCGGCTGGCGGGCACGCCCTGGTCCAGATAGTCCGGCTCGCCGACCACGAGCTCGGACACCGCGGTCGATATCATGCCGGAGTTGAGCTTCTCTTTGATGAAGCCCTCCGGCCGGTTCTTGTAGAGCTGCAAGCGGGACCACTTGGACGCGTTCCGGTAGCTGGTGTGGCCCTTGTAGTCCACCTGGATCACCTTCTCCACCTCGATCAGCCGGTGCAAATCGGCGATCGTGTCGCGCGCGTCCACCGAGTACTTCCGCAGCAGGAGGTTGCAGATGCGGTCCGCGTCCGGACGCGCTTTCCGGCTACGCAGCTGATCGATCGCCTCGAGTATGTGCTGCTCGAGGCCTATCTGCGAATCCACCGGGTTCGGCTGCATCTTCCTCCGCCGCCTCGCGTGTTCCGCGTCCACGCGCGCCTGCCGACGACGATCCACCACCGCGGCCTGATTCACGACGATGTTACCGACCACCTCGTGCGCGCGAGCGAGAACGCGCTAACCGTTCATCACACCCCGAGCGCAACAACGGCGCCGATGACGATGACGCACCAACCGGGACCAGGGATTGCGACGAACCTTTAAAAACCCACGAGTTGTCGCGTTAGGAAACACGCGTCCTCTCCGCGCGCATACCGGGTAGAGCTCGCACACACACACGATATCTTCCGTCTCTCTCGCGCGCGCGCTCGATCGCTCGGTGCTGCACGCTCGGCACCGCGCGCGGACCGAGAGACCAAATTTAAATCCCACGTCGGCGCTTCGCAGGACGCGATTATTTTCAATATTCACCGGAACGTTCCCGAATGTATAGAGAGAGTACGGCGGCGCGCTACTGCGACGTCACTCGGCCCGTCCGTCAGTTCGTCGTCAGTGGCGTCGTCGATCCGTTTCCTCTCGCGAGATCCATCGCGGACTATGTCTCTCTCTCGCTCTAGCGGGCCCGCGCTCTTCTCAACTCAGCTCGTTTCGCGGCGCGCGCTATCGCCGCCACCGCCGCCGCGTGCTCTCGCCGCCCGCGTACTCTCGCCGTGCGCGCGCGATAAATCCTCCGCGTTCACGTAACGAACAATGAGCGTGCGCGCGAGAAAGAGAGAAGGGAAGAAGAAGAAGGGAGGGAGGGAGGGAGGGAAGGAGAGATAGAGCGCGCAAGCGGCGACGGAGCGAGCGAGCCGAGAACGCGCTCTGCGAACGGACCGGCGAATGATCGAAGATCGTAGTCGGCGAGTCGATTCGCGCGAGTTATGGCGCGCCCGAGAAACGCGCCAAATACTCCGACGGACGGCCGCCCCCCTTTGATTGGAACCGCGCGCATACCGGGGAATCACTATCGCGAGGACGGCGGCGAACGGTATGACGTGAGAGAGACGTCCTAACCCCCCGATACGACAACGCTTCCGAGAAAAGTTTTTGAATCGAAGCCGCGCGCTCTTATCGCCTCGCGCACAAATTGCACCGCCGCTCCTCCGGCGAGCGAGAGAAAGAAGAGGAGACCGAGAGAGAGAGGAAAAGAGAGGGAGAAAGGAAAAGAGATATATACGACGTACAAGCGCGCGCGTGATAATCTTTCTCTTTCTCTCTCTCTCTCTCTCCGGCTGGCGCGGATCGAACATCGGGAACTGCGGTGCGACGCGTTTCACACCCTCGGCGCGAACAAACGCTGCTGCTGGCCCCGACCGAGAGCGTGCCGACGAGAAGAACTCGCGGATTCCCGGCGCGTCGCGCGCGGGTTATAAGCGAGTGCCGATTGGCCGGTCGCCGGCCAATCGCGCTCGCCCGGCCGAGACATCCAGCCGGCGACGAGGGGACGAGATCAGGCAATTTTCGCGCCCGTAAACAATGTCTCTCTCTCTCGGCTCTCGAGCGCGGCGTCGCCGAGAGAGATCTCGCGCACCACCACCGCCGTACATAGAGAGAGAGAGAGAGAGACAAACGCGCTTTTCCGCGCGGGACCGAGCGCTTCTCTCCGCCGAACTTGCGCGATCGCTTGTCCGCTCGCTCGTTCACAAGCGCGCGTGTGTGTCGCATGCGTGTGTCGCTTACCTGCGTGCCGATGGCGCGTAATAAGCGCGCACCACCGTTGTCGTCCTTCTCGAGGGGGAACACCGCGGCGGGCAGACGCGACGCGGCCGGGACACGGATTTTCCGGTGGGAAAGTCCGGTGCGCGCGCGGCCGGAACTTCCGAAATGTCAGATAGGAATAAAGAGAGAGACGCGGGCGCGTCAACGACAGGGCCGACGCGAAACCGACGGACGTACGGACACGCGCGCACGCACGGACAAACACCCGACGAAGCTCGCACCGCCGCGGCAACTGTGCGAATACGTGCGGCGGCGACCACGACGGAGGTAGGTAGCGACACGGACACACACGCGGCGCTCCGGCGAACGCACTTCTGCGCGTGCGCGCGCGCCATGTCCGTGTAAGTACGTGAATCCCCGCGCCTGTGTGGAGACAGGGCTCGCTAGCAAGGCGCACATACGTATGTACCACGCGGACACGTCGCCGGCGCGGTCTCAGCTGCTTTGAGCGTTCGCTCTCTCTCTCGCGTTCCTGTTCTCCTCTCAACGCGACGAGCGTACGCGCGTTATTGTCATCGCGGCGAGACGTAGCAGTCGATATCCGCCGATATCGCCGTGACAATAGGTACCGTCGCTTCTCGCCGCCTGATCTCTCTCTCTCTCTCTCTCCTCACAAAACCGTGTATGTGTGTGCGTGCCTCTCTTCTCTCGCTCGCTCTTGCTCTCGTATATCGATAAGCGGGCGTCGATCATGTCGTCGGTCGCGCCGCACGTAGCTCTCTCCGCGCGATCATCTCCGTTGGACGTTGCGACGTAGCGCGTCGCTGAGCGAAGAAAGGAACGAGAGAGAGAGAGAGAGAGATAAAGAGAGAAGGAGAAAGCGAGACGATCAGCTGTGCGGGAGCGCGAAGAAAGCGGGAGCGAGGTTGACGAGTTGGCCCAGGTCGTGCTTCCCCGTTGCCGGTAGGGCTGATCGAACTTGCCGTGACGAATTGGCGAAGCGCGCCATGTCGTCCTGCGATGGTATACTCTCGGCTTTCGCGCGCGCGACATGTCGGCGACTTTATCGCATGGCTGTTCGGACGCGCGCTTGATGAACGCGCCCCGGGAGGCGACCGATGTCACTCACACCGTCGAGAGAGAGACGCGCTCACGCGACGCTCTTTCCCTCGGTCTCACTCTTTCTCTCTCGCTCTCGCGCGCGCCAACTCTCGCGCGGCGCGCTAACCAGAGTCCGCAACAACAATGCGCACCTAATCGAAATGATTCAACATACATACCTGAAGAACGCCGGGTAGCGGGTCGTACGATCTACCGGTCCTGTCCGCCAATCGCCTCGGCACCGTTTGCGCGCGGTCCGATGTGAGCGCGTCACCGACGGCACGGGAAATTTCGATAAAAACGAAGAGCGCGACGCCGGGTGCGGCCATACGCGCGAGTATGGACGGGCCGCCGCTTGAAGCGGCGTAAACGCGCGGAGCGTGGTTTTCGTGAGCAGGCGTCAGAGTGCGCCTACGTAGGGATCAGGGGGCGGTATATTCACAGGCCGATATTCACAACCGTCGGATCTTACATTTGAAACTGTCTTAAATTTATGTTCAGATGCTCCGTAGCCAATGAAATGAGCCGTGGAGCATCTGATAAAATAAACTTAAGACGGTCTTAAATATAAGATCTGATTATGAATGCCGGCCATAATTGAGTCTTATATTGGTCCACAATGGGCGGTAAAAGTATGTTTTATATGAAAATAGAGTGAGAAATTAACCAATCATAGTCGACTATTCTCCTTACATTCGAATATGATTGATCAATTTCTTGTTCTTACTTCTTATGAAATATACTCCTGTCCGTTGTAGACTACATTTTATATCGAAGATTATCTTGAGTTCACAGGTCTGTTCTTTTTCGCTGAACCAGCTGCGCCACAGCATAGGATGCTTCCGGCATTAATAATCAATTGTGATTGGTCAATTTCTTAGAGCTTTAAAGCACTTATTGTAAATCGGGACTTATTCTGCGCCCTAACCTAATCTGTCAAATAGATGCTGTTCTATAGTTAGTTCGGCGAAGGGGAGTATTTACTTGTTAGTACAACTATTACGTTCAGCGAGTACAACGGTTGAGTAATTTGTCGATATAATTGACTTAAATTTAAGGAACAATAAAGGCCAATAATCAACGACTGTTCACTAAATGCTTTTTCCGCCGAAAGCAGTTGATATATACGCATATTTTGGCACTCATTTTTCCCGTTTCCGAATCTCTTTTTATAATTTTGTTTCTTGCAACCTTCACCGTTGAAGTATAATAATTGCGCGAGATTACAGATAATGGCGGAGAAAAAATGCACGATAACTCACATGCCGCATCATGTGCAGCAGAAGCTGTGCCAAGCCCGACCACCTTACAGGCAAGGGAAAAGGTTGACAGCTGTCAAGGTAGCGTTGGGGACTTGTATCCTACTCTAGAATTTAATCTCATTATTCACCTTGTAATTAATCTGTTACTTTGTCATGTTAGATTAAGTTAATTAAGGCACTGACTTAATAATAGACTATATTTACACTGCAACCTGAAACTGATTTAATAACTCTCATAATCCATGTTTACATGAACAACATAGAACTGGTTTAATAGTTTCTGCTGGTGCGACTATCAATGTTACATGTTGTATAAATAATTATGTTATAATTATAACATGTAACACTAGTAGTTGCAGTATCAGAGACTTGTGACATAGGTTTTACACTGGTTATGCAGACGTAGATCACGGATGTTAATCAGATTTTAGATGTTGCTGTATAAACATAGTAATGAAGTAGCTCTAAGCTTTAAAAGATAATATCGTTGGACAATTCCATATTAGATGGTTTCTTGCAAATCATTTCCTTAACGTATTAGCTCTATGTAACAGGTTTACACAATTAATGACGAATCGCAGCATTTGCTAATATGTGGAGTACCGAAAATAAAATTAGGCGAGGAAGTGAAGAAACTCATTTATCCTTATGGAGATGTAAAAGCGATCCAGCTGGTGACCGAATATCCATCGGAAGAGTTTACGGAAACGTATCATATACATTATGCACGTATTCAGAGTGCAAGGTATTATCTACTTATTAAGTATTATATACTTCCATTACGAAAAGGTATTTGTTACCTTAATTACAATGGTACTTAAAATATAGTCAATTGTTATTATTATATATGACTCTTACTGATGAAATTATTTCCCTCTGACAGAATAGCAAAACGATTTATCGACAATAAAAATTTCTTCGGTGGACTTCTGCATGTTTTTTATGTTCCCGAATTGGAAACTTTACCAGAGACAAAGGCGAAGCTTGCCCAACGTCGCAAAGACGTAATAACACGAATAAAACGAAATCAAGCGGATACATCAAACCCGGAAGTTGATAAATTCGTTCCGACGTAAGTTTACTCATTACCATCATCATCAAGTGCACATTGAGCGTATATTAACCAATATGCATGCAAATATATATTTAAATAAATGATTTATCAGTCACACAGAAATCATAATATGTTAATTTCATTAAAAATCTGATCGCAGGAAGCAGTATCATAGGAAAAAGAAGACACCTGCTTTGCCACTTACCCAAGAACGAGTTCAATATTGTTATCCCGAGGAGACACTTTCCTCTATCTGCAACGGAATCCCTCAGAATATAGATCCACGACCTATATCTGAGCCCAGTTTGCCAGTGGATTGGTACAGTAGTTACAGTAACAACCAGACTGGAGAAGCATCGTTATCAGCACCGTACCGACCGACCGAAGCAGTGATTGAAGCAGGCAGTTCGCGGTCAAGCGGAAGTCCAAACGTGCGCAAAAGAAATTACAAAGGACAACTTGTCAGTGATAACGTGAAAGTCAAGGTCACCCGGCCACGGCTTATAGACACCAGGAATATAGCGAGATTAAATTCCACTGAGAAAACTGACGTGTTTTGCAACGTGAAGAAGGTAGATAGCGGGATCACAGTCAAGTTATTGGAAAGGCCTGACAACGAGAGGAAGAAGATAGTCATAAAAAATCCGAAGTATGTATCCTTTAAATGTATTATATTTTAATATTTATCCGCACGGCAATATTATTACCATAAAAGAGAGAAAGGGGCGTTGAAAAAGTTCTTTTAATGTGTAGAAAGGTGTATAGATGAACATATCATCTATAAGCTCGTGGCGCATCTTTTTGTTGTTGTTGTTGCTGCTAGTATCGAATTGTGTGCTCACTCAACCATTGTCTCCTGAACACTGTTGAAAATATAATCAATTAAAAAAATCGTACATTTTTTTTTACCATTCTCGACTGTGATTGGTGGAATTCATTTATGTTTTAGAAACGCCTAATGAGATGAGCTTAATTATATCTTTCTATATATTCAAAAAGAACTTTCTTAATATACTTCACCTGTATGCAAGATATCTCATAATTAACGACACAGGTGCATACAAGCCTTGTCTTAATTTCCATTTTGCATGAGATGTATAAAGTTATTAAAATAAAATGTGATAAAAAGTTGGAAGATTAAACTAATGGCGTAACATCGTCCGGAGTATGCTATGTGCTCTTTCTACTTTATGATATTTTAAACGTTATAAATGTATTATTATTCACTTATTTTTAAACTCTACTTTCCAGTGTAACACACTTGATACAACCTAGCGAAGATCTTCAACATTCCATTAAAATGGCAAAATCGCATATTCGTGCAGCAATGCAGAAAATATTTCAGTGAAAACACGGAACACCCGACAAAAAATTTATATAATTTGTGTAAATTGGTTCTAATTTATTTTACATTTAATAAATACACTTGAATATCAACAATTCTTAAACTTCTACTTTATTTCTTTATAATTCCAAATTTTTCATTATTCTATCTCGAAAGAAATTACAAGTACATATTTTACCGACATGAAAATAATAACAGATTCAAATCTCACTTAAACAATTGCGAAATTCATATTTTGTCCAATTTCATTCCTTACATACTGAATCATTTGCACACACGGATCTTTAATTCATCTTACAATTAATAAATACATTTAAATATAAAATTAATTCTTACAAATTGAATCAAAATAAAAGTATCATTACAGTCTAAGAATAAAAAGCAGTAGAGATATTAGTCATTTCCCATACTGACTGTAAACGTGTCATTTATATGACAACAGAAGAATTCGGGTCCCATTGAATTCCACTTCTAGTCTTTGCATTGTAATTTTTGTACGGTGGCGTGTTCTCCTGCTGGATTTTAGCTACAGTCTTATTTTTTAATGATTGTTGCGGCGATTTCGCTGGTATTCCTTGAGTTTTACCATTATTAGATCTATTGCTTAGAGGTGTTCGATTCTGAAAGAGATTAATAACACAGTTAATATTTACACAAATATGTGTAATCTGTTTTGTATCTGTAAATTACCTTAGGTGCTTCATTACTATATTTGCTATCAGGACTGAAAATCTTTTTTTCGTCTGATTTAAACTTTACATCTGATTTGAGAATCTTCCTCACGTTTTCTCCCACGTCTTCCTTTTTCTGAATATTTTCTATATTTATCAATTTGGACGGAGAACTATTTTTTGCGGTATGTTCGTCACATATATCTTCCTTCAACATTTTTTTCTGAGATAATTCTCCCTTGATATTCTCTCGAACTTCCTCCTCCTCCACTTTACTTAGTACACTTTCTTCCGATATTGACGAATCATGCCATATTTTAATCTTATTGTCATCTTTTATTCGTATAGCCTTCATATTTTCCTCAATAACATCTTTGTAATCATTCTGCCCGCTCGTGCTGCCTTCTCGCTTGTCAGTTGTCGTTAATGTCCGTTCGCTTGTAATTAATGATTTGTCATTCGTAATTTTAAACTTGGAGTTCTTAATAACTGTGAGATCTTCTTCGCTGGTAAAAACACTTGAATCAAAATCAGAGTCAGGTATGTGGAATATATTCAATTCGGCCCGTGTTTCAGAATCGAGCTCCCTCAAACGTTTGGAAGCTATGTCTGGCAACAATTGTATTTCTGTATTATCGAGTGATATGCTTGCTTCCTGCCACGAGTTTCTTGGATTATAAACATCCGTTTCGTAACTGCCTTTGCGATTCAAATTGTCTTGTGATCGAGCCTTTATCATCGCAAGAGACTTTGGTATTAAAATGGGAGTTCTGTTGAAGTCAGCTGCTGGAGATCTCGGGTCAAGCCCCAAAATTCTATAACGTTCTTTTTCTATTGCTGTCAGATTTTTTGGCGTTTTTACTACAGTAGCGTTCAATATTGAAGAATTCTCTATCTTATCCTGTAAGTAAATATGTTGCGAGTACAAATGTTTTAGAAATCAAATATGCTAATTTATAATAAAAAAAATATGATCCCTTATGTATCAAATAACACAATTTGACCTTATTATACGTTATAATTTTGCCTGAAATAAAAAAAATGGACAATTTAGAAAGTAAACGTACCGATTCCTCTGACTGAATGTTAACCGTACATTTCGCCATAAAATTTTTCTTCGGCGACCATGGTGGACATGGTGCTATAACCATGTCCAAATTGGTTTCAAGATATTGTTTCTTCTGTAAATGCTTTGGGATCGCATTAGGTATTCTCTTACTTACTCCCACTGGGGTGCTATCAACCTGTTCAAGTATAAAATGTGTTACTTTTATGCTTCTAGAGTTATTGGTTTCAAGTTGTAATTCTACATATAACCTACATCCAATATATTCATGTTGTAAAGATTTTGGACAATGCAAAATTTTAAGATGAAAATATAAGACTGAAATCGACATTTATAGTTGGCTGTATATCAAATTATTAGATTCTTACCAAGATAGGAGTTCTTCTGATTCCTAATGAAGCCGAGCGTGGATCAATCAATAATTTTCCTTCGGAACGTATGGGTGTGAACAACTTGTTGTCTTCTTTAGATATTTGTTGATGCTCTATAGTTTGTGTTTCATTTTCCCTTCGACTCTCATCAGCATGAAGAAGCAACTTGTTCATATAATTGCCCATGACTTCTGCACAGATGCATAATGATATTTACAGAGGCTTTTAACTTCTTTAACAGTTACAAAAGTTAAAAAAAAGAAGAGAGGTCAATGTTGATTCATGATTCATATATGTTGCATAATTATACTCAACAGCAACAATTTTAAATAAAATCTACAAATACACCTTTGCAAAATTTACTAAAACATAAAAATATGATGAAATATACTTAAAAATTATAAACAGACACATGCAGAAGTGCATACAAATGTCACGAAAGGTAATGTGAAACATGGCAGATACAACAGTACCAAGAAGCAGCTCTTTGTCCTTACACGATTACACTTGTCAGATGTAGGGTCACTGTTGCTCCCGCTTCTTGTTATTCGTCGCTTAAATAACAAATAAATTAAGTAATATTGCAAACGCGATATATTCGTCAAGTCTGTAGTTAAAAGTACGGAAAACGAGATCGCACGAGTTCCTTAACCGTTTGTGACCCCGGCGCTTTAAATCGCTGTTTACATCATTCAAAAATCAAACTGATAAACGTTTGAACAGTGCCAACCGACGAGAACGACGAACTCTCGGGAAATTAAAGATTCTTGCACGCTGGACAGCGATCGTGTAATTTTTCCTTAAGGCCTGTTCACGGGTTGTGTTCACGAATGAGACCCGATTGACCACGAGCTATACCGATTGGCTGATACTAGAAAAACACCAAATCACGGATGACTGTGGTTGGTGGTGGTCAACTACAATGAGAATTTAAGACGTAAGATTTAAAAAATTTTGACCAATTATAATTAATTTTTCTTCTATAATTTGACTGTGATTAGTCAATTTCTTATAATCTTATTATTCAATTTCATTTCATGTAAATACACGTCCATAGAAACTATGTTGTAGAAATACGCGTAGATCTGTTCGTTTTAGGTGCACTTTGGTGCACTTGTCAGACTGAAATGAAACGGACATATATTTAGGATTGGAGGAAGGAAGAACACGAGAGAAAAGATGCGAGAAAGTAAAGAAAGAGTGCCTGTAATGAATAGATCCTTCGGTTGACAGTTGGAGGTTAGGAACGTAAGACTGTGCTAACTATCGTATTTATCATAACGAGTACGTTGTGCAGCTGTGACCGGTTAATAAATAATTACACTATTAATGCAATAATACTGATCCGCTATTATTGCAGGAAACGTACGCTTTGCGTATCTGAATGCATCTATGAAGAATTTCAATTGAGATCAAACTTTCTCGTGCCGAGAAAATAAACAAATCGAAGTTTAATTCGTTCGACGAAATGAATACTTTAAATAATATAAACACGCAAGAAACGAATGCAGGTAAGATTGTATTCTTCCGTCACTCCAAAGTGTATCCTCAATTGTCACAGGGAAATAATACGAAACATTGTTTACGATCAGAGATGAAACTGCAGAAGAATGTTCGCCACAACACAGTGAAAATTTTCAAGTGCTCCGAATGCGGACTGACTTTCGATCGTGCCTCGCAACTGGGCTATCATTACCGAAGTATTCATCTGGGTGAGAGATCTCAAGTCTGTCAGATATGTGGCAAGGGTTTCTTCCGCAAAGCAGACTTGCGCACGCATTTGAATGTCCATCTGGGCACAAATTTCTGCATCTGTGAGTTCTGTGGCAGGAAATTCAATCACATCTCGAATCTCATAAGGCACTGCAGAGTCCACGCAGGTGATGTATCTGATAATAATAAACTCCAATGGTATTGCATCAGAGAAGACAAATATTTGAGAGGAATAAAGTCGCTTATAAATGAGACGCAAGCACCGGACACGATAACTAAGCACTCATCGGCATTTTTATTTGTGCTATCTCCAGGGGTTAAGCCTTATCTATGCTCAATTTGTGAAAGAAGGTTCACGCAGGTTTCTTCGTTAGTAAGACACAAGCAAATCATACACGGGATACCAAAGGAAAGCATGCGCCAGTATTGCAGTTCTAGTCTTATCAGCAATAAATCTCACGTCGCCATGCATGCATCTAAGGAAAACGAGGTAACAAGCAATTATTGTTGTCGGTGCAAATTTTAATTTGTTGAAAGTGTCGCAACAAAACAGTTGCTCACTAAACAGCAATATTGTTACGAATCTTGCGGGGATTGTTTCTTTAGCTCTCTCTCGCGACAACACAAAAAAAATATCGTTCCAAGAGCACTGTCTTGTCAGAGTGCGATAGTTGTAAGAAGGTGATGGTTAAATCTGTAACTTCTCTCAACGGAAGGTATGTTCAGGGCTCATCTTTCGCTTATCCCGGTCTTTTCAGACGACGGATAATAATATTAAAGATACATATCACGAGAAAGTATGTACGGAATTGAAATGCCAGAATGCTAATAGGGAAACCAATGCACAGAAGGATAAGATATCCAGTCAACATAATAACGATGTGAATAGTACAGCTGTGACAACGTATTTACCTTTCGAGACTGTCATCTATGTCACGTCTAAGCAGGTAAATATGTATTCCACGTTCAATTATTATCAGGATTGGGTAAGAAGTAGTTTATTACACGAAAATATTGACTGCGCCCAAGATTCTACGCAAAAAAAGAACAGTAGCGTTCAAAGAAACAAAAGAATTCTGCTAGCATTATTTTGGATTATCACGCAATAATATAACGTAAATTTCTAACGATGTCAAACTGAAAGAAAAACTGAAACAAACAAACATGCAAACAGTTCGAAGAAGATAATTTAGCGGAGATCGAGAATCGGTTGTCGCAGGATTACCTCGCCGGGATCGAAGAGAAACTCCAGTCCATCGACCTGTCGACGAGTAAGACCGCTGTCTCGAATCCTCCGCAGTCGGATACAGCCGGTAATCATGAGACGCAGACGCAATCCAAAGACAGCGTAATTTACCTGCATCAGCTCGACAGGAACAGCTTCACCTTCCTGCCGCGAGACAGGGGGCCCGGTGACGTGGCGCGCGAGATTCACAGCTTCAAGGAGGAGTCCGTCGCGAACGACGTCGGGAAGTCGCTGGGCATAGGAGCGAACCTGCCGACGTGCGATTCCGATAAGTTCCTGCACAACAAACAGACGTGCAAGGAGATCACCGGCGAGGACAGGAAGTGTTGCGACAAGACGTTGAACGACGACAACCAGCTGTACATCGAGCTCTCCGAATTGGGTCTGTTGAAGTTCGATGAGTCCCGTTACTGCGGCAACGCGGACTTGGACGCGGTGAAGTCTCAACATTCCACGAGTATCGCTGCCGACGACGACGACGACGACGACGACCTAACGTACACCTCCGCGCAGAATCATCAGGGCAACTTGGCGCGCGACGAGGAGAATTCGGCGGCGGGTCTGAGTAACCCGGGCAACGTAGCGTTGAACAACAACGAGGACCCGATGGTGCAGACGGAGGCGGGCGAGCAGTTCTACGAGTTCATCAGCAATCTCGTGGAGAAGATGCAGGATTCCGCGAGCGGAGTGGTGGAGAATCCGCAGGACAAGGCGGAGGGGCCGTCGTCGAGCAACGTCTTCAACGTCGGCCACTGTCCGCGAGATTCGCGCGGCGTAACCGCCGAGAAGAACGATCGAAATGCGACGCAGCCGGCTCTCGAAGATCTCGCCGACATGAACAACGAATTCAGCTACACGCAGTTCGACTTCCACCGGGACGAGAAGAGCTTCACCGTTCTGTGCGAGGCCGAGCGTTATCAGCGAGAGAAGAGCTTGCAGGCGGCCTACGGTAGTCATCCCGGCAACCTGGAGCTGCTGGAGAACGAGCCGCACGTGGACTTCGACAAGTACGTCGAGACGAACTTCGAGGTGTTCGAACGGCTGAACTACGAGAACTGCGGCGAGAAGTTCTTCGAGTTCGTCGAGGTCGCCGATATCGGCGTGGAGTCGTCGCAAGGGAGCAAGGAGCAGTCACCGATGGTGTGCCTGACGGTGCAGAACGACGGCGATCAGCTGCTGGAGCTGCTGCAGGATTGCCAGATCACCGAGCAGGAGCCGGACTTCGTCTCCACCGCGACGAGCAAGCTCGGCGAGGATTGCTCGAATGTTTTGTCGCGCGACAAAACCGTCGGCTGCACGACGGAGGATAAGCCGGACTTCTTCACGCTGTACGTCGAGAGTAACGCGCCGTTGGAGGAGAATCTGAGCAGCGGCGACGACGTTGCAGATCCTTTGTACACGGATCTGATGGTCGACAACGACGGCGTAAGCGCGAGCGACGAGAATTGCAAGTCGCAGGAGCCGAAGAGGCCGCCGGAGAAGTCGGACAGGCCGGAAAAGCCGAGGCCCTCGCCGAAGAAGTACCAATGCTCCGTCTGCAAGAAAGCCTTCTCGACGGCTTACAACTACAAACAGCACATCGGCATACACTTCGCGGATCAGCAGAAGTTCCACTGCAAGGAATGCGGCGTGTCATTCGCGTGGAAGTCCACGCTGAACAAACACATGGCGAGCACCCACAGCTCGAACTGGCCGCCGAAATTCGTCTGCGGCGTCTGCCCGAGGGCCTACAGCACCCTGTCGCAAGTGAACGTGAGTGCCATTGCCGTCGTGGTTGTTGTTGTGAAACCGCTCGTGCGAGCCGTCGGAGCAATTATTTATACTATTGTTGTTTTTCGTGCTTGCGCAGGAACACGTGAAGAGGGATCACCTGAAGCAGCGCAACCACGTCTGCGATTATTGTGGCAAGTCCTTCTTCAAGAGCTTCGACCTGAAGACCCACAGTCGGACCCACACCAACGAACGTCCGTACGCCTGTCGGGTCTGCGGCAAGAGGTTCCACCATCAGAGCCACATCATCCGTCACGAACGCACACACTCGGGCGAGAGACCGTACGTTTGTGTGGTCTGCCAGAAGGCCTTCATACAGCCCGGCTCGCTGAAAGTGCACGAGCAGAAGCACCGGCAGCTCAAGATGGATATCCTGAATTACCAGATCGACGAGGACGACCCCATCGCGTTGATGACGTTATAAGAGAGCGTTAACATGACCGTTACTGTAGTGTAAGAAATAACAGCAGGTATCTCGATCGCTATTTTATCGCCACTGTTATCGCCACGTTATTTTTTTAACTAAAATTGTTTGAGAGGTGATGAGATGTGTCTATTCATTCAATCGTATCGGGTTAGCGTGTAAGCCTCAGTTTGTGGAAACTCGTGAGCACACGTTTTAATAATAGTCTGTTTTCTTATACTGAGTTATTTATTTATTTTTTTTTTTTTTTTTTTTCTAAAAAGAGAAGGAGAGAGGAAATAGAATTCTGTTGACATTATTTTTTTCTTATTCTATATCGTAGAGCAGTTCAAACGATGATTTTAATATTAATGAATTATTTTAAGCTGCATAAAAAAATGTTAATAAGTTAAGGGGCCCGAACACTAAAATTTTCAAAAAATCGATTTTTTATTTTTTTGCTAAATCAATAGTTTAGACATCGAAGAACATGTATGTAAAGTTTCAAGTAAAAATTCGAACTCTAAGTATTTGAAAAGAGCGTCAGACGCTGACGTGTTGCCCGAGCGTTTTTGGGCGTTTCGGAGCGCTGCGCGCGTATGGTAAATATAACCTTAAATTTAGTGAACACAACGTGCTCTTGTTTTGTTAACAAAAGTTTTGATTTACGTGTTTTTGAAAGTTAAAAACATTGTGATTGTTTAAATAATGGATAAAAGAGGTAAGAGGCACTCTGCTGGAAAGACGACAAAAAGAAGAGACAGAAAGAAAAGGCGAGTTGGTCCTGCAAATAGATACGTCGCCGAGACAGCAACAATTAATACTAGTACGTCTGAACAGAAGCTCAATACTTCCTTCGACGATTTGAATGTGCCGATTGATCAAAGTGTTTCTTATAGAGTTATAAATTTTTTATCGGTATTTTCAAAGCTGAGCCAAGTAGTTAAGTGTAAAACATGTGGGGGAGACGTCGAATTCACTGAAACTGCTAGCAGAGGGCTGGGTTTCAATTTAATAGTGACGTGTAAAAAGTGTCAGCCAACGAAAATTCCTTCTTGCCCTATTATAAAAAACGCCTTCGAAGTCAATCGTCGGTTTGTATTTGCTATGAGGATGCTTGGTGTCTCACAAGCCGGAGCCGAAAAATTTTGCGCCTTTATGGATCTACCTCGGCCTCTATTTCCGAAAACGTATGCCGACTTAACGGAAATCGTTAGCAGCGCCACAGAAAAGGTAAAAAATATGTCAATAAAAAGTGCAGGTGATGAAGAAAGACGGATAACGTTAGAGAAAAACCCAGATTCAGTCGGACTAACCGTCTCAGGCGATGGCAGTTGGCGAAAAAGAGGCTTCAGCTCTTTACATGGCGTGTTATCCTTAATAGGATATCATAGTAACAAAGTGCTTGATTTTACAGTTAAATCATCACATTGTCATGGGTGCTCTTTGTGGAAAAATAAAAAAGGTACAGCAGAGTATGATTTATGGTATGAGGAGCATAAGGAAACGTGCGACGCGAACCACGTTGGTCCCGCTGGAAATATGGAGCCGCTCGCAATGGTTAAGATGTTTCAAAGATCGGAGGAATTACACGAGGTAAAGTACGATTGCTATATCGGCGATGGCGATTCTAAGACGTACAACAAAGTCGTAGAAAATGTACAGTATGATGTGACAAAAAAAGAGTGCGTGAACCATGTGCAGAAGCGCATGGGGACCAGGTTACGTAATTGCAAAAAAACAACAAAAGGCATTGGAGGTAGGAGTAAGCTTACTGACAAACTTGTTAAGGTTCTTACCCTTTACTACGGGCTCGCTATAAGGCGCAATAGTAACTCTTTAGAAGAAACGAAAAAAGACGTATGGGCAACGTTTTTACATAAATCCTCAACCGATTCTAAGCCAATGCACGAAAACTGTCCGAAAGGGCCGCAATCTTGGTGTCAGTGGCAAAAGGCTCGTGCGCTCGGGAAGCTTCAAGATTTCAAACACGAACCTACACTACCAAAAGAAGTTTTAGACGCTATCAAGCCTATATATATACCGATCTCAGCTGTGATGATCTTCTAGAACGATGCGTAGGTGCTTTCAATCAAAATAACAACGAAAGATTCAACAATATTATTTGGAAATTCGCGCCGAAATCTACGTTTAGTGGAGCCAAAACTGTACAAATTGCAGCTAATATCACTACTATTATATTTATATAATATTATATTTATATAATAATGGTCATACGGCTCTTCTCCGTGTGTTAGAACTCATGGGAGTTCGCATTGGAATGAATCTCTATGATTATTGTCAAAAAATCGACGAAAAACGCATAAAGTACGCGAATCGTCATACACAGGCTAACACGCACGAAGGACGTTTGCATGCCCAGCAAGTACTTCGAAGACAAACTACGGATGACGAAGAGCTGCTATACGGTCCAGGGATAGCAGACTAATAAAATAAAACACGTAAGACCTTTTTTTCTACCTTATTTCATTCGATTTACCCCTTTCAAAACTTAATATGCGTTTTTCTCGAAACCATGTTTTTTGACCGCGTTGACAGCATAACTCGAACAGTATTAATCCGATCGACCTGATTCAAAACGGATTTTGTAGAGGAAACGTGTCGCTATGGCATGACGTAGCCGTTTTTGATACATGCCATACTTTTTTTTTATAAACAATTTAGTGCAAAAATTTACGCAAAAAAAAATTTTTTTTCTTAAAATAGCCGCCATTTTTTTCTAATCACAATTTTCAAAATCCCCTACGTCGGGCCATAGCCAGTAATATATATTTAAAGAATCTTGTTTTTTGCCCTAGGACGCTCCGTTTTGCTGGAATGCTGTCAACCACCCAAGGGTCATTTAAAAAAGACGCAATTTTAGATTAGCTGCAGAAAAAACAATGGCCGCCACAAAAAAATAAAAAAAATTTTTTCATATAATTTAAACATTCATAAACATATATGTAAAGTTACATGTAAATCGGTTAATCCGTTTTTTTTTAATAAATAAAATAAAAACCATATGAAATATCGCCGTTTACAGTGATCGGGCCCCTTAATGTATTTTAAAATAACCAAGCTAGAAGTTAACTCATTTAGAATTAAAATTAGAGTTAAAATTTTTTGACTTTCAAATAATTAACTAATTATCACCTAACTCTGCTAATCTTACAAGAAAAAACTAAAAATTTGAACAGATTCGAGCGCGCTAAAATTTGCCGCCATAACCGAGCGGCGAAATGTCACTAGTGTTAGCCTCTCAGGCAATGAAACAAGCTAGTGAGGAGCTCACTCGCGAGCATTGGTAGCCCAGCCAGGAGGGATTTCGATCGATCGATCGGATATCGATTGCCGATGGCGCCACGATCGATATATTTGCGACCCGCGTACTGCACGAATTTGATTTCAAAAGTTTCGTGCGAGTCACTCCGGCGAGTACGGGCGTGGTTGTTCGTCGGTCGCCCGTTTATTTTTTGGACGAACTCGTTGCTACCTTCGGCAGAACGCAGTTTTAGTAACCACATCCTTGTGTCTAGTCCTGGCATATTCATTATGTATCAGTTAACAACGTAAATTGGTGTTGGAGATAAGCCCGAAAGGGCGCCTGGAATCATCACTGAGAGACAGAGAAAGAGAGAGAGAATTTGATTTCGGTGTACACATTGACAGTTGACAGCTATGGGACAAGCGGCGCATCCAGGTTGCTCCGGCGGCATTCTCGAGCAAGGGGAACAAGGTAGGCAGAGCGGTGTTGTTGGCGCACGCCTTTCCTCTTTGGACTCTCGTAAGCGCTGATAGTCGCACCCTCGCGACTTCACGATCGTTCGCAAATGCTCGCCGTCGAGGCGTCGCGCGTTCCACTACGATAAAAGCGCATCTAATATTACAACATGACTCACGTCGCACGATTCTCGCGATTCGTACTCGCGACGAACGTGAGTGAGAGAGTGAGAGAGAGACCGTTCCCGTTTTCGCGTCCGTTCTTCGCGTCTACTCTCCGCGCACACGGCTCGTCTTTCTCTCTCACACGCACTCTCGTTCTCTCTCTCTCTCTTTCTTCGTCTTTCTCTTTTTATATCTCCCTCTTTTTCCTCCCCGCGCTCACTATGTCATATGTATGATACTTCTCTCGTGATTTCACTAGTGCACCGTGCGAGAGCGAGCGCGTATTCGTCACGGCGATAACGTGCCGACCGCCGAGGGTAGTGTAATCGTCGGGATTGTTTAGGCGTGCGCTGAATTGTCGTCACGACTTCAGATCGCCGCTCGCGGTGCCCTTCAGGTAGCCCCGAGAGAGATCACACGTACTTGCGCGAGCCGCGCTCTTGAAGAGCCAGCAGCGCGGCGTCGAGAACTCGGACGATTGTTGCGTGATACTCGAATTTAATTGACGTTTCTAACCTCACTTTGCGATAACTCGCTCGCGCTCTCTCTCTTTTTCCCTCTCTCTTTCCCTCTCTCTCTCTCTCTTTCTCACTCGCTCGCTCGCTCGACTCTCTGTCTTTCTCTCTCTTTCTCTACTCCACTCTTCCTCCTGTCTTGGGCACGGAGAGATGTCAGTTTAACGTCGACAGGAAAAAAATTCAGTTGCATTGCTCTCGCGGCTGCTGCTCGCCTCTAAATACCGCTTAACCCAATAACTCGATAACGTGCGTCTCCGTTGCGTGGTAAGAGAGCTTGATCACTTATCGCGATTCACGAGATCCTCCCGTCATCCTGATTCTTGCGCCTTGTTCCGTGTATCCGTCCTGTATCAATGATGCAAACACGCGTCAATTCTGCCCGTGTACCCATCGTTATTTTACGTTTTCCCCGACTTTTATTCCGATCTTGCGTGTGCGCGTATTGTCTTGTATTTTTCGAGAAAACTAAATATGAATAAGCATCTTTTGTTGCATGAATTTAACGATAACGCAGACATTGTCCCGTGTGGAAGAGACGTATATTATTTATAAACATGTGCAACGATACATGTGTTTATATTTGCGACATAATAGCGGTGACATCCGCATTGACCACTTTGTGTTCTCTTGAAAGTGCACGCTTGAAAATGTTTTTTTAACTTGACGTGAGACAGTTAATCACCGATTTGCGATTTGAGCTTCTAAACTACTAATTTACACGCTGATTGTTACTTTGAATCTTATTTTATGAGTATGAATGATGTGTGTTGCGAAATATTTTTTCTTAATTTTCTTTCTTAATTTTATCTGCCTGAAATTATATTCTTTCCACACAAGACATGTCTCTGTTATTTTACAGTAATTGAATGAATACGGTGACACAGTGAAACAAAAAATTATTTTATTTCACTAAAACAAGATGTATAGATAAATAGATCTATAAGGCTATTTTTAGTTTAATCCTTAAATATATACAAATAGGTGTATTTATCTATACACGTCCACATGAAATATTCATTTCATGTATCAACTTTGGTTCTCATCTCTTAGTGTTGTATGAATAAATTAGTGTTTTTTGAAGTTATAAAAATTATTCTATTTTGAATATATTAACCCTTAGCTGACACACGTCAAAATAATAACGTACGTGCTATAGGGGGTATTTTGGACTCCAGCGAGAAAAAATGTGTATAATTGTTTTATTTATCAATATTGGGTCAAGCCTCGACTAATACTAGGTGATGCCACAGAACCAAATTTGGCGCGCAGCTATGAAAAATTTGTGTTCAAAAACACTCTGGGGTACTTTTAACCCTGTGTGTCAGCTAAGGGTTAAGAGACAACATGTTATGAGAGATCGCATACCTATATTCAATAGTTTTGCTGCAGGTAAAATATTGTATGCTTGAATAACATGCAAATTTTTATTTTAGTGAAGGAAGGGATGCCACGAGGAAAGCGTAGAGTACTCTCTAATACAAATCACAACCACACTTCCGTTGAAATGTCACCTAGTGCCCATGAAGAAGGTCTACCAAGACATCCTTCAAAACGGTTAAGGCAACATACCTCCAGGTAAATCTGAAATAGCATCTTTTGTAGTAACAGCTTGTATATTGCTATTTATATCGCTGTATACATTTATGTATAAAACAAGCTTGCGTGTGTATAATTTCCCTCTTTTGTGACACCAATATTTCCGTTCGCAGTGCCCGACGTTACACAAAAAATGAGGATGTATCTAGTGCATCGACATTTTCACAGAAGCGTTGTAGTACTTGGTTTCGGGAGTACACTTTGCCGGACGAGCCGGACACCCTCGGGCCCGAAGGAATGGAAAAATTTTGCGAAGACATCGGGGTGGAACCTGAGAATGTAGTAATGCTCGTTCTCGCATACAAAATGAACGCGCGTCAAATGGGCTTCTTTACACTGAGCGAATGGCTGAAAGGTTTCTCGGAACTTCAGTGCGACTCTATTAGTAAAGTACAACAAAAGCTCGAGTACCTAAGGAATCAATTGAACGACCCACACACGTTTAAGGGAATCTACAGATATGCTTACGATTTTGCTAGAGTACGTTCCGATATGCGACACGCGTACGACAGATATCGAGAACTCGCGGCAAGAGTAGCCTCCTGTTAACTATCTCGCCGAAATTCTTGCAGGATAAAGATCAACGAAGTATGGACATGGAAACCGCGAGGGTAATGCTACAGCTGCTTTTGGGTAAACATTGGCCACTGTTCACGCAATTTGCTCAGTTCCTAGATCAATCCAAGTACAAAGTGATCAATAAGGATCAATGGTGCAACATATTAGAATTTTCACGTACAATCAATCATGATTTGTCCAATTATGATTTGGACGGAGCGTGTAAGTACAGCGAAAGCGAGTGTCCCGAATATTGTACTTGAGTATCAGCACGATGGATTATCTCAAATAAACGTATTGGATAACGTGATATTCTTTTAGGGCCAGTAATGCTCGACGAATTCGTCGAATGGTTAAAACTCCAACGGGGTGAGGATGCGCTATCGACAGAGGCAAGAGGCAGCTGAAACATCTCACGAGAATAGTCCATTGAACTAAGAACAATTCATCTCTCTTTTTGTCATAATACTTTGTTAATAATGAAATTTCCGTTTACGGATCGTGCCCTCGCGACATTTTCATTTGGTCATACGTCATATTCGTACTATCCTTCCTTCCCTTTTTTTTTTTTTAATTAAACGATAATGTATTATAAGTAGCTTATCTCTTAATATGATTTGCGGTATCTTTTTACACACGACTCGATTGAGTATCGCGTATTCAAACCGTTCTTCGGTTATTCTCATCACCACTTACAGTTGATCCGGGGTTTGTCGCAGAAACTCTTGTGATTAAGAATAAAACTATTTTGATATATGAAATTTACTTGTGCAATTTTTGTAAAGATAATTTCGGGATAACGAATCCAAGTGAAGTGAGCAAACAAGCAAGAAATCGTGTAACGTTTTTCAAATTGAGTATAATGCTTAAGAGAACGATTGCCATCAGCTTCCAGTGATTGTAGGATGCACACACTTTATGTCATTGCGAGTATGTTTAACATATTATTTAAATAAACCGATAAAAGAACAGTCACATACAACTTTCACATTCCATGTCGTTTAGTTAACGTCGATAATGTCGCGAATTGTGACTCGATACTCACAATTTTCCGAAACAAATTCTGATAATTCTCGTTCTCAACCCTCTTGTGTTTCACCCGCTGCTAAAAAAAAAATATATCTTGTGTAATGTCGACGATATTTTTTACCAAATTCTCGATATGTATAATATTGTCCAGTGAAACACAACATTTAATACGAATATCATTAAGTAGAATCTCTCATCGGCGAGATAAAATATACGTTATGCCAGGTGCTACTACACAACGTTTAGTATTCTAAAAGCAGTATCATAAAGTGTCGATATCATGCTATTTAGTCAAAATTAAGTAAACCTTGTAAATGCTGAAATTATCGATGTATATTAGAATTACGGACTCTTATTAAAAGAAAAAAAATCATTGTAATATTTATTAAGTACAACTAATTCTCGATCTTTCAAATTCACCGATATCATAATCTATGCTTTATCGCGATAAGGATGCAAAAGAGAAACTTTTGTTTTGCAATTGTTCGTTCATATGAAACAAAAGAAAAAAAAAGAGAAATGCAATGTTAATATATCTAAAAAAAATTATTGTTTTGTTCGATAGTTTTAATGATACGTATTACCACTCGTCAATTGTTATATTATTCAATTTCTGCGACTGTCTCTTGTCTCTCAAATTTTTAATATCGAGATTTAATATTTTAGAGCACACACACACGTCGCCCAACTTCTACCAAGATTTCGAAACTGTATGTATGATGATTATATAAGACAACTATGTAAAATATATTAGTTTGATAAAGTGCTAATCCTCTATCTTCATTTAATGGATTTATTATGACTTTACTGGATTTCTTTTCTCATTGTACGCGTTACTGAAGAGTTATCCCGTAAATCAATTTCACCGAGCCAATTAACAATCACAAGTTTGTTCAATCGTTAAACTTATTTCGTGTACTCGAATGTGCATATATTTCTTCTGCATGTATATATTATATCAATAATGTAATTAATATTATACATTAACGATATGATATGTGATTTTCACGCGTTTCTTTTATAGTCTTCTAAATACGATGGATATAAACTTGCTGAAAGGAGAATTTATTGTAGACATACGCGGATTATAATTCATTCTAGAGATTATAATTCTTTCTGCAGCATTGTTACTGCCATGTTTGGAATACGCATGATGTATTGGATATAACGAGATATAAATAAAATACTTTTTCCAGTATTTCATTTATTATTCTCGATTGATATCCTTGTTTTAGATATTGCTATAGAAATGTTATGGAAAACGTACAAAAAAAAGTACGTTTTTTCTAAGGAAGAATTTTTTAAATTCATAAATTAATCACTGATGTATACACATATATGTATGTGTGTGTTAATAACGATATAATTATATATAATTATTAATATATAGTTACCCATCTAACGATATATTTATGATATAATTACATCGTTCTCGAACTAGTATAAAATATGCATTTTCTAATGCGAATACATCAATAAAAACAAAAATAGTTTTAATAGTAAGTATATAACTATTGTTCATATTATATATAATGAGAGTGCGGCGTGTGTGCGAAAAAGCATTGCTAAGGTTGAATAAATTATCAGATGATATACGGATAATACATTTTGCGTAAACAATAGCGCTGGGTTGTACACTTAAAATATACAAGGGATGCATTGTGCGACGATACATCTCGATTGTATCATCTCGAATCCTTCGCACATCCCTGTAAACATGAAGATTGTGTATTGCATACAAATCTAATGTGGCGAGCTCACGATGAGCGTGTAAAATCGTACATGATCCTCATTCCTTCGGGATTCGGATCCAAGATGACTCGGAAGTGAACTCCTCGAAGCAAACCCTTCTTTGATGGGAGGTCCCACGGAGGAACGGTCATGAGAAAAACCGACATTGTCCCAAGGTGAGGATGGAAATACTGCCGATAGTTAGCAGTAGGCACAAGTACCTGCCTGTGATGGGTACTCGGAACAGTCGAGCGTACATTCTCAAGGAGGATGTATAAAGAAGTATAGTATCAAGATCTTGTCCCGGAGTACCCTGATACACAAACGGTCGTACGCGCACTTCGTGTCCTATGCTCTGTATCATGGAACAGGCGGTGGTCAGACGAGCGGCCTGAAGAAAACACGCGACAGAGATTGAGTCAAAAGAGATGTCGTAATGCGATAACGGAGTGACGATCCAGTGAGCAGAAAAATATCATCAATAGAACGTTATTGCTGTGATTATTCAACAGGAAGTTTTTGCAACAACGAGTCTCTCAGATACGATTTCAAGACGTTGAGCTGATTTTTGTTTTTATTTTGCTTACTGAGCGACGCCATACCTGTACGAACGGTGCGATCGATATCAAGATCCATAACATGACGTTCATCACATTGACGTATGTGACTGGACTCTTGTTCATCTCATCGTTATCGTATTGAAACAGCCAGATGATACCCGCCGTTGCCCATGACAGATTGACTATAGTATAGATGCATACAGCCGGACCTAGTTCGTCGTTGAAGTATTTCAGTAGCTTCTTGAACTCGCAAATTTCCTGCAAGCCACAAACGCTGATTTCCACTTTCTGATGGAAGATACAACGGGTGGAATGTCATTAGAATGATTGCGAACCCTCATCCAATCAATGGGCGGCAGAGTGTGCTGAAGCAATTTGCCACGTAGGAAGTAGAGGTGGGACATCAACAGCTGTCCTTGTAGGCAGTAACTCGTTATGATGGTCCCCTGAACCATGTCGTGCCACAAGGTGCAGACGATCAGAAATACTTTCAATGTTACCTTCACTTGATGCGGACTGCAAAAATGGATGTAGAAATAATTAAGGCGTGAAGTAGAAACTGATAGAAAATTGATGAAATATAGGTAGGTGTAGAAGAAATAAAAAGTATGAGCGGTATCGAGTATCCTCGTTTGAAGCGAAGGATATAACGCAACAGTTACTCTGGTTCGATCATCTTCTGACGATGAGACAGTCAACGACTGTGTTGAGTTACCTGTGTTCCAACCAGCGGAATGTGATGTTCCCTTTCGCCATCAGAATATTCACCGTAACTAACGCCATGATCATCCACACTACGCTCAACGCAATGAACAGCCACAGTATGTGAACGAGACGTCTCTGATTGCCACGGTTCACGGGATTCGACGAGAGCAGGAAGGCCCTCTCCATCAGATTCTGCAGTTGCTCGTTCTCCTTGATGCGAAACAGGTACACTGTGTATATGTATGCGACTAGATGCAACGCGCTCGGTATTAAGTAGCTGAATATCATGTCTCCGTAGCAAAGCGGATGCGATCGTTCTCCGCTGACATCCGATGTTGTTTGCGCGCTTTCCAATGGTAATATTTTGTAACAGAATCCTCGATCTCTCCTGTAAAGTCCAGTGTATGTATCTTTAGCGCTTGCAAATCGTACGCTCACGTTAGTTTAGGGTGACATTTGCCAAACTCTAATCAAGCTAATCGATGAATAATAATAATAATTGCCAGCATCGATTTCCAGTTCTCTAACTTGTCGTTCAAACAATAATGGAAAAGTTCCGAATTTCTAGTCTATTATTTAACAAAATATTGACAATTCTGTGTTCAAAATTCCATACGAGAAAAAAATACTAGCGCTCAAGGAGAGAAAGAAATTCTGTTGGCATTATTTCTGATTTTTCCTATTTTATGTTGCAGAAAGCCCGCCGGACTTACCTGAAGCAGGCCATATACTGTAAGACGTATCCGATGCACATGAATACAGCGACTTGGAAGGTGTGAAGATTCGCCAAGATGCAACATCGCGAGTCGTCGCTGCTGGTCGGCTTCAGTCCCATTACCGCCAGCAGTCTTAGGTACGGCAACAGTATTTTGTGTTTGCAATAGTGAAGCACCGCCGACGTACTCAGGTTCTCGTAATCCGGCATCTCCGCGATTTCACCGACCTGTTTCGCAAAAGGGACAGGTAAAATTCATATTTGCTTCTCAGTACGGAACTCCGCATACAGTGCGGTGCACTCTGAACATCGCGATATATATATGAATTAAACAAAAGCGGAAAAGACGCAGAATGATTATCGTGCGTGAATTTACAAGGGATCGTGTTAAAGTAAAAAACACGAATGCTCACTTCGGTGCTTTGAATATGCAGATCCGTTAATATGGATATGGAGACCTGCGTGGATTCCTCATGGTTCTGCTGAGGTGGCGGATCCTTGCCGTTTTTCGACTCGTTGTTGGAGTCCATCTGCAAATTGCAAATAGTCCTATTTTAATTGATGTTGTTTCATTATCAACGTAAACACAATGTTGTTTATATACTTTGCAATAAATCGATCTTAACGGATATTTTGGAGTGACCACACAGTCGCTCACTCTGTAAACAATATAATATAGAGTTACAAATATATATTGCATATGTCAGATAGGAAGAGAAAATATTATATGATGTATAATTATAATTTTGTACATCATTGTCGCGTGTTACAGAGATTACGATCAGGAAATTAATCCTCCATCTTCACATTGCGTGCGCGAAGTGCCGAACGGGGGGACAATATACTGCGGCGCACGGTGCTCTTCCCGAAAACGAAGTTCGATTATTGTCTTCTGTTTACATCCAAGCCCGAACAACATCTTCCGTAAGTTAGCATTAAGATTTACGTCTGTTGAATTGGTATCGGGGCGCCGAGAAACGAGAGAGAAAGAGAGAGCGAGAGAAGCGCACCGCGCTTTATTTAAATATTGATATCTTATCACGCGTGTGGCGAAGCGAAGTCACCGTCAACGGCGTCAATTTGGCGTTGTGCAATTTTTTCGCGGCTGAATTAGTTGACAATTGTCTCTGTTCAAGAGGTAAGCAATAATTAGCGACTCACCAACGCCATTTCTCCCGGTCGGAGGAGTGCGATGCTTTTGAACTTGGGAACACGCTCGCATCGACAGTTCGACGCGCCCGGCCTTTTTCTCTTTCTCTCTCTCTCTCTCTTTCTCTCTCGCTCTAACATGTGAATTTAATTATATCACCGTTCGCCGATGACACTTCACCTCTGCTCTCGGAGATATCCATGTGCAACGCGGCTAAACAAATTGTTGCGTTCGCCACGGCGCTACGAACCGCATTGTAAGCATATTCGTAAAGTGCATACGCCGATAGGATGCATCGCGAGAGCGAACAAGCGCGATTAGACCAAGAGAGAGAGAGAGAGAGAGAGAGAACAAGTGCAAGAAGTGATTTTTTTGTATACATGTTATTTAAATACATACTTCATTTACTCAACAATACACAGCGCGTACAAAGATCCATTAAATGATAAAAACTAATGTTTCTTCTTGAAAATATTCCCCGCCGGCCGTAACAGGTGCTTGAACTCTTTCCTCAGATGTTTCGTTTCCACAGGTCGTTTTCTCTGCGCAGACAAAGAAGAGATAAAGTCGAGAGGGCACGCGATAATATTCTCCTTTAAAGTTTCTGGATACTCACTTTGGCTGTCCTTCTTTAATGACGTCAGAAACGAAGAAAATCATGACGATTTATGTGACGGTATACGTGGAAGTAAAAAAATGTACGCACAAAGCAACACTCGTGATTGATTCAGCACATTTGTTAAAAATGTCCGGACGCTTCCCTTTAATCTGAACAATTAATAAATAACCGTAAATTACGCGCAAGTTGTTTTTAACTCATCTTTTCACATGATTTCTGTTACGTTAATTTTTGGGGCTATTTATTAATTGTTCAGGTTGAAGAAAAGTGTCCGGACATTTTCACATAAATCGACGTAATTTTCCTCGCTTCTGACGTCATCAGAGAAGGACAGCCGAAGTGAGTATCCAGGAGCCTCAACAGGCTAGATCAACTCAACAGACGTACCTTGCCGACGCTAAAGGTCATTTCTCGACAACCGTGCGAATCGGACATCTTAATGTCCTGCGTTCCCTCGTTCTTCAGTCTCTCCGCGAACGACAGTCTGCAAAAAATCGCGAGGCAATATTAAAATATTAAATTATTCGAAATACCGACGCGCGATACACGACGAGACAAAAGCGAGATCGTTATTATATTTACTTGTTTCTCCTCTCCATCGGCTTGCCCTCCTCAAACTTCACGACATTTTTAGCTTTCTTTAGCCTCGGCTCGTTCTCAGCGGCCGGGTTATTATCCTCCTCCCCACTGTTCTCTTGTTCCTTCTCTCTCTCGTTCTTCCTTATTAAACGATAATTCCTTCGCACTTCTTTGGCCCACAGCTTCTCATCGTCCGAGCTATCAGAACTATCGTGTATGAAACTCTCGTCCGAGCTACGGCCTTTAGGAGAAAATTCATTCAACGTGAATTCTTCTTTCAGATACATACAGAATTTTCGAATGATAGACGATGTTTAAAATTCGTTCGTCGTTACCTTGTGCTTCATCCTCTTCGGGCTTGTCCTGCGTCTCTTCCTTCTCCCGCGCCAATTGTCGTTTCTTTAGTTCTTTAGCCTTGCTCTTGTCGAGTTGCGAAATAACGGGATTCAACAGAATGAACTCCTCGGAATGTTTGTCCACTTGGAAATCCGGGTTGTTGAAGAGAGCCTTGAATCGCTCGTCTCTCAGCAGATTGGAAGACTCCTGTTTCTTGCGATTTTTATTGCTCGCGTTCTCTATTAATTTTAACGCCAGCTCCGGATTCACGCTCGGTAACTTTTGCACCTGTTTATTGAAGTAAGCGTATGAGGATGCGAATGCTGATGTTTCGAAAGTGTTACGCGTCCAAATAGTTTTTTCAATTAAAAATGAAACACAGTGTACGTAAAACGAGTTAAAATCAAATCACCGGATGATACCTGTACTCTGTTAGCGCACTCCTCTTTCATCTTCTCTCGAATTCTCCTCTTCTTGTACTCTTCGAACTCGAACGGTTTCATCACGTCTCTTGCTTTCCTGTATAATCGGGCATCCATGAAGTAACCGTGCATGTAAGCCCTGAGCAGATTGGTGCCTTTCAAGTGCAGAAGACCCAGTTCGTCCAATTCCTTCTCAGTGACGAACTTGTAATCGTCGTAGATGATATCGTAATTTTGTTCCTCTAATTCTTCCGTGAGGTTGTCGAGAAAACTGCACCAGTAAGGGGCGGGTCCGAGACTAGGAATGTAATATACCTGCATCTTTGTGGCTTCGTTAGCCATCATGAGCATACCGGTGTTTGGTACGACGCACAAATCGTTGAAATCGTGCTGGGCTTCTATGGAAGTGTAAATCTTGCCCTGGAAAGATGCATAACACAATACAGTTTTCCAGTTTAGGTTCTAATGAGAAAAATTAATATCACATTGTAGATGGTATCTTCACTTCTACGCAGATATGCGAAGAAAATCTAGAAGTATATCTTCTCACTGATTTTACTTACACTATTTTTCTCCCATATTTTCACGATGGAACTGTCCATAGAGTAAACGAGGTTCATCCTTTCATGAAACTCGATGTTCCTGATTGGCAAGCCGTACATGTGATCCTTCATCAAAAATGGTTTATTGGATCTTATATCGTACAGCATGATTTGTCCCGTTGATGTGCCAACTCCTAGATTTAGACCTCCTTGAAATCTCACAGCCGTGACCGATGGAACTGCTTCGAATCTGACGAGAAACAAGTTCTAGCATCAGTCTGATGAACTGAGTTTGACAGACAGATGGATTTCATTTTCGCGTTTTACTTGTCCTGAGTAATACAATGTAGGGCACAGTCCAGTACACCAACTCTATTTTTCATCCTTGGATCCCAAGCCTCAATTTTTCCTTCTTGTGTACCAACAGCAAGTAAGTGATGCAACGGATTTATATCACATTTATTTATCGAAGTCGCTTTTGTCTCAAACGGTTGTAGAAATTGACCACGTTCGAGATTTATCCTATATATCTGATTACTGTAAAAAAATATATTATAATTACTATTACTTCACATAAGTTACATCTTCTTGTATCCTGAATATATATCAGTATTTATATATAATATAAATTTCATGTTATTTCATAAATAATTATAACAGATATAAAACCATATGGATTTTAGAACTGACCCGTCACCTACGATGAAAGTATCACATGACGGATAATGATATTTCATATCTCTTCCAAAGCGTGGCACCCTGAGCCTGTAATACTTCCCATAAGCAGCGTGAATCTCAATATAACGATTACAATGTAAAAATATTAACTAGAACAAAAATATCTGTTTAGCGAGATAATTTCAATTATGACTGTTCTATGTAACGTTAATAGAATGTTACAACAATCATACTTACTTTGCTATAGTCATCTGATAAAATTTCAAAAGTAACCACCTCAGAATCAAGGCATCTCTCAAACTTTAATGACAACTGTTGTACATCATAGCATTTTACACATGGTTTGTAAATTCCTGTCACAAGGATATGCTGTCCATCTTTAGAAACTTTAATGGAAGTGCTAACACCAGGCATGCTGAAGTCTTGAATAAGTTCGATGCGCCGTCGTATGTCTATTAGGAAATAATTACAAAGTTGAATATATTCTCAAACATCCTTTTCAGAGATATAAAACTAGGACTACAATATATTTCTGGATCTAGATTGATCTGACTTTTTCTAAATATGATGGATAAATTGTAAGTTATTTTTCATTTTAATTTGTGATCCTTACCAACATTCTTTTTGGATAAAGTCCTACGTTTTCGTTCAGATAACCACTGAAAAATGTAAAAAATAAACATTTAGGAAACCTAACCTAGAACTTAGAATTATCACATCAAATCACATCAATCTTACCTCGGGGAGAGATTTCCCAGCGCTGAGATTATAGATTTTTATATTATTTGGAGCGGAAACCTGCATTTCGGCAGCTTTTGCGTGACACAGATATTTTATAAAAATATTTTCAGATATTCCACATTTTTATTTTCAAAAACCATAAGCGCACGTGAAGCCAAATGCTGATCAGCGCTAACAGCGCTTCGCGAGCACAGCTAAAAATGGAAGACGAACATGAAAAGGCACCTTTATATGTAGACATCAGTAGTTTCTACCCATGAACTAAATCGTAGTATAACTCAACAACAGGTCAGTCGGACTTTTATTAAATAGGCCAATTTAATGACTGACCAGATGAACTTTTTATCTTTATGTAAGATTCGACAATTTCGACTTTCCAATTACATGATTAAACGTTGAATCAAATAAACTTTTATTTTCAAATAGTTTGATAAGAAAAGGATCCAGCTTTGTGATTTTACTAACTACAAACAATTTCGCCCACGAAAAGTCATGCGCTCATTGGACATCGTGAAAATTTCTCTCAAAAAAGAACCAGATTAGAATGTTGGGGTTGTATGCATCATAATTTTGAATTCAATCTTTACTCGTCCTTTTGTTTCCATAAAATCGATAATCATCGATAATCGAGGATCGATAATCATCGAACGGCCGTTCATATTTCCCTAGTACGCAGCCGCTAGTGATTCTGGAAATATCAGCTAGGTGGAGTGGCGACGGATGACTGTACACTAACGGGGGGAGAAGGAAGAGACGGGTGGGAGGTTGGGAGGAAGGGAGGGTGGCAGAACGACCGGCGTTTCAGCGGGTATCGGTAGTCGCGAGACGAGTCAGTCGGTGACGGGTTGCGTTCGTCTTGTGCGGCGTAGTGAACAGTTTCGGTCGTCTCTCCTCCCCCCTCTTGTGTTCAAAAATGAGCTGGCAGGATTACGTTGATAAGCAGCTGCTTGCGTCTAGGTGTGTTACCAAAGCGGCGATCGCCGGACACGATGGCAACGTGTGGGCGAAATCCGATGGCTTCGAAGTGAGTAGCACTCCAAAAGAGAATACCGAGAAATGGGAGAGAGAGAGAGAGAATGAGAGTGAGAGCGAGTGAGCGATCGAGCGAGTGAGCGCGAGAAAGCGAGAATGAGGGAGAAACGGAGTCGATAGAGAGAACGTGGAGGAGAGCCGAGCATACCCGGTAGAGAGACGCGGTAGCCGTCTCTCTTTGATAAAAGCGAAAGTGCGCGAAACGGCGCGGAATAAAGAAGGGTCCTTCGGCAAAACGCGTAAAACTTGCTTTGTCGATGTGCGCGAGAGAGTCTGAGCGAGCGATAGAGCGGACGAGAGAGAGAGAGAGAGAAAGAGAGAGCGAGCGAAAGAAAAAAGGAAAGAGAGAGGACAGATGCTCCGGCAAGATCGTCCGCCGCGCGCGGTCCGCTCGTTCGGCTCGAACCGGTTCGGGCGAGTAAGCTGGCCTGTACGGCCAGCGTGCATGTCGGCCACTTTCTAACCCCGAAATACGGTGCCACGTAGACGCCGGTTGCCGGCCGGCCGGTCGTTCGTTTTCTCTGTCGCGGCGCGTTATCGTCCCTCGCGATATTACACCGACGGCGGACGTGGATCTCGGTTGCCGTCGTGCGCATGAGAGAGAGAGAGAGAGTATCCGCGGGAGACGACGATGAGCCGCTCTCGCTCACAGGCGGCGGACATGTTTCGCTCTCTTGCCGGCGATCCCCCGGAGAGGTGCGCGAGGAATCGATCGACTCGTGCACACGCGAGTGCCCTCGTCGTCGTGGCCAGCGATGACGATGACGACAGCGAGCGAGCGAGCGAATAAGAGAGAGAGAGAGAGAGGGAGAAAAAGGAAAAAGAGAGAGAGAGAGGGAGAAAAAGGAAAAAGAGAGAGAGAGAGAGAGAACGATCGGTCTCGGGGCGTGTGTCGCGCGAACGGCAAAGTCAATAGCAAAGCGGAGAAACGGCGGTGCGTTCGTTCGGCTCGCCGGCTCGAGGATCGATTATGTATCGCGCGCGCCTCGAGAAGGGTGTGGCGTTGCGCCGGCGACGGCGGCGGCGGCTGCTGCTTCGCCGGCAGTGTCGACGTGTAAAATTACGGAGCCGCGACCCCGAGAGCGACGGCGATCTCTCGCAGCCAGTGATCGCACGCCACGGGCTCGTCTCCCGGCGGCGCCGCCAGTGGCCATGGGAGAATGAACCTCGCGCGACACCGCATGAGTCGCCCTGTTCCCGTCTCGTTTTGGGTAAGAGCCGAGGAACGTGAGAATCGGCGCCTTCTCGCGGGCACGGTCGTCGTCGTCGTCGTCGAATCCCTTCGAGATCCGGTCGTCCTCGCGAGCTACGCAGCGGCATTTCGACAACGACGATGATGACGACGACGCCGTTTAACATGGCCGCCTTCTATCAACGCGCCGGGCACGTTGCTACGCTGTCGCGCGCCGCGACGGTGGAAATGGTGGTGGTCCATTGTCCGCGGCACGGCGATCCTCGGTCTCGAGGCCGTCTTCTCGAGGCCGGTCTCTCTCGCCGGGCCGCGTCGCAGAGTCCACCGGCAGGCCCAACGGCCGTGCAATTTCGGAGCGAGCCGAGACTTACAGACGAGCGGATCGAAGTTTTAGGTTAGCTCGGCGACAGTCGCGTAGGCGCGCGATGGGGAAGAGGAGGAGAAGGTGGTGGTGGGTGTGGGACATTTTCTTTTCTTCCTCCCTTTTCTTTTTTTTTTGCGGCCACCGGTGCGCGTTGAATGAAAGCGTGTGTGTGCTTTTGTGTACGTGCTCGACGACATATACAGGTAGTTTCAGCAAGCATTTTCTCTATCTGCGAGAACCTTACATCGCGCCGATATCGCTTATCTTGAAGTTTATTTGTTCGTTAAGCCGTATGTTTTTCGCTCGTCGGAGCTTAATTGGAGTCTGATCGGCCGGTCTCGCTCCCCGTCCGTTAAGGCTAGAATCGCGAGAAGGCTAGAATCGCGAGCGAGGGACTGGGAGCGGGATTTTCGGACTAGAGGACAGCCAAAGACGATCATTGATATTTATATATATAACTTCTCTTGACTCGCGTGATCTCCCAATAAAGACTCGTGTTTGCTTCGTAGGGTCGGTTTTTAAATAACGGGAATAGAATATATATTGTAAATTGTTTTGTCGGCGTGACTTTGACTTCTAGTTGAAGCGCACAATAACGTTTGTGGTTTCGGGAAAGTGTCAATTTTGCGTCCCGTCGGTTCGAAGGATTCAAGCACGTATCCATTAGGGCTTGAACGTGATAAAAAGGAATAAGGGACAAGGAATTAAATTAGGAACAAGGAATTTTTAATTTCGACATATGGACAACCATGGAAGCTGAGATCGACGATCCCCAAGCAGAACAAATGTCTAGATGTCTTAAAGGCATCTAAAAGATGGTTTTTTTTTAGATATCTTTAAGAGACCTTTTAAAAATTTGTCCTTTAATTCACAACAAAGGAACAGGAATGCCCTTAATTTTCCTAATATTCAATTTCTTGTTCCTCATTTCTTTCACTGTGTCTAAATCCTTATGGCCGAGGAGGTGTCAACAGGAAGAAGGATCGCTTTGATTTCGTCGGTTTTATCGCGTTCTCATTACGTCGCTCATCGACATTGAATAATTTTCTTGGTTGATCTGTGCGAGCCGGTGTTAAGATAGAAAAAAAAAGCATCAATCACTTTTTCATTCGCGAGGCTGACACCGGGGATCAGCGGAAATGCCCACAGATTACCGGAAACACTGGGGATTGCTGTGTCGTTACGGACGGTCGTTTAAATCTCGCGTGCGCACCGAACATGGCGATTATCGCGTCCGAAAGTTAACAATTGCGCCACCGTCGTCTGGGATCTCGCGATCTTCGCTGTCTCTAATACACACTTCCTGGTGTTTTTCTCCGTCATCGTCGTCGTTGTCTCCGAGTGTTGCACAATGGTCGCTTCCAGACGAAGGAGAGAAGGAAGGAAAAAGTTTCGCGGTCTCGCTCCGAATCGCGGTGAAAGCTCTGCGATCGTGACCGGCGCGCCCTCCGCATTGCACTTTCGAAGCTTACGCGAGACCCTTCGTCGGTAAACCCGTCACAGCAAAGTGCTCGTCCCCGAAATGCGAAAGATCTGTGTGTGTCTTCGAAAAAGAAAGAACCGTTCCAGGGTCGATATTTACAGTCGGATTTTTATACTTAACATTAAAACTACCAAAGCGGTCAAATGAACGGTTTGTAATTTTTTCTTACAAAAGTTACTCCGATTTCTGACGGTACATTTTCCCGTAATTTTTGTTGCGATATGTAAACGAGAAAATCTTTTTTTTCTTTGCATTACGTATTTCGTCAAGAATCTTAAACTGCCCCGGCAGAAAGGTACGCGTTGATCATCGGTAGTTTTAGCGTTAAGGTCGTCTCAAGTTCATCTGAACCGGACGCTTCGTGCCGATGATCCACGCAGCATCCGAGGATGAACTTGAGACGACCTCAAGTGTAAAATCCGATTACGAATACCGCTCTGGATCATAGCGTTCTTTTGCGCGCGAGATAACTTCAACATACACCTGAAATGATTAGATGGAAGGAAAGAGGGAAAGACAAACTGCGAGGGAGAAGTGCAGAGGGTGTAGTTGGGAGGAGCAATTGGACATTGAAGATACTGAAAACGTAAAGGAAAGCTTTATTTGAAAGTAAGTTTTGTTTGAAAAAATAATTTTGGTCTCGTTTTCTTTCCCTGGCGAAAAGTCGCGCGATAAATCCTTCTGTAGCGTAACTCGCGAACCCGGTCGCTCGATTCTTCTCGGGCCGAGTTTCAGACCGTTGTAATTCCGCTGAGTTCAGATCGACGCTATAGAGATACGCGAAACTGCTTTGCGTCTCTCCGTTCGTTCGTTCGTTCGTTCGTTCGTTCGTTCGAGACAATAAGAATGACAGTGGCGATTGTTGTAACGTTCAAGTATGAATAGCTACTAGGCGAGAGGAAGAGAGAGAGAAGAGGTTCGTTCGTTTTATTTGCACTCTCTGTTCGTGCCCTCGTCGCTGAACGTGAGCGTTGTACGTACACCGATTTTATCTCGCGTGCAGAAGGTGCAGCTAGAGCGTTGATGAACGTGTCATGAGAGGATTCGATCGGAAGAGTCGCGAGATTTCCATCCGCGCGCGTTTGAAATCAGCGACAGATAAGGGAATCTTATCGTTTTCGATCTTCACTTGATTAATCGAGTGTTGTGACGTGTGAGAAGTGCGATGAGCAATTCTCGTTGTGATATTTCACGATTGTAAATCGGAAAGTAAATACGTCGGTCTTTTTGTCGGAAATTTTGTCGGAAATCGTTTCCTCTTGCGGCACTTCGTCGATTTAAAATGTTAGCTTTAGGATTGTGAGAAATTGGTCTCGTTAGCAGCTTGATGTACACAGGTGGATAGGTGAGTCAGGTTAGTTTATGATAGGTTAGGAATGGTTGAGCATCATCGCTCGCTCGCGATTCGATGTCTTTGCCGGCGCGGTGCGTTTAAAAAAAATTGTCAGTAGCTTTTGGAAACAACGAGTGCGAGGAAAAATGTTTACCTTTCTTTAATTTTAGTCAACGCCAATTGGAAATATAAAATATAAAGTGCGTCGTTGTAAATTTTAATAATTCTCTTGAGAAATTACAAAACGATTATTTTGTTAACGTCACGAGCGTGACAGCACGATAATTTCATTTTCCACGTTCACATAAACAGGCCAAGTCTGTTTTCCATTATTATATATCAAAAAGTAATCCACGCAAAGTTCACGCAGGAAACAAATCTGTGAATGTGGGAGTAATTTTAATCGGTGCAACGCGAATTTGGATTTTTCATTGTGCACAACGTGCCAGTCGCTGTTCCCAAGCGCGTGTCGCAAAAATCCGTATGTCGCTGACGTGTGACTCACCGCAGCGAACGTGTTAATTTGTGCTTGGGAAAGGACCGATTATATTTGAGACAATTGTACGTGAGTTAGGTTAGGGTCAAGTTAGGATAGGTTAGGATCGGTTACGAGTGGTTGC